CATATATTTAATTGAAGATCGGTTTAGTTTATTTATTTTTATTTTACTAAATATATGTTTTTATTCATAAAAGATCATTTAATCTATTAATTAAAATTAAAAAAAAAAAAGTAAACACACAATTTTTTTAAGAAAATATTAATATATTCTATGATAAAAATGTTTTGAATTTTAAATAATAAATTGACTGTTCATATATATATTTAAAATCTATTTTAATACTTATAGAAAACATCAATGTTAAATATAATAATTTTTATAAATACTATGCAAATTTGGTAAGGAACTAGAAATAAAAATAATAATATTTTTATGTTAAAATGAAATACATAAAAAAAAAAAATTAAAAATATTATAAAAATTATTAAATAATTAATAAAAAAATAATGAAATAAAAAAATGGTAAAAAATCTATTATTAATTATTAAAATAATTTTTTTTAATTTTTGGTAAAAGAAAATTATTTATTATTATAAATTAATTATACATAAATTTAAGCAGATATAAGAATATTACTCGGTTTACACAAATCATTTTCACTCACTTATTTGGTACTATTCTATATTTGAAACTTATCATATCAAATACCCATTCGTTGAAATGTAATACGAATCTATTACTATAAATACGATAATTTAATTAAAAATAATTAAGAAATATATTAGTAAAAATAATTATTATATATTAAAAATAATTATAAATTAATATTAAGATAACTAGATAATTTAATTAAAATTAAAAAAAATATAAAATTTAAATATGATTAAAATGTATAATCATATTTCAAAGATAAAAACACAAACAGACAAAGATAGAAAATAAAGACAAATTATGTGAGACGAAGACAAGGAAAAGGAAGTATATATAATTTTTTTTTTTTCATAAAATATCAAATCAAAAATCAATTTTTTTTTTCCAAACTTTCCAAATTTCAAATCTTTTTTAAAAACCTCTGTGCAATATATAAGTATACTCTATCCGTCCCAATACAATAGTATTATTTACAATTTTTTTCTGTCTCAAAATAATAGTTTTATTTTCATAAATAACTATATCACCATAAAATTATCCATACTTTTTTATTTTTATTACACAATTGTCACTACTTTTTTACACTAATACACTCACAAGGACAAAAAAATCTTTTATCTATATTTTTTTACCAACTATCAATGTAACATCAATATTATTTAAATTTCGTATTCAACCCAATTAAGACTATATCTATATGATATTGGGTATATCGTAATCAAAAATAAAATATGAATATTTATATGATGACAATCAATGCCAGCGGGATTGGACCGTTACCAAATGAACCTTACCCATGCACCAAGCACCACCAAGCACCACCGCTTTTCTCATGCATTTTTAATATTTATTATATAAAAAATAAATTTATAGTCAAAATATCATTGTTATATTTATTTATATTATATTAATATTATTTTTAAATTAAAAAACTTATGGTTTAAAATTCACAATTAAATTCCATAACAAAACAAACTCCGATGTTTGTTTTTTTAGTATTTTATGTCAAAATTAATATTATTATTCTATATTATTTTAATAAAAATATATTATTTTCTCTCATAAAATATTACATTAAAATATTATTTAAACAAAAAATTAAAATCAACACCATATTTTAAATAAATTTCAAATCACAGCTAAACAAACTGATTATATCAAATACAAAGATAATATTCTTGTACTCCATTCATTCCGCATTAATGTATCCATCTATTTTTTTACAAATAGAAAATAAATTTATTTATTTATTTATTTATTGCACCTAAATTAATAAACTATTAATACTTTATATGTATATAATAAAATAGAAGGATGCATATATAATTTTATTCATAAAATTTTTTCATAACAGTGATTAAATTATACTGATAATATCATTATAATAATAAGGATTTTTTTTTATTATTATTATTTACTACCAACCCTCTCTGTCCCTCCTCCTATCTCCACATTATTTATTTATTATTAATTTATAATTTATAATGGGAAAGAAAGAAACAATTGTTTCGGTGAACGTCGCGTACACGTCGATTTCCAAGACTAAATGCTCTAACCAAAAACAAATGTGTTATATGTATATTTCTGTTCTCCAATTTAAGTTATATATTTATTTTTTTAAAATAAATTAAAAAATAATAATATTATATTGATTAGTAAAAATATATGAAATAACTGTAAAATAATATTTTTATAGAAATTCAAAATATATTTTTATAAAATTAAAAATATTTTAATATATATATTACTTTTATTATAATATAAAATATATATTTTTAAGTGAACAAATAAAAATAATAAAATTAGTAAATTAAGTTAAAATTCAAAATATATTTTTATAAAAATGAGAAATATTTTAATATTTATATATAAATTACTTTTATTACAATATAAAATACCCCTCCGTTATTCAAATCTGCTCACTTTTTTTTTTGGGTTATCATTGAAAAATATTCTTTTTTTTAAGTAAAAAATCATTTCATTTTCTGTACTATTTTTTACTATAAAAAGAAAAATTAACAATTATTATTCACTTTTATTAAAACTCATGCCCGATCAAATAAATACAAATTTGTCTGAGGAATGGAGTATTTACTTTTAAGTGAACAAATAAAAATAATAAAATTAATACATTAAGTTGAGAAAAAAAAATTATTAATTAATATTTATGTTATATTTTAATCTAATCTAATTTAATGCATTGATTTGTTCCCTTTAACCATGTATTTTTCAGAGCTTGTTTTTTAACATGATTATTTCATAAATATATTGAGTTTGTTTGATTTTGATTTAAAATTAAATAGTAAATTTAATTTTAATTTAATATTTATAATATATAATAATAATATTTTTATTAGAACCATACGAAAATAACAAGATATTTTTCTGGTTGAAAAAAAAAAAAACAATCATTGGCATTTTTTCTTTGTAAGTTTGTCAAACTTAATTTTATTATTTATTCATTTATGTTTTAAAACAATCAAATAAATATATTATAAGAAAAAATTATATATTTTTATTACAATTATATTATAATTAAAAATAATATAATTAAAAAAAGCATACCTATAATATATAAATCTAATCCATATTTCATCAAATACATTAAATTAAATTATTTTCACATAATGATAAAACTTTCAGTGATGAATATCCTTTCATTTATATACAATCAATGTTGATCGATAATAGAAAATTTAAATTTAAATTTAATATATTTAATTAAATACAAACTTTTTTTTTTTTCGATAAATTTATACACAGTCTATTTATAATAGTATAATTATATCTATCTACAATTAGAACTCTTAATTTAAAAAATGATATATAATCAATTTATCACTATATATATTTTTATTTATTTATTTATTTTTACATTATTGGTATATATATATTTATCAAATCTGTAACAAATTTCTTACAATACATCTATTTCACTTTTACCTATTCTCATATTATTTTTTGCTTATTATATTTTAATATTAAAATATCTAATTTTTTTGTTTTTGTGTCCAACTAAACTTGCTTAATTTTACTAGGTGGAAGGTGTATAATATTTTAAAAATCAAAATTTACACTTTTTACATTAAATATATACATAATTTATTTATAATAAAAATATTTTATTATTTTATATTTTATTATTTCATTTTAACAAATAATAATATTTTTTTATTATTATTATTTTACTTACATTATTAGCTTTTTTTTTTATTAATTTCTTAATAAATTTTACATAATGCATCTACTTGATTTTTTATTTATTATATTTTAATATTAAAATATTTTTTTTCATAAAATCATAAATTTTTTTGGACGAAAAAAATAATAAATTTATATATTAATATATATATTATTTTATAAACATATCTTTTTATATATATAATATAAATGGTAAAAATATTTATATTATTAATATGATATAATTTAAAACTTATATATAAACTATTATTCACACTCCATTCTAGCGCAACTTACCTATTCAGTTTATTTAGGATTTATGCAGCTGTGGATCTACATGGGCTAGGGGGTAATTTACTCCGGCTCTAAAATATATGTACTCCCTCTCTTCTACATAATTTGTTTATATTTTTTATTTTCGTCCGTCTTATTTAATTTATTTTTTGAAAAATTAATTATACATTTTAATTATATTTTAAAATTTAATTTTTTTTTATCATAATTAAACTATTTAATTATCTTAATCTTAATCTATAATTATTTTTACTAAATAACAATTATTTTTACTAATACATTTCTTAATTACTTACTAATTATATTTTACCTAAATTCCCGTGTCTATTGTAATACACCCATATTACATGGGACGGAAGGAGTATTTTTTAGCGTAAAAAATATAAAATTATATTTTTGTTTAGTAATTTGTTCCTTCTATATTTTTTTTTTTATTTTATAATATAAAAAATCATAAAAAATTTGTTTGGTTATTGATTTACACTTTTAGCTTTTTAAATTTTATTTTTTATAGAAAAAATATTAAATTTTATGTAATTTTTGAAATTTTTTTAAAATATTTAAATTTTTTTAATTTTTTTTGCCTGAATGTGCTATGAATTTAAAAAAAAAAAAAAACATAACATTGAATTGATAAAAAAAATTGATATTTTTATCCCTCCGAACTTTTCCTACCGATTCCGTCACCGACTATATTTTATATTACATATATAATAATAAAAATAAAAATAAAAACTGAATATTATGGCATTACCATAAACTAAATATTATGTTATTTACCATAATAATAATAATAATAATACTAATAATAATAATAATAATAGTAATGATAGTAAAAGTAATAATAATAGTTATAATTTTAACAATAGTAATAACAATAATAATAATAGTTGGTTTAGTTATTAATTGTGATTACAAAAACACTTAGCGGGAATTCTTATTACACAGGGAGTTGTTCGTTTTTCAGTCGGGTTCCTTTCACTCTATAAATGTGTAGTTTTGCTTTCGCGTTTTTCTTCTCAATGTAATCAAACACCAGCATCCTCTCTAACTTCCCTTTCTCCTCCCTTAATAGCCATGTCCTCCTTGTTATTCCACCAACCGCTCTGCCTTCACCAGCCGCTGCACCGCCGTGGTTCTCCGCACGCTCTTTCCAACGCCGGTACTGATCGATTTTTTGTTTGTATATTTATGTTGATTTGTAATTGCGGATTTCTAATTGCTTGCAGTTAGTGCTAATGATTTTGAATTTTCGTTTTGTGCTTGATTTTGCTTCTAATTGATAGGTGCTTTCCAGTATCTGAAATCTGTTGGTTCCACTTGTCGGATTTTGGAATGCAATGCGGCGTACAAACCTCATGCAGAAGGTGTGCGGTTCATCTGCAATCCTGTTTCGCTTTTTGATTTTTGATTCTTCTTTTTTTTTTGGTAAATTTGGTGTTTGAGGTAGAGTAATCGGATATGTATGTGCAGAACTCGTAGGTGCGATTCAGAATGAACTGCCAGACACGAAGCTTTGGGAACAGATTGTGGAGGACGGCACAGAGGAAGATGATTCTATCTTTTTGGTATTGTTTAGTAATTTTTATATGTAGTTTCTATAAATGCGTATGCTATTATTATGTTTGATTCTGATTTCGTCTCCACTCATTCTCTCTCATAGTCAAAATCACTCTTTCAATTCAGGACTCAGATAAGATTCGGAAGCAGGTGCAATTGATTCAGTCGATGCTGCAGTCCATGGGCGACGGAGAAATAACCGTCTCTCCGTACGACACCGCATGGGTAGCGATGGTGGAGGATATCAACAGCGCCGACCGCGTGCCGCAGTTCCCCTCCAGCGTCGACTGGATCTCCAATAACCAACTCTCCGATGGATCATGGGGAGACGAATACATCTTCTCGATCTACGACAGAATTATCAACACATTAGGATGCGTAGCTGCGTTGAGATCATGGAACATTCATCCTGAAAAATCTGAAAAAGGTAAACCTCTGTCTCTCTCTCTCTCAATCGAATCCGAAATTGAAATTCAATTCACAAATCTACAGTCTCTGTCTAAAATAGCACTTACTCTTCCTTAACATTACTACGCGTTCGAATTCCTGCAGGAATTTCCTTCATCAAAGCTAATATCCACAAGCTCGAGGACGAAAACGAAGAGCACATGCCGATCGGTTTCGAAGTGGCATTGCCATCGCTTCTCGAAATAGCAAAAAAGCTCGACATTGACATCCCTTACGATGCTCCATGCCTGCAAGAGATTTACCGGAGAAGAGACATAAAGTTGAAAAAGTACGTCATAATCCACAATGCATTCATCACTACTGTTTACAAAAGCAAAACACTTAACCAAATTTCTGCTCCCCCAAAAATGGTTCCAACCATCACTTTCCATTAGTCAAAATTCTAAACCTAATTTGGATCTTTCAAATCACGGCTACCCCTGTTTCTTATTTTTGAAATTACTATTCAATTGATGAACAGGATACCGAAGAACATCTTGCACAAAGTGCCGACAACACTACTCCACAGCTTGGAAGGGATGGCAGACCTAGAGTGGGACAAGCTAATAAAGTTACAGTGTGCTGATGGATCATTGCTATTTTCTCCATCTTCCACAGCCTTCGCTCTCCAGCAAACAAAGGACCAAAATTGTCTCAAGTATTTGGATAAAGCTGTCCAGAAATTTAACGGTGGAGGTAATTCATTTTAAATATTGTTCTTATGTCTTATTCCTATCTGAGGGTGTGTTTCTTTTTTATGAATTTGGAAAAAAATGGTTTGAATTTTATATGAAAATAATATATGATAGAATGTTTTGTGATATGAAAAAATATATTTTTTTTCAAAAAAGGCTTAGTCCAAATAAAGTAACTTACCATTAATTGTTTCTTATTTGAGAGTTATTATGTATTTTTTATTTAGTGAAAATGATATTCTTGAATTTGATTTTTAGAAGAGTGGAATGATAACATGCACTGAATAGAAAAAGTCATTGAATTACTAAAATCTAAGTTTAATAAATAACAATAAATACATTATAGGTTCCAATTGAAAGGTGAGGATTCTTAAATCATTTTGGATGTGTTTGGTTAGTGGCTATTTTTATTCTATCTCCTTTTAATAAATTAACATATTTATATTTTTTAAAAAAACTAGTTACCATAACTTTATAAATTTAATTTATGTTATTAATAATTAAATATATATAATTTTCATTTATTTGAAGTAGATAAAAATTTATTTATTTTTAATAAATTTATGTTTAATTTATTGACATTAAAACACTTTGAACATATTTTAAATATCTATTATACCATAAACCAAACACATCACATCGTAATTCTTTTCTTGGATTGTATTTTTTGGATGGATTTAAATTTAAACTTGTATTTATTATTCCTTCAGTCTCAATCGAAAGTTTTCATTTTGTCATTCTGTCTGTCCATATAAAATATATTAGCTTTATTTTTTATTGTTGATTTTTTTTATGGTGGGAGTATTTTTCTTCTAAATAAATCATGGTATTTTGTTTTTTTTTTTTAACTTAACGTTGGTTTGATATACAATGTAAGACAAGAGAATCCTACCATTATTAATCCTTTTTCATTTTTGTTGATTAACAATTCATTTCAATGTCAAATAATTAGTTCCAAATGTGTACCCGGTGGATTTGTTCGAGCACATTTGGGTGGTAGACAGATTGCAGAGACTTGGAATTTCGCGATATTTTAAATCAGAACTTCAGGAATCTATTGATTATGTTCACAGGTTATAACACTAACTTTTATGCAATATAATTTACATGCATAAGTTCGTTCATACATATGATATTATATAATTCATGTATCAACAGGCATTGGACAAATAAGGGGATTTGTTGGGCCAGAAATTCTGAGGTACAAGACATCGATGACACAGCCATGGCCTTCAGGCTAATGAGATTATATGGCTACAAAATTTCCGCAGGTAATAAATATATATATATATATATATTCTTTTGTAATATCCTAAATAATTATTCAAACAAAATAATTCAATTGAATTATTGGCAGATGTGTTCAAAAATTTCCAGAATGGCGACGAATTCTTCTGCTTCTCCGGGCAGTCGACGCAAGCTGTGACCGGAATGTACAACCTCTATAGAGCCTCCCAGTTGAGGTTCCCCGGAGAAGACATACTCATACAGGCCAAAAATTTCTCGGCCAAATATTTACAAGAGAAGCGTGCAAATAATGAGCTTTTGGATAAGTGGATTATTACCAAAGATCTCCCGGGAGAGGTTAGTGGTTATTATTATTACATTTTGCTTTGATCACATGAATTTCAACCTTAACTTTTGTTATAATTGATAATATATGGTCCTGACTTGCCTTGTCGGACCACCAGAATAATGAAGTACCAGTTAAAATATAGTTTGCTAATGTATTATCTTATCAATATGGAAAAGGCCACCACCTCCCATTATTTTATCAATTATATTATGAAATCACAATAAAAATGCCCAATTGTTGTTACCCCACATCCATTATTATATATTGTTCATATATACAGTTTTTTATATTTTTTGTTTCGTTGTAAAATTTGTAAAAATACCCCACACCCATTATTATATATTGTTCATATATACATTTTCTATTTTTTTTTATTATTATTTTTTGTTTGGTTGTAGAATTTGCCACGTTTCGTGCCAAAAGAATGAGAGAAATAGCCCTTTTTCTGAATTACTTTTCTCCCTCCCTTGTGCAAATATATGCTCACTTGATGGGGTATAAATTTTAATAAAAATGAATAATAATTGTTATTATTATTATTATTTTTTACAATAAAAAAATATAAAAGTGTAATTATTTTTTACTTAATAAAGAAACAAGAATTATTTTTTTTATTACAAACCCTAAAAGGAGAGCATAGAACTGAATGGATTAATAAATAATGCCGTCCGATCTTGTAATAAATTATTATTATTATTATTTAAATGAGTTCAGGTGAGTTATGCACTGGACGTGCCCTGGTATGCCAACTTACCTAGAGTCGAGACAAGGTTCTACTTAGAACAGTATGGTGGCTACGAGGATGTCTGGATTGGCAAAACCCTGTACAGGTAAAATCAATTCTATATTTCCCCTTCTCCAAAAAGATAACAATAATAAACAAAAATAACATGTACATAGTAGGTGAACAGGGCCGTCCCACGGTCCAGTCTAAATCTAATTTAAATTAAAATTCATTATTTATTTATGTTATATAAAAATTATTTGACATTAATGCATTAATACAAGATCTTAACTTGGTGACGAAGTTCTATCTATTAATATTTTGTATATAAAAATATTATTTTTTATTTATATTTTATTATAAAAAAATATTATATATATATATATTTAAGTGCCCTTAATTTTTATTTTGTCGAATACTTCGAAAGTCAAGCCCTGTAGGTTTGACTGAGGCAATAATAATAATAAATCAAGAATAGGAGCACATTCTGAATTGCTAGCTCGTGTCGGCACAATTGCAGCCATTTATTACATCAGATGACGCTCTGTGTCTTGCCATGTTTCCATTACCTACCTCTCTGAATCCTGTCTTAATTACTAAGTACAATAATTTCTCGTTGGTCGACTCTAATTAGTATATATATAGTTAAGTGATATTATATCCTAAAAACTTATATTTAAATAAGACAGTTATTTATATCATCTAATATTTACGATTTGTTGTTGTTAGGATGCCGTACGTCAATAACAACACCTATCTCGAACTGGCCAAACTGGACTTCAACAACTGCCAGGCATTGCACAGGGAGGAGCTAAGAAACCTTCAAAAGTAGTAACCATTCTCAAATTAATCCAATTCCATTTACACAACCTTAAATCATTTCTACCAATCATCGACTAATTCCTTCATATTTCGATATCTGCAGGTGGTCCAGAAACTGTTCCTTGTTCGAATTCGGTCTGACCGACGCCACCCTCCTCCAGACCTACCACATTGTCTCCGCCAGCGTGTTCGAACCCGAACGGTCCGCAGAACGCATCGCCTGGGCCAAGACAGCCATCCTCGTCGAGACCATAGTCTCCCACTTCCATCAAAACCACTTCTCCCCACACCAAATCTCCACCTTCGTCCACGAATTCGCCAACACCACCTCACCCAACAGTGGATCCCAAAACAATGGATCCCCAAGGTACGTAAAAAAGTTGAAATTTAGCTACAAAAAATTTTGTAGTAAAAGGTAATGACTTCATATAATATTTTTGCGATGAAATGAGTTTTTTCGTCTCTACATGTTAGTAAAGGTATTTGACGATAAATATGACTTTTATAACAAAAATAAATAAATTTTTTACTATAAAAAAATAAGAATAAAAATATAGCTACGAAAATATGATTTTGTATCTAAAGCATTTTTGTGATAAAATTAAAATTCATAGTAAAAGTATTTTAGCTATATAATAAAAATATTTTAACGACAAAATTAATTATGTACTATATAATTTTTTTTAGCGATGGAATTAATTTTTATTATTAAATAACACATTTTAATTAAAAAATATTTTGTATTTAAAAATATTATAGCTAATTAGATACTCCCTCCGTCCTCTCAAAACAATAGTTTTCTTTCCATAAATAACTATATCACCATAAAATTATCCTTACTTTTTCATTATTATTACACAATTGCCACTATTTTTTACAATAATATATTGACCAGAGCAAAAAAATCATTTATCTTTAATTTTTACCGACTACCAATATAATATCAATATTCTTTAAATTTCGTATCCAACTTAATAAAACTATACTTTTGAAACGGGGAAAGTATTTTTTTACAGTGATATTCATTCAGTATAGTACTACTGCTGAATGAGAAAAAAATAAAAATATCATGCTTGCTAATTTCCACAGGAGAATCAGCACCTTCGTCGGCGCCATTGTCCGGACACTAAACCAGCTCTCCTTAGACATGCTTTCAGCACACGGCCGCCACGTCCATCCCCAGATCGTTCACGCAGTACGTTGTCTAAATAAAAAATAAAAAAATCCCCAATTTCAATTAGGGTTTGCAATTTCTGACATCTATTTAATTTTCTACAGTGGCAAAGCTGGCTGGACACGTGGACGAATCAGGAAGGGGACAGCTCCAGCAGACATGGCGAGGCAGAGCTGTACCTACGTGTATTAAACATAAGCAGTGAAAGTGGGTCCCTCGAGGACCACGACCTACTAAAGTCGCATCCCAAGTATCAGCGACTTTTAGCTATCACAGAGTCGGTGTGCAGCAAGCTGCGACTTTTCCAAACCCAAAAGGTTTAAAAAACACAACTCTTTTTATGGATTGCGCAAAAGCGCTGGTTATTAACGAATTGGAAACACGCTTTCTGTTATTTATGGATTGCAGGATAGGGGAGAGGCGATGTGCGGTCAGGATGGAACCACGACAGCGGAGATAGAATCGGAGATGGAGGAGTTGGTGGAGATGGTGGTGGTAAAAGATGATGATGATGATTTGGAGAGTGGTGTGAAGCAGAAGTTTCTTACGGTTTCTAGAAGCTTCTATTACTCGGCTTATTGCAACCCTGGCACTATCAGCTTCCACATCGCCAAGGTACTGTTCGAAAAAGTGCTGTGAGCTTGGAGGTTGTGTATGTAAAACTAAGTGTTTATTATTATTATTATTAGTTTAGATTTTGGGGGTTTTTTTATGGTTTCGTTTTGTTTTTTTTTGGGAATAAGAATGTTATATGCTGTTTCGGATGGTATTGTGAATGTAATGGGTTATGGAGGGATGATGTAATATATTTGAATTAAATTAAATTAAATATCTGGCCGAAGTATTAGAAATATTAGTAATATATTGAGATGTAACAGGAATAAAGTAAAAATGATTAAAATAACCTTATTAGTATTATATGATATCAAACTAATGACGTTTATGTAATATATTGTAAGTTGTAAAAGTATTTATAATGTTAAGTAGATAATATATATATATAAAAGAAATACATACTTTGTTATATGATATATTAAAATGAAAAAATAAATATTTTGTTACGAAGGAAGGGAGTATTATTTTGTAAATTCTTTTTATGAATTAGTAATCCATATATTATTTTGTAAAAGCTTCTTTGTTTACGTAATATATTTTTATTCATTTGACACTCTTTATTTTTAAAAGAATATTAAATTAATCATACTTTTTCACTCACAAACCATCGTATCAAATTCTACATTTTATTTTTTTTCAAACTTTTAAAATGGCAGAAACCTCTGTGTAAACAAACCCTTTATTTATTTATTTATTTTGTTTGTTTGGATGGGAAGTTTATTTGTGGACTGGTGCTTGCATTTATTTTTAAACGGGTTTGGGTCGACCCAAGGCCCAATTTAAATTACGGATGGGCACATCCTAATAAGTTAAAATCAAATTGGGCTTTAAGTGGGCCTGATATGGCCCATTAGTCGTGGACTTAGTTTGGACTAATGGTAGTGAAACGATGACGTAATGGGTTCCACGCAGAGAGATTCCTTCTATCCCACGTGTCACTTTCTTCTCTCTCCCTCTGCTCGCTGCTTTGCTATTTACTGCTGCTGCTCCACACAAACGAAATCAAATCGGGGGAAGACGACGACGGCTGTACTGCGGAGGAAAGGTTTTCCGGCGGCGACTTATCGATGGATGCTAGCCTCCTTCTCCGGTGCCCTGTCAAGCCGAAGCTCAAGCGCCCTTGCTGTGCTCCTTTCCCCGATTCCGCTGCCGAGAATCCGAATCTGAATCAGCTGGACGCGCTCTTGGAATCGTTTCTCGAACTCTCCGATTCGTCCTCGGTTGCTCTCGACCTCTCCTTTGATCGCGTGCTGGAATCCAGAGCTTACGATTCCGACAAGATCGGCCTGATCGAGCAGGCGCTCCGCCTTGGTTCGGTTCTCACTGAAGCGGCTAGGCGATCGGCGAGGAGCCTTGCTTGTAAGCACAACGCTGTCGCGTGGCCTTTGCCGTCTGATCTTACTGTCAAGGTGATTTTGCTTTATTTTTGAGGATTTTATTTGTTGTTAGTGTTTCAGCTCCGAGGGCCTGTGCTTGGGGATATAGATGTGCATAGGATTAGCTTTTTATCTACAAGGTGGATTATGATCATTCTAGCACATCAATGAAGATGCTGCTTGCTGCAATACTTCTCAGTGTCGGTCTTTTCTGGTGATGTTTACCTTGCTGTAAGGATAGGAACTTTTGTATCTGAGCTTCAATTTCCAAAAGAATGATTGAAGCTTGTTCAAAGTTTGTTTTGCTGAAAATCTTCTGATGCGTTGGTTAGCTTTAGCTTCTTTGGAGCATGACATTGTTCTAATGATGTTCTATGGCGTCATCTTCGTTTGTATTGTTGATAGGAATTATGTCTAGCCATGATATTACATTCAATTCCATAAGAAAATGCGGTTTAAGTTATGGTTTTCTGTATGCTCCCTGTTCAGGTGTTCTCATTGCTTGATACACAAAGTGTATGTCATGCGGCAGCTACATGCTCTTTTTTCCACAAGTGTGCTGCTGACCCGTCTTGCTATTCCAATATTGATTTGACCATGGGAGTGCCTAAGGTCAATAATATGGTAGTTTCAACAATGATCCAGCGAGCTGGAAAAGTTCTGCAGTAAGTTGCTTCGACCTTGTTGTCTGTCATAAGTTGCTTTATCTGGTAATGTGGCCTTTAAAATTATGTAATCTTCATTTCTGCTCAAATGTCTTATACAAGCAATGGAAGGATATTGGCATGCTTTAGATTATTTTTTGCATTTATAAGAATTGTTGTATTTTGCTGAAAAAAATGATACAATCTTTTATCTTTTTTCAGTTCCCTTAAACTTGGGATAGTCCCCTCCCAGCCTGTTGCATTACCAGGTTCATCTGAGGTGCTGGTTTATTCTATGAGGAATTCCTCAGACAAATCTGGATTTTCTTGGAATGATAAAAGGTCTAGACAGGGAAAAGAATCATTTATACTTACCAGGTCTTGCTTGGCTCCATTGCTTGCTGATGGTGGTGCTCCAGGGTAACATTTGATACTTTGCATTCAATGATTGTTGTATTTAATGTGTTTATATCACTTTTTTTTTTCTTTCTTTTTTTTTCAGTGAGCATCCCGTCCCTACTAACATTTTAAATTTCTGGTTTTAAGGTCTCTTCTGAGAAGATTGCATCTTTATAACATTGAAAGAATGGACAACACAGCATTTGGTGCTGCAATATCAGCTTGTCCATCTTTGCTTGATCTAGAAATTGTTGGCCTGTGAGTATAGAAACTTACTGGTTTACTAAATTTGTGCTTTTTTGGTACTACAACTTGTTTGTCATCAGTTAATTTTTTGCAATAGGGTTCTAATGTGCCTATACACAATTGGTAGCTCTGTAATGTTGAATTGAATACTGTTCCAAGAAATCTAGGTTTAGAATAATTCAGTTGAGCATATCACGGGCAATTAATTACTTCAATTGATGCACGGTGATTAACAGGTCTGTTTTGGTTAAGAGTGCATTACAAATTATTCATTATCAACATGAATATTCCATAAATCCTCTTTTAGCCTTTGATGGGTGTTTTTTGGTAGTGAAGTAGTCCATGTTACACCATACTTTGCAAAGCCTTTCCATATATCACTGCACACCGAAGATTCTTTTAAATAGTATTATTATAGATTATTGTGTGATGGATCTTAAGTTGCACCAGTTGTACTGAAGAAATAGATAATCTAGATTTATTATGTGAAGAACCCAATTGTATGATGTGTGAATTATCTGTCTTCAAATATTTCAGGGTTTACATAATATTTTTATTAAGAAAAATGATAATATTGATTTGTGAACTCATTCTATTGATAGTCATGTGGAGCTAAGGCAGACACTGGACTCAGTGAGTAGATCTTGCCCTCTGATAGAGCGACTATTTTTCGAATCATCAAAAACAGGTGGATCATAAACCCAGTTGTATGTGCTCCTTTCAGTACCAGAAAAAGTTATTTTACTCATATTACTCCTACCACTCAGGTCGAGACGACAGTTTGAAATTACCAACATGCAATGATCTAGTGTCAAATTGCCCACATATTTCATCATTGGCACTCCGAGGCTTCAAGTTGCACGACATTAAAGTTCGTGTACTTGTAAAGGTGCTGCTCCAACCTTTAGTTACCGGATATTTTGATGTCGAGAGTTATGGGTTCTATGAACAATGTATTTGCAGGGGCTCCGGAATTTGAAGTGTGTGGACTTCTCAATGTCCTACTCAATTACTGGTGACTTTCTTAGGTAAGCTTAAGTCACTGAATATGGTAGATACACGCCGCTCATCGACCCGTGTCTTTATGCTCTTTATTTAATTATTTGGCCATTCTGTTTGTAGAAATCTAGGCAGCAGTGCCGGTGGAAGCTTATTGGAGATTTTGATTTTACGGGATTGTATGCACTTGAGAGAAGTAAGTTTCGATTAATTTCACTCTGTGGAAACAAATTATGAACTCAAAACTATAAATTATCCATTTATAATCTGATCGTCTGTCATTCCAGGCGGAAGTGTCGAGATTGCTATCGGCAATTCTTTCAGGACGCTTCAAGCACCTTAGACACCTTGTGAGTGTAAAAAATTTGTAAAGAAGCGATACTCTTTTAGCAAATTCTTCTCTTTACCTATGGGTGACCTGTTGCAGGACATATCGAATCGAGAGGGGCTGGCCTCGGACGATGATTGGTACCATAGATGTTACACCCCAAGGTATATACATATATATGTATATATATATATATATTGCTTGTATTTCAGCTGTCAGCCTAATGCGCCGATTATGCAGCTTCATGTCCTTGGGAGAATTATTGGAAGAGAGGCCTAATTTGCGCGTTCTTGCAGATTTTCCCGCGGATGGAAGGTAACTAATTTATTTAGTTTCCATGCGCCGTTGGAAATTGATTTATCGGCTAATTCCTTTTCTTGTCCAACTGAAATTCCGATCTGTGGCGTTCAGTTTTGTCGAAGAGCCAATGTCGAGCAGCGACGTAAACAGTGAGCCTTTTTCGCAGTCGTTGACATCCAGTCACACATCTGATGATTACGTGTTCACTAGTTCATCAGAAGGCAATTATAGCAGCGACCAAAGTAGCGGCAACGAGGACAACCCCGCCCCTAACCACCATCCGAATCTCGACGAAAGCTCGGATGAGGTGGACTACTTGTAGCACGAGGGTGTGTTTTGAATTATTAGCACCCGAAACATTACAGGTACGATTTTACCTTGAGGCTCATCGTGTTTCCAAAGACTGAAAAATGCTATTGACATGTATGAGATAGTTATCGAAAATAAATTTATCGCTACCACATATTCGTGAAAAGTTCTCTATCCGAACAACGGCAGCTGCCAATGGCTGATCGGATAATTGCTCAGTGCGGCGTTCGACACCGCCGGAGCCTTAAGGTTTCTCTATAACTAGAGTCTTCACTTCCGGCATCCCCAATTAAGAGGCTTTTAGGCTTTTCTGTTAAATTGGGCCTTGTTTTTGCACCTCTCAAACTGTATGCATTTTATGCCATTTCCTGATTGCATCTGATTCAAGTACAAACGGTAATATAACTGAAAGCCTAGATACACGCTTTATCCCTTGGTAGTTGGAAACGCGACTTTATACGTAGTTAGTGAATGCGAAAAGCGCTATAGTTGGAAGACTTTATAAGAAGTTAGTGAATGCAAAAAGCGTTCGACGAATAACCACGCTTTCTCCCTAGCTAGTTGGAAGCGCGACTTTATAAGAAGTTAGTGAATACGAAAAGCGTGCGACAAACGCTTTCTCCCTTGCTAGGTGGAAACGAGACTTTAAAAAGTAGATAATGAATGCGAAAAGCGTGCAACGCATAAATAGTTGGAAACGCGACGTTATAAGAAGTTGGTGAATGCGAAAAGCGTGCGACGAATAACCACGCTTTCTCCCTTGCTAGTTGGAAGCGCGACTTTATAAGAAGTTAGTAGATACGAAAAGCGTGCGACGATAAAAACGCTTTCTCCCTTGCTAGGTGGAAACGCGACTTTATAAGTAGCTAGTGAATGCAAAAAGCGTGCAACGCATAAATAGTTGGAAACGCGGTTTTATAAGAAGTTAGTGAATGCGAGAAGCGTGCGACGAATAAAACACGCTTTTCTCCCCGCTAGTTGGAACAGCGACTTTATAAGAAGTTAGTGAATGCGAAAAGCGTGCGACGTATAAAACACGCTTTCTCCCTGCTAGTAGGAAGCGCGACTTTATATAAATAGTTGAGTGAATGCGAAAAGCGTGCAACGCATAATATTTTATTTTATATATGCGTGCGTGTGTGGGTGTATGAATATTTTAGGGAAGTTTTAAGAACGAAACCAGATTGGTGTTTGCGCCGGCGGTTCTACAGTTACCATGTCCAGCGCCACCGCCAACAACCACTCCACGGCGCAGTACCGCCCCTACCGCCTCAAAAAGGTCCTCACGAACCACAGTCGCGCCATATCGGCGGTGAAATTCTCCAACAGCGGCCAGCTCTTCGCCTCCGCCTCGCTCGATGGAACCCTAATTGTGTACTCCTCGGAAACGCTCGAGCAAATCTACCAATTGGTCGGGCATTCTCAGGGCGTCTGTGATCTCGCCTGGTCCTCCGATTCCATTTCCACGTACATCTGCTCCGCCTCCGACGACCGGACGGTTCGCATCTGGAACGCACGCACCGGCGATTGCGTGAAGACGCTCAAAGGCCACACTGACTTCGTTTTTTGCGTGAACTTCAATCCGCAATCGAATTTAATTGCTTCTGGATCGTTCGACGACACGGTTAGGGTTTGGGACGTGAAAACCGGGAAGGCGGTACACGTGATCCCGGCGCATAGCATGCCGGTGACGTCCGTCCATTTTAATAGGGACGGTTCTTTGATTGTCTCAGGCAGTCGTGACGGAACTTGTAAAATTTGGGATACCTCAAGTGGATCGCTACTGAAGACGCTGATCGACGATGCGGTGCCTGTGTCGTTTGCCAAGTTCTCTCCTAATGGGAAGTTTATTCTCGTTTCCACGCTTGATGATAATCTTGTAAGTTCAATACATTCATCTGTAACTTTTCTTATACTTTTCGGTGAAAATCCTGTTCATTTGATTGTTATTGTCTGCAGTAGTAGTTGGTTATTTTACCGTTAATGTGGTTTGGGATTGGTTTTGCTTTAGGCAACAGTTGTAAGGTTCAGTGTGGATCACAGATTAAAGTAGGTAGAAGAGAATGAAATTTCTGAAAGGTACGGATTGGCATTTATTTAGTTAGTTATGGAATCGAAATAGTTAACATTCTGATGAGAGAAAAACACCTAAAATTGTGTCAGTGATAAAAGCATGTGTAAAATTGAGTCCATGTCATATGAATATTTAGATATTTAGACATGAATTTGTTGCGGTAGCCTATAGGTTAGTTGGAAAGAGGGTGGTGTTTGGAGTACATCATAGTTTGTTTGTTTGTTTGTTTGTTGTTGGTGGTTTGAAGGTGTTTCGACTTTCCATTAGGCATACATAGTGTTAAGTGTGATATCTCAACTCAATCAAGTTTCTAATGGTTGATGATGGTTGTGTATTACAGAGGCTGTGGAACTACTCAACTGGGAAGTTTATTAAGTTCTACACTGGCCATGTGAACAAAGTATATTGCATCATGTCGGCATTCTCGGTAACAGGTGAAAAGTACATTGTGAGTGGATCGGAAGATCATTGTGTATACTTGTGGGATTTACAGGGCAAAAATTTGGTTCAGAAACTGGAAGGGCACACTGACACTGTTATTTGTGTTACATGTCATCCCACCCAAAACATGATTGTTTCGGGGGGGCTGGACAACGATAAGACAATTAGAGTATGGGTTCAAGATTGATATGGAGGGATAGTGGTGAATAAGTTTTAGTTGCCTTACTTAGTTTTGCCGTGGGAAAGTTGTACTCTCTATCTTTTGAGTTACTCCTCATACGCTTTGTTTTATGAATATCCGTGTTTATGTTTGCAGTTTTTGCCTGAATCGATTGAAGCTGAATTTGTTTCCTTAGTTAATATTGATCCTGAGTCGTAATTCTCTTATCTGAAAGGTTTTATTGATCACAAAACTTGGTTTCATTTCTAACCTGATTTCTTTCGTTAGATCATTCGGAACATAGTATAGTAGATAATAATCATTGTGCACTTTTAACTCAGGGCATGCCAATGTTGCATTCTTGGCAATCTTTTTCGTATTTTTTGCATAGATTAAAAAGACAGGTTAAGAAGAAGAAATTCAGCTCAAGGTCAAATCCATTATACACAACTAAACAACTACTCATTTCTCCATGCACACAAAACCAGAGAAAAACCATAAGCCTGTGACTCTGTATCTTTGGTTCTTAGTATGGCAGGGCAACTGTGAGGAGAAGGTAGAGTTGCAAGCTTTTCTCCGGGAAAACGGGTCCGGAACAAGAAGATTGCTTTATCATGGATAGTTCCAAAAAGCCAACTATGGACATCCCAATACACTTCAATGGAAATCCCATCCACCGATATATTTTGGTTCCCTCGAAACTTCCACTTAAGGTGCGTCACTTGCAATACCTTCTTCTTGTCTATATACATCACCAGGGAGTTGTCGAATTTTTTGCTGTGGTCATGTTCAATTCTGAGGTCATGCAACTCCCCTTTGTCATGAAACTGTGCTCTTGAATTGTATAATCTCTTCCCAAACACATGCTCTCTTTTGGCAACGAAAGTTGCTGTTGAAATGGGAGGTTTCGAATCGATCTTTCTGTAGGCCTTGTGCTGTGAATCTCCAAGAAGCAGGCAGAGTTCCTGATCGAAGGCAACGGCCAGGTAGAAACCCTCCAGTGGCTCGGGACTGGAACCGAATTTAGCAGAAGATAAATCCCAGTAAATGTCGACCGTTGCTGAATTCACCACAAATCTTTTGAAGCCTTTTCTCTTGGAAAAAAGCCACGGCTTCATATCAGCCTTGCAGAGGCACTCGTTAGCCGGGCTTTCGACTGCAATACTAAGCCCTTGCCCCATCAGGTACTTGATCCATGTTACTGTGATGAACCCCGAAAATGTACGAGAGTCATACTGATACACACATGTAACAAGATTCTGTGGTGCAGATTTGTTGGCGCTCGATGACGATGATGATGATGACGAGTCGGCCACTTGAACACCGTTCTCGCCAAAACAGGAAGGGAAATCCTTCATTGTACATCAATCCAGGCGACCTTACCTACCGATTAATCCACAGGTAATTAATTCTTTCTCAGGTTATAAGTTCTTAGAAGAAGATGAACATATGGTAATAAGATGAAATGAGATGTTTACCTCCCAAGCTCAAGAAAACATAAACTTCAATGCTGCTTCTGGTCCAGAGTTAGCGTTCATTCTTTTCAAGTGTAGCACTTCTCTTGAAAATAGGCCTGAGAAGAACTCCTGAATGGCTGATTCAAATTTGAGTTTGGAGAATTTTTTTTTTTAAAAAAAAGGGGCAGAAGGGCTCACTAGGAGATGAGCAGTATAGGACAAGGCAATCTGACCAAGAAAGAAAAATAATAAGCATGAGTGAGAGAGGATGCCAGTTGTTATACTAGTGTTTTTGAAATCGGGCTACCCCACTCTCTCTCTCTCTCATTGGATTGATTCTTGTCAATATTGGAATTTTTTAGATCACATTGGTAGATGTACAAATTGGGAATTGACAGTGTCAAGGGAAGAGCTACATTTTAGAGAAGATGCATTTATAGAGGGCTGACTAGTGACTGTTTGAGCAGAAAGATTTATTAATGGCTAATACAAGGAAAGCAAAAGTGGGAATACTTCAGCATGCCTAAAAATGATCACAAAAAAAGGCTTTAACAACAAGCCAAACTTGCCTTTCTATCTCTATTTGCATTTTATTATAGCTCTGATTATGATTCATTTACACTAATAGTGGACTTAAAGGTTTGGAGGGATTAAACTAAACTACTCTGAATACACACACAAACATGTATGTAATATACGTGTGTGTGTGTGTGTGTGTGTCCATTTGTTAGGTGTTGAGTTTAATGTTGATTAGGATGTATACATACATATTATAATATGTATTGGATAATTCTGTGATATATATATATATATGTGTTTACTTTCTATCATATATTCATATCCATTCTCATTAATGATAGCATAATTAATTTACCAGCCACTGCAATTTGGAAAACATCCCTGTCTCTGAAAGTGGTAATGCCCCTTCCCCTGTTTCAGTCACTATCTACATACATACACAATATTGAATGGTGGTGACTTAAATTAAATCAAATAATTGGTTCTAACATGAAATGATTAAGGAAGTCAAGCCAAAATAGTGAATGATATGTCAAATATTTAATCCACTGGCTACATTAAAAACCCTTCATTCTTAAGCATCTTACCTGCTTTTATTAATAGCTTCTTTAACAATTAAATCATTGAAGAGATGCTAACAACAAAACAATCAAGACCCACCCTGACTCTTTTCTTGATGATCAAGTTTATTTAAACTTGAGATGCATAGCATAAATACCCCACTAAAGATCTATGTTCAATCTTTTCAAAAATTTCATTCAATACTCTCCAAGAAACAAGTGTAATGCACTAAATGGACAATAAAGCTGTAAAGTACAAAAAAGCTTCTTGTGGTGCTATGGCTTCTCTCATTTTTTGTTAGATCATTTCCCCTAACAAGTTTAGTGACATTATTTCTAATCATAACCCTCAACAGCTATAATCATGAATACAAGTGATAAGTCTACTTGATTTAAAGCCAAAACAGAGACTAATTAAAAAACAATAATAATAAATAAATAAAAATTCAAGGCTACCATACATGTGCTGTGTATTATAAAGTCATGTGGTAATGTATTTATTGAGGCATTCTTGAAAACTACTTATCATTACTCTACCATTCAACTCCCAACCTCTTCCAAATTCCATGCCCACAGATCTACAAAGTATGATATGCTTCTTCCTTAGTTTCTCTCACCAAAGTATGATATGCTTCTTCCTTAGTTTCTCTCACCATCCTTTTTCTTCGGGCCTACTGCCATTACGCTGTTCTTTTCAGTGGTGTGTGTGTGTGAGGGTGGGTGGTGTCATATGTTAATGTGATCAGAACCTAAACAGGGAACATAGCATCCTTTACAAAAGAAGTTCCTTATGGTGCTCATGTAAATGAAAATGCACACCAAGTCTTACAGATCTTACTTTGTGGAGAGAATGATTCGCTGCCGGTTCTCTTCCATGTAAATGCTTCTTTTCCTTGTGTCAATCCAAGCTACATCCACAGAAACTGAAGAACATGAATGGTTTGATTGTGTTGATACAATATCCGAGCATGCGATCACTTAAAATGGCTTAATGATGAAAAATGAAGCAAAACTCATGAGTTCTTTTCTCTTTTTTTACATAACTACTTGATGAATTGCACTTCCTATTTCAAACAATCCAATTCTGCTGCAAGAAAAAATCATCGATGACATGAGGTAGCCCACAAGCTTTTGAAGATGCTTTAATCCGAAATACCATGAAAAAGACAATAATCTTTGCTGAAAACATGAAAGAAATACATCTTCGAATAACATCTCTAGAACACCATTAAAGAGCATCCAAAACAAGGGAAATGCAAATGCAATCCAAACATAACTTCATGTCCCAGAGTTGGCCAAACGTACACACAAACATTCTAACACCATGATGATTCTTTTATATTTTTATTTTTAAAAGTTGTTTTAGAAGTCATTTCTTCCAGGAAATTAAGGATCCCTAGGCTAGAAAGAATATTCAGATAAATTTCAACTACAACCTTTTATCACAAAAGGCAGCAACATTGTGATAATTATATGGTTAATCCCCACCAAATAGATATAGGAATCTGTTTACCTGGAAATAATTTCGTGTCATGGTTTGTTTGCCACTTCGTTTCAGTTATAACTAAATAGCTTAAACAGTAACAGTGCATGAAGATGCTCTCTATAGCTCTGAAGCAAAATCGTATGAGCATATCGCCGGGGCATGTAATAACCTCAAGCCAATAACAAGATAAACTGAAAGATTACACAGGAGAAATTACCGGTTACATACTAAAACATTTCCATAAAAGAATCAAATACAACATAAAACTAAATAAATTGCTTCGAATGCAAAGATGCAGGACTCGCATCATATGCTCTAATATGCACCCAATACTCACAAGACAAAAATCGTAAAACAAGACATCAATCTTTGTGAAGATGAACCAGAAATGTCCATTACTGAGAGCTATTTAAACATATGTATAATAAATAAATCAACGACTATAGCAAGATCCACAGTTGCAACATCCAAATTGACTTAATCCATCCAAACCCTGAATTTGTGCATAACTAGTAGTTGTCCAATGACTACTTGAAATTCCAATATTATCGAAGCATATCCTATAAGATGTTCGCTTCTAAACAACACCTACATTCTCAACAGCTAATCTATTTTAGTTTAATAACATACTCACATAAGAAACAACAAATTCAGCATATATACACACAAGATATTCAAACTTGATGCAACAATCCACTTCTAAAAACAAAATTTAGCAACACATCACTACCATTCGACAGGGGATAAGTTCTCAAAAATCTAAACCTTTAGCCAAGTTGCAAGATTGTTAAAAACAGCAATATCAAATGCTTCCAATAAAAAGGTAAATCAGTACATTAAAAATAGAAATAGAAACTCATGCAAACGGTAACTAGATACTGAAAATAAAATAACCGGTCAATCATCGACGTCCTCCCCGGCCCTTCCACTGAATGGATCATGAGAAGGTCCTGTATCCTGCCCAATATGGCGCTGCACCAATCGCTGCAAATCAGCCATAACCTTCTGCTCGCGCTTCGCCTTTTCCTCATAGTTAAACATAGCCAAAGCTCGCTTGTCTTCTGCACTATAAACCTGGTTTTCCTTTCTGATACGGATCGCATTCATCCTCTGATGTCTGCTGCCGCTCATCACATAGCCAAGTGTCTCAAACTTTGAAATCTCCTCTGCTGAAAGTCCCACTTCACCTCTACGCGGGATACGCTTCCCTTGCTGAACATACTGCGCAATGGCATCACCTTCACCGGGCCTTAGTGCACCACCATAGCTGATATGTCCTTCTGCCCTCGGCAGAGGCATTGGCCCAACCACTGGCTCGTTATCCAAGCTCGGCTTCTTTTTTAACTCAATCATTTCCTTGAACTTAAGCAGCTCGCCATTAACATCATCGCTGAGATTGAGTTCCTCTGCCTTCTGAGCAACATCGTTAGCATCGTCTTCTGAACTGGAATCCTTCCCATCTGACTTTACATTCTCGATTTCTTTTTCTCTCTTACTCTTAGCTCTCTTGGACCCTGAAGACGATCCATTGTTTCTTTTCTTCTGCTTCACATGATCACTTGTTTCAGATTCCTCACTATCATTCAGACTTTCACTTTCACTAGATGAACTCCTCCTTCTCCTCTTCCTCCGACTGCGTCGACTGCTCTTTTTCCTATGACTTCTCCCACTCCTCCTTTCTTTCCTCTTCTTCTTCTTTCTCCTCCTCTCTTCCTCTGAATCTTCTTCACTTGACTCCTCTTCAGACTCACTCTCAGACACATGTTTTGATCTCTTACTCCTCCTAGAACCAGATTTCCTACCCTTTCTCGACCTGGAATCATCTGTTTCAGTCTCAGTATTCTCTGATTCGGATTCAGACTCGGATTCCGTCTCCGTAGTACGTTTAGCGACCAATTTCAAATCCTCACGCTGTTTTGATACGTCGCCCCCAACATCTTCCTCCAATTCTTCATCCGATTTCTCATTCGGATTCCTAGGGGGGCTAGGAGTGCAATTCCAAAAGTTGTTTCTGAGCGATTTCCTCAATTTCTGCCGCTTGAGCCTGCGGTATTCTTCGTAAGCTAAGCCTTTCAATTCTTCATCCGATTCAGACTCCGGATTTTTATTATTTCCGTAATCCCGATCCAGGTAGGGCTGCTTCGGATCATCGTATCTGTATTTCCTTCTACCACCGGATCTTTCAGTATCCTCCATGCTAGGGTATGTATAATCCGGGGAAGCACGCCGGTTATACCCCGGGCTCCGGCTCCTACTCCGGCTCCGACTGGGGCTTCGGCTACGGCTTCTTCGTCCATAGCTACGAGCACGCCGGTCATCAGGAGACCACCGGCGACGGTCGGGGATTTCCACGGCCGAAGAGAGTCTCCCCATCGGATCCAATTGGCGATTAAAGGGTCGTTGTTCCTCAGCTTAGGGCATAGAATTTCAAAGTCGATAACCCTAAGGCTAAGGGCGTGTTTGTTTAACTTTGTTTCTTTTTTTTGGTGGAAGCGATGGGAGGTCGGTTGGTGTCGTTATATTAACACAAACTAGTTGCTACCCGTGCTGTGCTACACACGGATTTATCAAAATATAAAAATTAAATAAATTACTATATTATTTTTACATATAAATTGTCATTATTAAATAAAATGTAACAAATTATTTTGTTCTTAAACAACGTAATATTATAGAATATGCATACTTTAATTTGTTGAAATATCAAATCAAAATAATTATTATTTTTCCAAAAAAAATAAAAAATCACTATTTACTATCTCTCATACCCTAATAAAAATTTATTATTTAATCTAATAGGACATTATATCAAGTTATTATAAAAATAACAAAAAAATAAAAAAGATTTATAACAAGAGATGGTAAAGTATTTTGGAAGCGAACTAATTGCCATAATATATATTTTGTGAAGAATTCATAATTATTTGCTAGGAAATTGTTTATTTATGGTGTGTTTGTTCGGGGGTTTGGATTTTTAGTATAATATAAAAAAATAAAAAATACATATTTAATTTGATATTTTTTAGAAAAAAAAAATGAGATAAACAGTGTATTTAAAGTCCAATTTTCCAAACAAACACTTTGTTTTAAAAAAAATTTGACTGTAAAATATAGGAAATTGTATATTTATTTTATTATTTGAATGGTGTAACAAGAATATGAGATAAAGTGAAAATTATTTTATGTGTTTAATTGTACAATTGTCTATCTGATTTTATTATTATTATTTTTTTAAAATATCAAATTAAATATCTATTTTTTTTATTATATTAGACTAATATTTAATTTTACATTCAAAATATTACATCACATGGAACAATTATTTCAATTCAAAATTTTACAATTCTAAATCAAAATCAAAAAGTAAAATTTTACAAGTAAACATGATATATTTTTAGAAAATATCGAAAAATAATATTAAATTTGTTTTTTTAATATTCATATAAAAAAATTGTTAATCATACTTTACAATATGAAGAGCTTGCTAGAATGAGGTGAAACTTGTTGCCACAAAATCATGAATTCGGTGGAGTTTAAAGCAAGGCTGTGTTTACGTGTAAAATTATGATTTTTTGTTTTGATTTTGAATTAAAAAAGAAAAAAAAAAATTTGAATTGAAATAATTGTTTGATGTGTGATATAAATATGTATTAATGTGATGTTTTGAATATAAAATTAAATTTAATTATAATAAAAAAAAATTTGATGTTTGATTTTAATGTTTTTAAAAAGAAAATCCCACAAAATAAACACTTCCATGCTTAAAATTTTTCATCGATTTTCTCTGTCTTCAAAATCTCTTCCCTTCCACTCCTCTATCGAGCCAAACACACCTTAACCCTTCCCCGAGCAGTGTTGACCATTTCCCGTTGACTACTCCAACCCTATCCGATTTCATCATTTTCCTTACTTTATTACACACTGCCACAGCCACCGCCATTAAAAAAAAAAAAAAAAAAAAAAACTCCATAGTTTAAATCTTCGAAGCTTCTTTCCAACAGCAGTATTGAAGAAGAAGCTAATCCACCCATATAAAACTATATATATATATATATATATGAATGATTTCTTGCACACCCATTGCTATAACCACTGCCCATATTTAGAAAGAAAAAAATAAAAAAGAAAACCCAATCATTACAAAAAACATCTTTAACACAAGAAAGAAAGAAATTCACACACTAATTTCTTCCAAGAAATAATCCCCCAATTAATTTTTTTTTTTCTTAAAAACACCCTTTAGTTGATAGCCCTTGATTTCACAAATCAATTGAGTACTAATTTCTCCAATTGACTACAGTTTTGTTTCTTTTACCAAAAAAATTCATTCTTTCTTTCTTATTGTGTGTGTTTCTTGATCTGACAATGACAGGTCACCAGCTCCAAATTTCAGTCTGTCCCCTAAAGTCCTCCATTAATGGAACAGTACCAAGTTATGCACATTTCTTTCTTTCTTGATCACCCTTTTTAATGATCATCACTTCCAAATTCATTGCTATATATCATTTTAATTCTGTTTTTGATCATGGGCTGGCTTCATTCTCTTCTATCCCCTCTCAAGAACTTCTTCGGCCGTCTCCGCGCCACCGCAAGAACTCGTATACTTTTTTACCTGCATTTTTCTTTTTCGGTATGAAAATTTGATCGAAATTCAAATTCCTCTTGATGCATTTTTTTTCTTTTTCTCGATTAGGCCGAGGAATCTATGTGCTGTACGAGGACGTGCAGTCTTGCTCGTGCGAAGACGTGCACGCCCTCTGGACATTGCTTGTCGATTCGGATGCAAAACATTCGTAAAAAGGATCAAGATCTATCATTTTATTTGCTTATTTATTGTTACTTGTTGTTGGTTTGGTTGTGGCTAAAATAGAGATGTTATGTAAATACACCATCAGATATACAAATGCAGTGTTCATACACCACTTTGTCTATGGTATCTTGAAATGTTTTTTGCCATAATGTTTTTAAGGATTTAGTTTAAAATTGTTTTGAAATAAAATGTTATATTTAAATTTTTACAGTTTATATAAGGCCATTAATATATTATTTTCAGTTTGAAATCTAAAAATAAATCCAAAAAACTTATAATATATAAATGTATTTTTATGTTCACATTTTCTGGCCCATTAAAAAAGCCTATAAAAGGTAGAGTTATTGGCCCAATGAATGGCCCATAAAAAGGGGGTTTTCGGCTCCTTCAAAACCCTAGGATCAGACTGTGCCCTCTCTCGAAGAGAAGCGTTTCGCCGGCGGGAAGGCACCGGATTCTCAGCACCAGGTGACGGAAACGGAGTGATTCCGACCAAAAGGTACTGAATTTTGCCTTGATTTGGAAGTTTGGGTCGCGATTGTTTGTGGTTTGGAACGAAATTAATTTGATTGGATTTTTATTAATATTATTTTATTTCTGATCGTTTTTGATGATGTAGAGGAGATGGCGGACAAGGCGGTGACGATCAGAACTAGGAAATTTATGACGAATCGTCTCCTTTCCAGGAAGCAATTTGTATGTATTTTAGTTAATTTTTAACATAAGTGAAGAAATACTCGCAAAGCCATACTGTTGATTTTCAATTTCTTTGTCTTGATGTTCTGGTTCAAAGGTTATCGACGTATTGCATCCTGGAAGGGCTAATGTTTCCAAGGTAAGATCTGTATTTCAATCGTATGCACTTGATTGTTATTGTTTTGAATTATTTTATGCAATTCATTGACTAAAAGGCAAATATCTTTTGTATTATGAGTATGAATCAAACTATTATTCAGCTAGCCTTAACCGAATCAGTATTTTGATAGATGATTGCATGAAATCATTGATATGTGATTGCTTATTTGTTTTGACATCTAACTTTGTGAAGGCTGAGCTGAAAGAGAAACTGGCTAGGATGTATGATGTTAAAGATCCGAATTCTATCTTCGTCTTCAAGTTCAGGACTCATTTTGGTGGAGGGAAGTCTACAGGGTTTGGGTTGATCTATGATTCGGTAGAGAGTGCGAAGAAGTTTGAACCAAAATACAGACTTATCAGGGTAATTTATCTTTTTTTACACAGTGATTCTGGTACATGATTGTTGCATATTTAGATATGTAAGGTTTTATCTCTAGTGTTTTTATAAAGCATGCCGTAATCGTATTTGTCATGTATATCTTTAGATTGACTGCTAATCACCGATGTTATCAATGCCATTGAAACTTCTGAATCAAGTCTTGTTAGTCTCCAACATACCTGATGTGTTTGTTACTATGCCCGAACTTTTAGTTGCCGCATAGTTTTGATCTCTTTCAAAAAATTTACCTGATACAAGCTACATTTTAGTGGTCTTTTTTTTTAGAGAGTGAAATGCAATGTGACATGCCTGTGTACTCTTTTCGTTTATTATTGTTTAAATGTCTATTATTATGTATTACCCGGCTGATTATGCTCGACTATATGGTATATATATATATATATACAGAATGGTCTAGCTACCAAGGTTGAGAAATCAAGGAAACAAATGAAGGAAAGGAAGAACAGAGCCAAGAAAGTCCGAGGTGTTAAGAAGGTATAATCCATCTTTCCTTCTCGAACCATGTTTCAATAATACTCTAAAATCTACCTTAACTTCTGCTTGAACCCATTGGCTGGACAATGCATCGCTTCATACATCATTTTTACTCGTGAGTCAAATTCCCCTTTCACTAATCACTCTCGCCACATGTGTTGCAGACAAAAGCCGGAGATGCTGCTAAGGGCGGCAAGAAGAAATAAGCTCAACATGTTCTCGATTATCTGGCTTATAAATCACAAGGATTCTTATATAAAGATTAGTCTTGATTGAGGTTAGTGCGGCTTAAGATTATAGTTAGTTGTTCGCAGGTCTCGAATTCTTGTTTTTGTTACCATGGGAAGTTTTCTCAGTCTGCTTCTTGATTTACTCTTTATTACAAATTTTACAAGCAGATTGAACTATTATTCCATTTCCTGATTTCTCATCTCATTTTTTGAGATTGCATTTTCAAAATTTGATGCAACTTTTTCTCAGCTTTGATACGCTAGTGTGTGTGTGTATATATATATATATATATATAGCTAGATAACACATAATGTGTATGTTTCTCATTTACTGCATTTCCTTAGATTTAATAGGCATGCTGATTTGGTCGGCATATATAAAATATAGACAGACTACATAATATGTTAAAAATTATGTTCAATAAGTTTACGAAGACAATTCTACACGATAATCTGATTATAATATAGTAATATTAATTAATATATTAATTTATATATGCAAAATAATTTAAAATTCATAATTAGTCAATGTATTGTTGGTGTGTATTTTTTTCATATTAATATAAATTATGTGGTGTTTGTAATTATATTGTGAGCTATTTGCTTTTGTATACTCTTTTTATCATTTTCATTTGCTTCATTTAAAAATCTTTATTTCTAATCATAGTAAAATTAATCAGATCTAAATATCAAAATATTTTAGATTTTTACAAAAACATTTAATTTTTTTTTTTTTTACTTTTAAATGTAAACATATCAAAATTATTTTATTAATTAATAAAGTATTAGTATTTTTAAATTTACTCCCGACAAACATAAAGATGCATTGAGTTGGGACCAAATATAATATTGATATATAGATATATATTTTTTGTCATTTTGCAAAATATACATATTTTGATATAAAGTAACTATTTAAAAATTTATTATTTTTAAATATTTCTATTTTATCATTGTATTATTACTTTTAAAAAATAATAATAAAATAAAATAAATTTACTTTTATACTTTTTCCGTTCCAATACAATAGTTTGTTTACCATTTTTGTATATTTCAAAACAATAGTCTCATTTTTATAAATAATTATATCACTATAAAATTATATTTACTCTTTCATTATCATTATTATTACACAATTGTCACTATTTTTTACATTAATATACTCGTAAGGCCAGGTACCAATATAGTATTAATATTTTTACTTACATATTATAATTACAACCCAGATTATAGTTCCGGACAGTGGGAGTACTATTTTTACCTACATATTATTATTACAATACTTTTTTTTAGAAAAAAAAAAAGTATATATCTTATAAATTGAAATTTTCATTCTAATTTTTTATACTAATAATTAGCTACTCTCACAGAATCTTCAATACTGTGTGCCACTTGAGCAAAATCTCAGAGGAAGTGAAAAAAAAAATAAAATAAGAAAGCAGGAATCTGGAAAAAATAAATTGAAGATTCCCTGAATTATGGACCTACTTGTCTCTTGATTGCAGGTTTGGTCTCATGTTTATGCAAATCTTTGTCCTTTTTCATACACAAATCATATAATGACACCCTTTTTCTTACCACCAAAAAATTAAAAAAAAATCACAACACCAATTTTTCAATTAAATTTATTAAAATTCTAAGCAACTATAAGCGTTAATTTGATATTTTGAAAGTAAAATAATTTTTTATGTAACAATATTAATAAAATAATTATTTGATTTAATATTTTTAAAAAATAAAAATAAAAATAAAAAATTGAATAGTACAAACGTTAAAATCATAGAACACACTCTTAAATTGAATGTAATAAATGACAACAGGTAATTCAAATTTAATCACGTATTCAATCGATAGAAAATAAATAAACAATTAATTAATTACCAGTCATTAGCTTCGCCTCTTCGATCGGCGGCGGCAAAAGTCCGACGACGAGATCGGCAAAAGCTCCGACGATGTATTTGTGACAGCTCTTAGGGTTTAGCGACAAATAGCACAGCAAAAGCTGGTGCAGATATTCCCAATTCTCCAGGACGTCGTTGATCTCACGCGCCTCCACCATCTCCTGCATCGACCGCCGGAAGTCGACGAACGGATCGGGGGAGAAGGTCGGGACAGCGACGGTGCCGCCGGCGTCGTTCTCGGAGGACGACGACCGCCGCGAGGTGGAGGAAGCGGAGTCGATGATGGAGTTGCTCCGGCCGGGGGAGGAGAAGAAGAATCGCCGGGAAGCGAAGGCGGTGGCGAAGTCCGGCGTGTCGTCGGAATCGGAATCGGAGTAGGCGGTCGCGGATTGGTAGAGCGAATTGTAGGTTTTAATGTAGATGGAATCCGACGGCTGGGATTTGATCTTCGAGAAAGAGGAATTTAGGTTTCCGGCGGCCATGGCTATGCTTCTAATTACCAGACGTATATATACATACATATATATATATATATAGTCCTCTATAAGAAGATATATCTTAAATTAAAAACGTCGTAAGGGATGACCTGACGACTAGTTAACAGCTAGATTCGACTCCTTTATAGTTATAAATAATCCGGAGCTCCAAAATAATTTTTTATATAATAATATAATATGTATTTTTATATCAAAATTTATATTTATTAGTAAAATTTGAATATTTTATTATAATATATCTATAATACAAGTCGCATTCGAACTTCTTTAACTTGAGTTTGAATCCTATAAGTCAAATTTGAACTTGAATTTGAGCTTAATGAGCCGAGTTCAAACAACTATTTTAGTTCGAATTTTTAACGAGTTAAACTGAATTTATATTGTTAATAAGTTTTAGTCTAATAAGACAAACAAGTACTTTAATTGGAGATAGAGAAAGCAATAATCTCTATTAAATTAAAAAAAAAAAAAGTTTATTTGATTTTTATTTAAATTTGAATATTTTTTTCTTTCTTTTTTAAAAAAAATCTTAAATAATATTTTATTAATAAAATAATATATTTTTATTAAAAATCATAATAGATTTTGATTTCACAAAGCAAAATCTCCTAAACAAATTTGTTACCATTGAAAATTCCATTTTCAGCACATTGTTCACATCTACTTTTGAAATGTTCCTAATCTTTTGATCATATATACACATTTATATATTAGTCTCACAATGTATCTTGTTAAATAAAGCATTAAAATGTGATTTATTTATTTTTTAATTACTTTTATGGTGGAAATAATTACAGAAAAAAAAAAAAGTAAAGAAATAGAAAAGAGAAAACCATGCATGTGTAAGAAACAGTGAATAGGGTGAGACAAGTTGTTTGTATTCTCTAACATTTAATTTAATAGTGACTTTAACACACCAAAGACCACATTGGCAAATCAATAATAATAATAATAATAATAATAATTCCAAATTGAATTAATTAATTAATTAATTTGTCCTTAGGATATACGTGTTGTCCTAATCACCCCACCTGACTGACATTGCCAATGCCATTCCAACTTAAAACAACAAATAGTACTTTTCTATCATCATTGCAAGTGTTTGTTTCTTGAAATTTAATTTTTATTTTACTATTAAAAAGAAAAATAAAAAGAATTCAAATACTTATTTCCTATTTATTATTGCTATATTAAAATTTAATTTTAAATTTAAAATATGCATCAATATATATTTTTTCATTACATCAAATAATTATTTCAATTCAAAATTTTACTATTCAAAACACTCAATTTTTCTTGTGTTTTTACATATGTGCCCTTATACTAATAAGTAATTAACTATTCCTTATATTATATAATCTTACCAATAGTTATTGATTTAGAGTAAATTAACATTTCTATATAGTAATACAACACACGTATAAATTACAATACACAATACATGGTAATTGGTGCAATTGTCTATATTTCATGTACTAATAAAGGTTCATACAAATATGTAAGTACGCATGTTGTGTGTATGGTCCCTTCAAATTTCGAAATTAAATTTTGGTGTGACAACATGACATATATGAATAAATCTTTTAAAAAGTGGGGTGGTGGAATCACATGCACATATTTATTATTCAAAATATATTTCCAACCAAACACAATAAATTAATATGGTTGGCATCATCTCCACATTTGGGTTAGTACGTACATTCACACACATGCGCACATCTCTCTCAATAATAACAATATCAAAATCGACCATAAGAAAAGGGTTCTATTTTCTATTTATTATTTTCTAATTTAGTCATTCTACTGCCTACTTAACATAATAAATACACTTCTAATTTACAATATATTAACCATTAATTTTATATCACTCAATACTAATAAAAATATTTTTGTCTTCTTTACTATAACTCAATGTAATACTAACATTCAAATATCTACGAGCAAAAAGTAAACGTTGCTACGGTGAGAGTACAATACATCTTTTAACATCTATTTAATCGAGCCTGTCACACGCAGTTTTCCTAGCGAGCATCAAATGGATACATTTGAAGCATCGAAATCAATACAACACAACTTTAAGAGACAAGAATCGAATCGAACGAACACATAGGCATCGCAATAAACGAGCAATGCCTTTAGCGTCATCCTCATTCCGAAATCAAAGATCAAAGCGAAAAAAAATAAAAAATAAAAAATAAATTTACAAAACATGACAAGCTTTAGAACAACAGACAACACACGATACTGTGACAAACAATGCACGATTTATGTTAATTTAATACAAGTGCATTATATGACAACACATACTATCATTAATCTCAGCACACTAAATATGTCCATACAATATACCTCTATAGATCCGAACTAACTGTCTGGTTCTTATGTATTGACGGGTTAAATCAACGCTATTTGTTCCAATCAGTTCAATAACCTCTCTCCCAAAAAAATATATCATGATAATTAACTCCCAAAATAATACTAGTAATGTCTTCTTATTGCAAATCAATTTATCTATATTCCATCAAATTAAGTTCTAATTTATAAGAATTCGAGATAAAAAGGGACTTACTATCATCAAAAGAATGGAATAGAATGCCAGAACATATTCCCCAAAAACCTCATCAACACTCATCCTCAAATCATTTCTTTTTCAATTTCTCAAAAGCCATTCACACCCCATGTTGCAATCAATCACAAAAAAGGGTTGATGAGGTCTTACCGGCACCATCTTATATACCGTCCGAGGAGGGGACAAAAAGAACAGAATCGAGCCCCACCACGTTGCTCAAACAAACGCTGGGAAAGCACCTCGACCAACCAACAAACGTTGACATCTACCAAAATCTTCAGACAAAAGAGAACCATGATCAAAAGCATGAAAGGTAAACCAAGCTTTTTAAACCAAATAGATGCCAGAAATATGCCCATTCATGCTATATACATTTCGGCTCAAGAACCTCATTTTTGGCGCTGAGAATTGTTCGATCTTGTTAATACAACTAGTGTCAGCACAACTGATTCATTGTACTAATACTACATTACTTGGATCGAACCTAATTTACTTTTTTGAACTTCCTAAGCCTCAAAATTCATACTACACAAGATACAGATCATACTTCAATGCAATAGAAGCAACTGATGACAACCAATGCAAATATACAATAAATCGGTATAAAGAAATCCCCAAATAGTGCAACAAAAAATAGCACGTCGCAACAACCTGTTTTACTACATTTATCAGATAATCTATCAGGGAAGAGGATCATGATTCAATGAACAAACATGGATAGATCAAAACCACAATAGAATTTCTAACTGAATAAATCGTGATCAACTATCTGATATTCTTAATCAGCAATCTGATTCGTACCATGAAATTCGAGCACCATACAAGAAGAAGAAATCCAGGGATGTATGGCATCTGAGATTCACCTGAGAATTTACTCAGACAAGCAAATGCAGCTGAAATCAAACTAGTTTTCGATATGCAATTCTAATGATTCAGATAACGCTCGAATTAACTTAACCTAGTTAAGAATTAGATAGTTAAAATTTAGTATATTCATCACCATAACAGAGATGAATTCTGCTGCTGTTTATTTCAGAAATGGTGGATGAAAGCGAAACAGAAACAGGTGAAGGGCCAAAGGGATTCCCAATTACTGTACAAGAACGAATCTATTCCCAACTCTAATGTCACCACTGTTTGCCTCATCCGACGGAGCTCCTTTCGGCACCGTCACGATTAGCTGGCCGTCGTCGTAAGCGGCGGAGGCGAGCCCCGGCCGTGTCGACGCCGGCAGACGAAATCTCCACAAATTGAGCTCCAATTCAGTCCCCGACAAATCAACGTAGCCACTATCCCTCACGACAATCTTCGTAACGCCAGGATGGATCTCGATAGCGTCGACGCGGACATCGCCGCTGATGCCATCGGTGGCGGCGGTGAAGACGAAGGAGCGAGGGGTTTCGTTGATGGAAACCTCGGCATCTGGATGGAAAGGCAGCACAAGCGCCTTCTCGAAGATGTGCGGCAGCCGTCTCAGCTTCTTTTGCCGGCAGATGTTCGCCTGAGCCACCATCGAAGCGACGTCCAGAGTGATGTTGCGTTTCCTCGGCGCTGGATGAACCTTCATATAGGGCAAATTTCTGAATTCTTTCCCCAAAATCGAAGAATTAAACAAACACACCACCAAAAAACTCCCAATTACACAACCGCCGGAGCTCCGACGAAATCTGCAGAAACAAAGAGCTAAAAATTGAGGCGAAAAATTCGAAACACAGAAGGCAAATAAATACCCACGGAAAGCAATCCGAGGCAAGAATTCGAATCTGGGGATGGATACGAATTAAAGGAGGAGCAAATGGGAAGATGATACGAGGAATGGGATTATGTGCGGAGAAGAAAAGAACGACTCACAGATTGCGTGCCCGACAACCGACCATGGAGGAAAAGAACCGATGCAGAGAACGGCGTTTACCTTTTACGGCGTTATTGCTAAAATGCGCAGTGGTCCTTTTTCTCCGTTATTTGAATTATCATTTGACTTTCACTGTTCGTATCTTATTATTTTTATTTTCAATTTTGTAAACGTAAAAGAATTTTGAATATTTAATAAAATCAGATGTGATTAGGTAAATAATAATGTCCACCTTAGCAGCTATATTATTATATAAAATATACTCCTTTTAATATTATATTGGGATATATAAATAAAGTATAAATAACTAAAATAATCTTATTAGTACGTGTGATGTAAAATATATTGTAAATTATGTTAGTAGACAGTTCAGTTATTAAAAAAATACTTTCTTATAAGAATGACTAAAATGAAAAAATAGGGAGTATATTAAATTCAATTATTAGTGAAAAATCTATACAAGTGATATCAGATATATATGTATATTTATAAAATTGATCACTGTTGTTCCTAACAACGCAGATCTTAAATATAAATCTGTTTAAAATTTGAAATTAGATAAAATTAATACAGTTTATTTGAAATGATTACTAATTTTGTCTCATTTTTTTAGTTAGGGATAGAGTTGTAAAATGAGCCGAACGAGTTCGAGTATCTGTTGTTCGAACTCGACTCGAACTTGTTAACGTTACAAACTAACCTCAACTCGACTCGTTGAACTAACATAATAACTGAAGTTCACATTCAAGTTTTTTTTTGCTCAAATTTTATATATATTATGATTTTTAATATATAAATTGATTTTATTTGATTTTATTTACAATTAATTATAATAAATTGTTTAGATTTTATTAATAAACTTTTGATATAAAAAATGATAGTAATATATAAAATAATATAAATATACAAATTTATTTTATAATTTCTTTTAGATAATAATTCGTCTTTAAAAAATTACTAAATAAATAAATAAACAATTATTTTATTTTATTTAAAAATACTAGTTAAGATATTTTACTATTTATTTTTATATAAAATTTATATACTTAAATGTCTGTTTACAATAAAATTTTGCACATATTTTAATTTAATGAAAAAAATTCTACATAAAAAATAAAATACAAAATATTTTTGTACATTGTCACTAAAAAAAACTGAGATCATATTATATAAATATTAGTAAAATTTTAAATTTAAATCCCAATCAAACAAATATTTAATGTATAAATACTGGTGGGTCCGTGGATGGTTGCTGTTACAGAAACAAAATACAAAGCGGATCCTTGATCTCTACGTTCGTTGCCTTTGTCGCTTGCCTCATCTCTCTGAGATATTCGACGTGGGACTAGCCGATACATTAATCTGCACATGTATAGCATTTTGGGAGTGAGCAACAATTTGAAGTCCACTGATTGTTCTTGTTTGATGGTGCCTCGGTCCTCGTTTCGGAGATCAAGTTAGTTTCAATATATATTTATATACATATTCTATTCTGCTTGATTTGTTGTATCTGTTTTCATTATTATGTTTATCGATGTAATATCTATATATGTATATGTATATGTATGTTTGGTGTGCTTAGATCTGGAGAAACTTAAGTGTGAAGGCGCATTTTTTGGGCGTGCATACATGTGTATGTGTGTGTTCAATTCGTGGAAGCAATCGATTAAAATTGGTACTGATCCGGGAGATTTTGGCGGTGGTGGTAGAAGAGATACTAGCGTTTTGGATTCCTGCAAGAATCATTGCAATTTTGAGAGTTATTGATCAATTGAATTTTTTATGTGATCATTTTCTGTATGATACAGTTTTAATTTAGATTAAGGAATAGGACATGAGAGCATAAAGGAAGGAGTTGGTTTTATTCTGCCAGGGTGTGGATGGAGACTCTCATTGTTGCTCACAGTAGAAATTGCCATCGGTATTGTGGCAGAGACGGTAGTCATGGTTCGACAAGCTTGAATGCTTTTGATTCCCTTTCATACCCTAATTTTGAGGCTATTGATTGCAGATCATTTCAGTGTTGGGAAAGATTAGCCACAAGTCCTTCCAGTTCTTACCCCATTGCAGCCCCTGTCACCGAAGAAATTTTCGTAGCTTCGGTCTCACCCAAAGCTCCATCTTCTTCTTTCAGTGAGAATCTTGGATTCTCCAAGAGAGTTGCAAAATGTTCTACAGTTCCTATACCAATTAAGATCGAGTTGGAAAACAAGGAAAAGGACTTCCAATTTTCTGATCTTTGGGCTGGACCAACTTACTCAAGGTCACCTCCCCCTAGTTGTTTGCCCATTCCTAAGTTTTCTGCTCAACCTAACCGAACTGTTACACTTGGAATTCCTGCTGTAGTTTCAGAAATTGATTTGCATCCCATTGCTAAAACTTGGGCAACCTCTGCAGATAATCCATTCCGGGGTGATCTGTTTGAAGCTGACTCTGCAACTAAGACCCTTTGCCGCATCCTTAATCTTGATATTTGCTGATTGAATGATGAGAGTGTTCTAATGGAAGTTTGATGTTCCTGTAGACAAGGAAATCCACACACTCTTTTCAGTCTTATGAATTGCTTGCAACCTTTGTATATTATTAAGAGTAGAGTTTAGTACCACATATGGAGTGCAATTTACTTTCTAAAGTAGCAGTGCAAGGGCTGGAAGCTTTCAACTTTCTCCAAATTAGATGGAATTTGTGCTTTTTGCTAGCTGGGAATAGCAAATGTAGGTTGGTTTCTAAGGTTTGGGTTTTTGCTGGACAGAATGTTGTTGAATGCTATGCAAGAAGGATTGATCAGGTGGCTAACATAGTTAAGTGGCTATGGATTGAGGTGGTGTTGTTGCAAAGTTGACTGCATTCGATTATGTTTGGCATGGTATTTAATTGTCATACAAGCAACAATTCAGTTAGTATCAATGATGTTTCCATAGTTACCACTAGGGTATTTTTATTTTTTATTTTTAAAATTTTCATTGCCATTGTCTAGTATCTCAACCTTGATGGTGATTTTATCCTCTATCAGGTTGCCTTTTTCATCCAGTTAAACCATACATTTTCTCATTACATTAGACCCTCTAGTTTCTCTGTATCTTTTGAAATACTTGAATATTCTTAACTTCTTCGAATTTCTCATTGCCCACATGTCCTGGGTTTTTGCAAGGAGCCGTGGGAGAAAATTAGATGATGCTTTTTTCTCTTACATCTTAAGTTCAGTATCATCCAGATGCTGCTTTTGATCTTCCAAATACCTTGTATATTCCATTCTTTTTTATTGTGGTTTGAACAGTTTATTTGCTCGAGTCTTTAGGCCCCGAGTTGAACTGGGCTATATGCCTCTTTTTTCTTTTATTGAGTTCCATTTTCATGTCTTGGAGATTGTCAATGGTGCCAAATGTTCCAGGTAAATTTGGACTAAATTTGCATCATATACATACATATATATTTATCTCCCTTTTACTGCATTCATGAATCCTAATACATGCTTTACTTTTTTTCTTTTTTTCTTTTTTTTTTTTTCAGATCATGTACAGGGATCCCATGGACTATATTAATCAGGAGGTATGTATAAATGTTCTGATTTCATTGGTTTACAACAAATCTTTAAATGTTCTGCATTATGTCTCTAAAAGTATCTAACAATCATTATGAGGTTGTGTCGAACCATTGTTATTATGGAATTTGCTTTCTTACATTATAGGTGAAAGTTGAATATGTGATCCTGTAAGTAACATTTGTCAACCAAATGAATGGATGATTAGCACTAGGCAGTAGTTGTCAGAATGGCATACACATTGCGTTACTTGGGCAAATAAAATTTCATTAAAACAATTTTTGATATTATCTGGAGTTTGTAAATTACTCATCTGAAAAAGACATATCTGCTGAATTATTTGGGTGAGTGAAGGTACTGTGCTGCCATTATAGATGATGATGAAGATGATGGTGAATGTACCTAAACCAGATAAAAGAGTTATGACAGCAACAACTTGTAACGACGTCGTCTCGTGGGTACCCCTTTTCACATTTTTAGGTTTCCCTTTTTGTACTATCTGATGCTTCCATGTAGTAAGACTTAGCAATTAACAAAGATAATAAAATAAAATAAATCACTTGTCAAATCACTATATTATACATTCTCCATTTTATGGCAATCTCTCTCTCTCTGTACATAATAACAAACAAACAGGACAGATACCAAAATAAACAAGAAAATTTAAAAAATGACATTGAATATCTTTAATTCACTAGCTAAGGTCAATTGCATTCATGTCCCTTCTGGAAAATTTTGATCACTGATGGATGGCTTTTACTGAATCAATGGAGCCCAGAAAATGAGTGTATATATATAATAAGTGTTGTTGCATATTTATATATTTATATAATATATATATATATTTCTACAAAGTAGAATGTTCCATCATCATCATCATCTCATCACCATTGTTGTTTGTTTCAGTTTGAGAGAGCTTTTCTTGGCAATGGCATTCATGGCTACACAAGGCTTTCTCACCCCTGACAGACATTCATTCAACAAACAGCTTTAATCAGAATGATTCCCCTTTCATGTGGCCCCACACACAAAGAAGAAAAATAAAGAATACATATATACATGTATTATATACACACACAGAAAGAAAGAAAGAAAAAAGACACAAACTTTTTTTCTTTCTTGTGTATACAATACTATACAATAATTTTGATTAGTTGGACCAGTCCAATGTGGTTCAATTATTGCACTCCCAACAAGCATCAGCTTTAAAAACACATACATACAAACATACATATATATATAATGAAAGAGATTAATCATTGATCTGTTGAAGCAATGAATTAGGTATTAAACTACTTGATATGTCCAAACAAGACAATTAAATATATGATAAAAATGGATCAAATTATTCATTCAAGACAAATAAGAGAAGAGAAGATTGATTGATTCATGAGGGCTAACCTGTAAATGCACAAATCATCTTTTCCACTTCCAAGAAAGCCCTTACAATTGTGGCAAATGCCCTTCAAGAAATCACCAGATTTTGGAGCAGCCATGGAAGCTCCATCATCAGCACCACCACAGCAACACTCGACAATACAGTCATCAAATATGTGAGTGGTTTTGGGATTAGGGCCATGAGTGATGACACAGGTGTAGTCCTCAGACATCTCCATTTCCTTCAAAGAAAGCTGTCTGGACAGGTCCCTTGAAGAACCAACAAAAGGGCTTAAAACCTGCTGTGAATTCCTTGTCTTGATCCCAAAATCAGCTGGTGATTTTGGGGACAGTTCCTCCCCTGGAGAAGAAGAAGGGTTTATTACAGGGATCTGCACTTTCAGCTTTGATCCAAACAGGGCCATCCTGTTCACAGGCTTCGAAAATAAAACCCCTTCATCTCCTGATTTCTCCTCAATGATCGAATCTATCAGGGCAAGCCCAATGGCCTGATCCCCCCCTGGTTTGGGAGATTGGATTTGGGGTTTGGAATTGGATTTGGACAGGCCCCTGTCAAGACCAAAAGGGTTTGCAGAAAAACTTGGGGAGGAATTCTTGCTGTCAAGAATGGAGGTTGGGCTGTCTGAATCAGGCGGGTTCTTGGACAAGAAGATGTTGAAAATTTTTGGGGATGCCAAGAAAGTGGAGATTGGGGAAGTGGGAGAAAGCAGGGAAGTTTGATCCGCCATTAAAGCTTGCTTCTTGTTAGTCACTGCTCTTGATGATGATCTGTTCCTCAACATTTGCAGCTAATGAAAAACACACAAAAATCATTAGAAAAACTTCAAAACAAACATTAATCGAAAGAATCGAAACTAACTTAGTAAGTATGAGCTAACCTGATCAAAATACAGTGGGAAAAAAAGGGGGGGGGGGGGGGGCGGGCGGCTACTCTCACTTTATTATAACCATCAAAAGAATAAACGAAAAAACAAAAGGCTTTTGTGTGTTTTTCGCTTTCCTCTCAAAAACTGAAATCTTTACACATGAAAATTTATAGGAGGAGGAATTAGACACTGGTGAATGCTAAATCTCATTGGCCTCCATTTTTGAAGAATAAGGCATAGAGATAAAAAGAAAATATATCTATATATATATATATATATATTAAAATTAAAATTGGAATCAGGGGTTAATCAGAAACAGAAACAGCAAGAAATTTCTATTACAAGAAGGAATCGAATTAAATGATTGAAATGAGGATTAGAGATCTTGATGTGAAGAAGAAGCAGACATTCATTGGATTGAAGAAGAAAGTGAGATGAACATTTCAGAGAAAAAGGAGGGGGAGAAGTATGGCTGTTTTAGTTCTTTTTAAAGAGGAAAAATAACTGATTGTTTCGAGGAGAAAGAGAATAAAATCAAGTGTAGGAAAAAGCCAACAAGATAAAAAGGGGCCCTCCACATTTCTCAACTCCATAATTGTTTCCTCATCCATTTTGGACTTTAGCCCCCACCCCCACCCCACCCTACCTTTTTCTTTCTTCTTGCTTTCAACAATGGTGAAATTTAATTAAATAATTAAAGATCAGAAATAAGGCAATCAATCGATCCCAAGAACTGGAATAAAAACTAGTGTAAAAACAATTCTTCATAAACCCTAATTTGATAATGCAATTGCAATCAAGATTGGATTTTTATTCTTTTTAAATACACCCAATGAACAATTCCTCGTCTGGGTTTTTAATTTTTACTTTTTTTTTTTGTCGGGATGTGACAACATTGAATGTGTCAAACACTCGAAAGAAGATGGATTAAAAATAATTAAAAATGAAAAATAAAAATAAAAGGGATTGGGATTGGGATTGAGATTGATGAAGATGACGACATTTTTACAGATGTGGTCAGTAATTGCGTACTGAGCTTTGTTTGTTTGTTACAGAAAAACGTGGGCTCGTCTTACGCAGGTTTCGTGTCTCTATGCACTGCTCGTACTACCAGCCACGCAGTCATAAATTTTTATTTTTTATTTATTAGTTTTTTATTAGTTTTCTGTTCGTCTTACCTATCATATATTTTTTTTAAATAATTACACACTTTAATTTATTTTAAACTTTTTAATTTTAATTTAATTAATTAATTATTTTAATCTTAATTTATAATTATTTATATTATAAAATAATTATTTTTTATTAATATATTTTTAATTATCTATTAATTATACCTCTTCTAAACTATCATATTTACAATATTTACAGTCTAGAATATTAGATAATGATAAGTCAAATTAGAGATTTTTGTAAGAAGTTTTAATGGAGAAAATTGCAGCCACAGGGGAATATATTGAGCACAATGATTACAAATTTGTACAATCACAAAGAGAGATAGGTTTGCCACATGAAAAGAAATAAATAAATAAATAAAATTATTATTATTATTATTATTTAAAAAAAAAAAGTGTCATTGATTTTAGATAAAAAAAAAGTTGGGCACTTATTTATTCTGGTCGAATAATCCCAAATTCAGAAAAAAAGAACTTGAATTTTTTATTTAAAAAATGTAAAATGGAGACATATTGGATCATGACAAGAATAGTGGCCCATTTTCATTGGGCCCATTTGGTCGTCTTCATTTTCATTTTATTTTGGAATATTTTCTGGATATTTTTATTTATTTATTTTTAAAATAAATATGATACTATAAAATATAATAAATGAATATAGTTTTTAAAAATATATTTTTTATTTTTGTTTTTATCGTGAATTATGTGTTTATATAAAAAAAAAAAATCTATAAAGAGCTGATTTTGTGCACATGAAAGAAGTGTAATATTGCATACCATTCTTTCTATAAATAAGGTAATCTAGAAATTGAAAACTTGCCCTTTTTGGTAATGGTACATATTTAATTGATACAATTTATTCAATATATTCCAAATAATTAGTGTATTTTTTGAATTTTGGTTTTATTCTTTGATTTTTTATTTTTTATTTTTTAAATAGTGCTTTGAATATAATAACTTGTATTAGTAAATATTGCGAGTTTGATTACTTGTTTTAAAGATACATGATTGTTCCATTTTTATTTTATTTTTTTCTAAAAATAATACAATATATATACATAGCATAAAACAAAATGAAAAACCCAAAAATATTATCTTAATAATTTTACAATTTCTCATATCTAATACTCCCTCTGTCCCACATATCATGTCCACGTTGTCATTTCTGCTCGTCCCACGTACCATGTCACTTTCTTTTTTGAAAAATAATTATACATTTTAATCTCGTTTTAAATTTTTAAAATTTATTTTTTTAATTTTAATTAAATTAATTAGTTATCTTAATCTTAATTTATAATTATTTATATTATAAGATAATTATTTTCACTAATACATTCTTAATTATCTACTAATTATACCCCTCCTAAAATATTGAGTAAAAAAATACTTCAAAATTTTAAATACTAACTAAATATACTTTGTGTTTTATAAGGTTTGTTTGAAATAAAATTTTAATTTGAATTTTTATTTAAATAATATTTTGATTTGATATTTTATGAGAAATTATAATATATTTTTATTGAAAATTATATAGCATAAACAATATTGATTTAGTTTAAAATCGCAAATGAACAAACCCTAAATATATGGCTACGATTGCAAAGTGTAAAATTGAAATAAAACTTCAAAATAATAGAAGTTTAAAATGTGATACACCATCCGTTCCAATACAATAGTCTTGTTTACTATTTTTCTCCGTCTCAAAACAATAGTCTTATTTCCATAAATAACCCTATTACCATAAAATTATCATACTTTTTCATTTTTATTACACAATTAGTATTACTTTTTACACTAATACACTCACAAGGACAAAAAAGTTTTTTATCCATACTTTTTATTGACTACCAATATAATATTAATATTTCTTAAATCATCTATTTGATTGATGCGTCTAGGTGACCTCTCCATAAATATTAATTTTAAATTAAAAATAATATATCAAAATTGTTGTTTTTATCCAAAATATTGCAACAAATACTTGTTTTATATTCACATTTTTACTACTTAATCACCAAAGCAAAGTTAAGCAAACCCTAATACACTACAAAAATAATAAAATATTTGTAACAGAAATTAGAGATGAATAATGTTAGCTACATAAACTTTAGGAATATAATTTAATAAATTTCGTCCTTAGTATCATCAGTAACAACAAAAATAAATTTAAAAACAAAAAAAATCGTTACAGAAATACTATTTTCTTGTATAAATGCTTACACTATTATTTTGTAACGAAAATTATAGACAAATAATGTTAACTACATAAACTTTAGAAATATAATTTAATAAATTTCGTCCTTCGTGTCATTAGTAACAACAAAAATAAATTTAAAAGACAAAAAAATCGTTACAGAAATACTATTTTCTCGTAGCGATACTTTCACTATTATTTTGTAATTAGTCAAAATCCATATTTTATATATATATATATATATATTGTGGTGGACAAGGACATATACCTAAACCCCACTTGCAAAGATATCTCTCTAAATTATGTGTCTTAATATAGTAGGGATAGAACATTGCATTTCATGACATCTAAATATGTCTTGTCTTGTTTGAGAAGTGCCCATTGAATGAAAGAATACCTAGGCCACCTCCAACCCTTCACTCTAGTTTTGTAGTTGCTACAGTAAAAATGCACTTGATTTACAATAATTTTACTCTAACCATAAACTTCAATTTTTACTCTAAAAAGTATATTTCCTATATATTCCTTTTTTATATTATTTTATATAATTTTTTATATTTATAAATTACACTTCAACTTTAATTAATTTTTACATTAGATCCATACACATATAATTTATATTACTTTTCAACAGTAAAATTATATATCAATTTAAAAAATAAAATTATACATTATTTTTTGAAAAAATAAAATTATATTACTTTCCAAAACTAAAATTATATCACTTTAAAAAAATAAAATTATACATTATTTTTCAAAAAAATAAAATTACATACAACTTTTAAAAATATAAAATTAAATATTATCTACTAAAAAAAATTAAAATTACACAATACACCAAAAAAATACCAAAAATATAAAAAACACTACAAAAACGAGTGAAGTCACAGTGTTACTCCAAAAACAACTCTTACAAACATAGATTATTTTGCAAGTGTAAGAATTATTTGTGGGCCTTAATTTATACAATAAGATTAATAACACTCTATTGATTTTATTTATTTATTTTTTAATTCAACCCAATAAAGGGATTTGTTAGTTTCCCTAATTTAATGTGCACAAGAAATCCCTAACACTCATCGAAAAAAAATTAGTTAGAGACAAAGTGCCCTTCACATTATTGTTTGTGTTTCTTTCAAACAAGAATCATCTTTATTCTTGTCTTTAAAATTTTCCGAGTCTTTTATGTTTTTTGGCTTTGGATTGAAAATATTTCATTTAAATTTTATGTTTAAATAATAATTTTATAAATAAAATATAATATTACATATAAACACATAGTTCAAATAATTAAAACTAATGAACTTTTGTCAAAGTAACACACTTGTGTTTAAGAATTTTTCTTTTTTAAAATTATTAAAAAAAAATTGAAAGTATTATTAAACTTTATTTTTAATAATTTTATTAATAAAATAATATATATATATATATACACTTTTTTTTATTATTATTAAAATGCAAACATAACCCATGGATGTCACTCTTTGTTGGGCCACAAATAAAACCAAAGCATAAGGCTCCATAAAGTTTCGATTCTATTAAACAACAATACAATTTTATTTATAAAATATGATATCAAGTATTTAATTTATTATTATTATTATATAAAAAAAAAATCCCTTTAGGGTTTGTTAATTTGTTTTTGATTTCACATTAAAAATTATATATATATATATTATTCATCTCACACAATTTAACTTTCTTACAAAATATTATATCAAAAATACTATTTTAAATTAAAATCTAAAACTAAGATCAAACCAAACAAACTCATCAAACTTTCAAAGCACTTGTCTGAACAAACCATTAGTAAAACATAAAAGTAACTTATGAAAGTGTCAAGTGTGCATGTTAGTGGGCATGTCATTATTTGCATGGGATATATATATATATATCTATGTATGTATGTATTAATGCATGCAACCCCACCCCACCCCACCCCACTGTATTTCCACCACCTTCAATTCCATGTCTTCTTCTTTCTGCTTCAATCAATCAAATCAGAGTGTGTAATTGTCCAGTGTCATGTCTTGTCTCATCTCAAAATTTCATTATTGAATTACTATTAATTATTAATTGGGAGAGAGAGAGAGAGTTTAGGGTATCAACCAATCAATCAATCTCTATCTCTATCTCTCTCTGTATATATATATATATATACTCCCTCCGTTCCATGTCCACATTGTCGTTTCTTTTTGTCCCACGTACTATATCATTTTTCTTTTTTAAAAAATAATTACACACTTTAATTTCATTTTAAATTTTTAAATTTTATTTTTTTAATTTTAATTAAACTAATTAGTTATCTTAATTTTAATTTATAATTATTTATATTATAGAATAATTATTTTTACTAATATATTCTTAATTATCTACTAATTATACCCCTCTTAAAATACCGTATTTACAATGTAACAGTATATGAGACCGAAGGAGTATTATATATATCTATATCTATACACTCACTATTTACCATCACACAACAAATATGCTTTCTAAAGAACGTGAGATTGTTATTGTTTCTTTCACCTTTAATGTACACCGACGGCATGTTTCTTTTATAAAGTTTTGGGAAAATTTTAATTTGAATTCGGTATTAAAATGATGTATGATGAGATATTTTATAATTAAAAAATATATATATATATTTTGTTTTAATACAATAGTCTTGTTTATTATTTTTGTCAATGTCAAAACAATAGTCTTATTTTCATAAATAATCATATCACCGTAAAATTACCTCTATTTTTTTTTTATTTTTATTACATAATTATCACTACTTCTTGCATTAATATACTCACGAAGGCAAAAAAGTCTTTTTTATCAACTATCAATCTCATGCTCAACCCAATTAAAACTATATTTATGGACGGGTTTGGGGAATATTTTTTTTTGGGAAACTAAAAAAGTACTTTTTGCATCATATTAATAAGTATATATTTATTTTTTATACAAAATTTAAAAAGTAATAATATTTTAATCACTATAATAAATAATTAAAATAGTGTAAAAATATTTTTATTTTTATTTTTTTTTGTGTAAAAATGATAATAGAATAATGAAGTAAATATTTATAAAATATATATATATTTTTGAAATAATTGTTTTATAATTAAACAACTCAAAAAAAAAAATATACATAGATACTTTGCTAGTTAACTGCGTTCCTACTCTGCCAAAGGGTGTTAAGGGGTTTATTTAATTTTTTTTCTTAGATCCTTGTACGGACATATTTGAATATTTGATTAACAAAGTTTCAGAATTTCATGAAATTTAAAATTTAAAATAACAATAAATTTATATTTGGTTACAAAATAGACAAGAAAATTTAAAATATTGACATTGAAAAAAGAAGCCCAAAAATCGACTTTTTAATAAGGCCTAGTGAAAAAACATATCATTCATACTTAAAAACATTCGAAAAATACTTTCTTGCTACAAACCAAAACACAATCAATCGATCATTCGTTCATAAATTATCATATTTTGATCAATTGACCTACGAAATTTGATTCTTTTTATCATTCCTACCTTTCTTCCTCACTTCTCGTCTCTCCGCCGAGTATTGCTTCTTGATCATCAAATTCCGCATCGACGTTTTTACAGCCTCGGCCGCCGTCGAAAATGCTTCTTCTCCGATGGCTAGTCTTCCCTGCAATGCCACAAGCAGAGGCTCTCCTCCCGGTATCTTTGAGTCGTCTAAAACCAGAAGATTGCTGCCGGAAATAAAATCGGAAGCAATTCTCACCCGAGCCACGGGTGTCGAGCAGTTCGAAGAGGATGCACCCATGATCATCCACAAAAATGGGACTGACGAGGAAGCTGCGAGGCTAGTCGGAATGTACGCCTCTTCTTCGACACGTACGACCTGAAAGCACAGTTGTTGAAAGTGTAAAATAATTTCTCATCAAATTTTTGGTTCAAGAATTGATCGAAACCGCAGCTGTGATCATACTTACTTTGGCAATGGAAAGGGTCCTCGAAGAGGAGTCGCAGTTTAACAGCATTATCCCAGGCAAGCTTGAGTTAAAACATATCGATTAATAACAATTACAGCCGTAGAAATGAAAGTAATAACGTAAATGGCTTTCGTACTTCTGAATAGCCACGGCAATTAGTGAACCGGAGGTTGCACAGAGATCAGTTACGGCAGGTAATATTTCGTCGTGTGCCTCGCTTGAATTTAAAAGCTCTGCCTTCAGGAATATGAATACTTCAGTTAAACGTAAATCTAACAATAGACGGATTAAAGGGGTGAAAAGGGGAGGGTTGAAATTTGTTGGGATTTACCGGCCTACCTTAGTGCCAACTTCACAAGTATCAAGAAGAGAACCCGAGACATACTCCCATAGTCGGACCTTCAATTCGATGAATTAAGTTAGCTCGCGGCAACAGAATGATTATCAATGAATTTGTTACGATTTTGTAATATATCAACTCACTGTGGAATCGCCACTTCCGGAGACTAGAAACCCTTGTGTATTATCCCGACAACTTAGAAACACAATGCATGAAACAAACCTGACGACAAGTATGAGAGTGTACGCGTCAATAATCTGTGCCTAACAAAAATCGATTGATAAAATCATCAAACAGCTAGCGGTGATCCATGATAGAGAAGGAAAAACCTAAAAACTAAAATGTGAAAAACAAAATCGAAAGCCTATTTTCGAGCTAGTCGACTCCACACTTCACTTCTTCGCAATTAAGATGAAAATAAAGCAACACTCCTCCACATGGAATAACAGCAATGGATATTATGTGATCATATAGTCACTGTGATAATATGCAGTTCTTGGTGATTTGGTATTTCCTTAGTTGGTCTAAATTGTAAATTAATATTTATTGATCGAACAATAACAGCAATGGATATTATGTAATCATATAAATTGATGAAACTCTTTACTCAGTATGACCGAGACAAAAGCTTTGTATCTCATGAGCCCCATCCAATGGTTTTGCGGGAAACTGCGTCACCTGCCGTCACAGTACAGCAAATACATAAATACCAAGAAAAAGCACAGCTCCAATTCAATGAATTATGAGACGAAAAATTCTTACCCGAATCTTAAAATCTCTATCAGCAGTGACAATGTATCGCCCATCCGGTGAAAATTCCTGCACAAGTACAGCTTCAAGATAAAATCTTAACAATCAGAACAAAATGCTAAGACATCTCTAGTATGTGAATTACGACCTCAAATTCAAATTCGCTCGGCTCGGCTCTAACCAACTAATCAAACAATGTATAATCACAAATATTCAAATGATCAACATTATTATATGATAATTTTAAAAAATTCATACCAGTCTTGTGATAATGCTGCAATAGTGTGCAAGAATTGGCACTGCCTTCTTCGCCAGAGCCGGATTTTCCGAATTGTAATCTCCAATTTCAACAGCATAAACGACACCAAATTTATCTGCAAAACACACAAATGTTCCATCGATGCTTATTGCAACAGAGGTCACTCTCTTCTCTGATACCCTGTCATCATCCTCACCACAATGAGCTTTAACACAACACTCCTCTGATTCATCGAACATAAAAATCCTTCAGAATTGACGTAAATTTGCTTACACAGATAAAGCACATCGCCATGAATCCGTATCCCAAATTTTCACGAGCTTATCATCTCCCGCGGACACGAAAAGCCCCCCGCATTTACTATAACGAATGGCGCGAATCGAATCCTTATGCCCTCCATTCGCATCTACCAACGTAACCTTACAACCATCACTTCACAACAATCGCAGAATAATTAAAATCCAAGCCAACAGTTACACGACCAAAAAAAAAAAAACGAAAATCAATCTTCAACAGACTAAAAAACGAAGAATTCTCCTCACCCGACATTAAAAACCCGGAGATCCGATCGAACACATGCGGACACAAATTTCTGGTCCGGATGAACAGCAATCAGGGCAGGCGCCACTTCGGTTTCCAGCTTCTGCTCCCCTTCTGCATCCATGCGTTCGTCCTCCATTACCATAACCGCCCAATCAGAGTCTGAAAATTAGGGTTTATTTTAGGTTTTTAATCATGGGCCGCTTATTCAAGGCCCAATTTAAAACCAACGGCCCATTTAACAAACACCTCAAAATTAATAACACTAGTAGCAATAACAAGAAAAGTATGCAAGAAATGCAATAGAGAAAGAAGACTAAATAATACAAAGGAAATTGTCTAAAAGGTCACAAGAAACAAAAAGAACCTGAAAAAAACGACATCCATAAAAGAGTAATTATCATCCAAGGGGTTAAAAGATGCCTCTCTCTCTCTCTCCCTATCTCTCTCTCTTAATCCTAGGACAAACAAAAACAGTTTGTCCAAAAACTACAACATCAAGATTCAAGAAGAAGCATTACATATCTCAAATTCGTCCCTTTTCCTTCGATCAAATCTGGGCTCAGCTCTTTATCCATCTATCCATCGATCAATGCTCTAAATTCTCATCTGGGTGCATCCAAGAACAGTCCCCCGGCATCGCGTCATCGGTGCAGCCTGGCGCCAGACAGAACGCTCGTTTCCGAGCGTCAGGACATCCACATCAGCCGTCGACTTGATGTCCCAGTTCATCCTGTCCGGCCCGATGACCCCTCCAATGATGTAAATGTCGTCGCCCAACCCTATCATAGCAAACCCGATCTTCCTGCGGAATTCAGACGCCGAAACAATGAGCTTACAGGAATACCTCTCCTGCTTGTAGATTTGGCCATGGCTCATTATGTACAGCTTCCCTTTGACGACAGCCATCGGGCCCTGAAGCCAGCTGTAGTCGTGAACCGTCCACCCGAGCTTAACGTTCTCCAGGACTTGCACGGTCGAGAGCCCCTTGTGCAAGATATGTACTTTTCCGTCGATCACGACCCCCGTACACGCCGAATTGTGCGTGTGGTGAAGATCGGGCATTGAAATCCACAAGTCCTTCTCGGGATCGTATATTTCAGACTTCGAGATCGATTTCCTGCAGCTGGTGAAACCGCCGGCGACGATTATCTTCCCGTCAAGCTCGCAACAGGCGAACATGGCTCTTGGGACGATCATGGGGGCACATAGGGACCACTGCCTAGTTACGGGATTGTACGACCAAACTTGATCGGTAGCAAAGCATCCATCTTGGTCACCGGTCAACGGATCGACAGCATCACTGCCACCGCCGAGCACAAATAGCTTTCCAGCAGCAGAAACGACGCCAAAGTGTGCGAGGTGTCGAATATTCGAAGGAAGATCAGGGAGGGTTATCCAGAGGTCGTGCTGAGGATCATAGAGTTGCCATAGATTGTCGGGGTCGTACGCGCACACGCAAATGAAGTTTTCGGTTGATTTCACCTCTTGGCGGGCCTTGAAGAGTTCAGTGCTGTGAATGGCTTCCCTCCAGGAACGAGAAACGAGTTCTAACTTGGGATAAAGATAAAAGGGAACTCTTGCAAGGCACCTAAGGGCCACAGCATCAGGAAGACCTTCGATAAGCCCAGACATCTATATGCTCGATAATCCAAGATCCTAATTGTTTCTTCGCCGATTGATTCTGATCTAAAGGACGAAGCTTTGCAAAATGATAGCCTGAAACATTCAATTCATAGGTTAATTTCCAGCATTGCAAGTTTACACTTGTGAATGTCGATAACAATAAAGTATGATTAGTTCTAGCATAACATGAACAATTGCTAAAACAGATGTGCACAAGTGTCGTAGATCTATCAATCAAATTTGGCTCCAAATATATAAATTTCATGTAAATGGTTAATTTGGCTGAAACATCAGCACATCGTGCTCCTTTTTGAAAAATGAAGATGTTGGAAAGCTTATAAGAAACAGATAGTGACTAATCTTTACAAGCTATTGGATTTATGAGGATAGAATCTTTAACCTAATAGGATTGGACAATACCCCTTTTCGGAAAAGAATCAAATCAGCATGATTCAGCTCCACCGGCATTACAAAAACATGATAATTTGATCCCAGCCAATGCCACTGTTAAAAATGATGAACTCATACTCAAAGGAACTCTCTCCTAGGAGGGTCTCTGAATACAATTCAGGCTTCGATAATCTTAACCAACTATAAGCATATCAACAGAGAAGCACAGCATATGACTTTTCTTAAGCATCAAATGTATTGCTAACAACTGGATCGAGAAAATTTCCCACCCCATCTAGCACCAGAATCTGTAAATTGCATCCGAAAGACTATATGTGTGCTGAATAACTACTAACGTTACAGATTAATGTAATCTGTCATCTACAAAAATGAAAAGGTGAGATAATAACAGGTTACAAAAAGTGGAGAAATCGAAAGGTAACTTCACACGCAGTAAATCATGAGCAAAAAATCACTTGATGCCCCATAAATTCTCAAAGAAGAACAAATGAACCTCCCAGACATTAAGTTGCCTATGAAATCATAGCTAAAAAGGATCCTGAGGCTACTTTACCAATGTTATACATATGAGAATGCATCCAAACTATCATCAGAGACACCAAAGTAAAATTTTGAACAGCAAAGCACAGCCTTCACAATTAATGCCAGAAAATTAAAACAAAACCTAGAGAGCAACGATGAACTCAAGCACAGAAATCAAGAAGATAGAGAAAAGATGCATCTATCATTTGTCTCCCAATGAAATTGAACTCAACACACTTCGAGTCAATAAAAAAAATCGGAGGAAGGCAACACGAGACAAAGCAGATATGGAGGAATCAACAATCCATCCCCAAAAGATCCCTAAAACACAATTATCGATACACCACATCAATCCAAAACGCACAGAACTGTACCCCTAAATTCCCAATTTCCGATGCCGATCGCCTCAAAATTAATCGAACGAAAAGCAGATAGAATAAAATAACTGCTACTTCAATAAATTCAATACCACAATCTCAGATTACTCGAAGGTCGAAGCCGACCAACCTAAAACACACCTATATTAGCGACGAAATGTAAACGCAAAACAAAAGCGTACCGGAGCAGCCAAAATTCGATCAAGGAAACACGATTCAAGCTCCAATCTCTGGTATCCACATAAGAAACAGAAACACGAAAGCAACCCTCCACCAGAAGAACAAAAAAATCTAGAAATATCTCGCGGTAGAGCTCCCAGCAGCCGTCACACGAAAATGCGAGTGTGGGGAGATTACAGATGCCACGCAAAAGCGATGCCGCCGATTCCTTGGGCACACGAAATCGAGGAAACCCAAAGTGCGAAGGCTGTAATCAAGAAGAATTGTTGGAGATTTGTGTGAGCAGAAACAGAGAAAGAAAGAGTTTTTACCCTTCGAATTGGGAACGGAATTGGGGCATTGAGATGGATATTCCTAATTCCAATGCCCTCTACTGCCCTCGTTCTTTCGTTTGCCTGAACGTCACGTGCCACGCACGCTTCCTTTCTTTCTCGCACGTGTTTTTTCTCCTATTATTTTTTTTTCTTTTTCTTTTTATCAATCTTTGTCTATTTATTTTTATCGCAAAACTTTAGGGGATTTGGGGATTAGATTTTAAATTCACTATTTATTTAATTTTTTTTTTTAAAATATTAAATTAAATATTTATTTTTATTTTTTATATTATACTAAAAAATCAATTTTACATTCAAAACATCGTATCGCCGTCTATTTATATCACATCGTATAATTATTTAAATTCAAAATTTTTACTATTCAAATTTCAATTCAAAATTCAAATCCCAAAACAAACACACCCTTATTAAAACGCAAAAATAAATAAAATAAAATTATTATTCTCTCCGTCCAAAAACTAATATCTTACTTTCTTATTTGGAACATCCAAGTCCTATTTCATTTTTTTAAACAAAAATTTTACATTTTTACTTTTATTCAATTATTACTTATAATCTCTACAATACAATTAAGGGCAAATTTGTCCATTCATAACATAAGACACTTACCTAAAAAATTAATAGAAATTAGACGGAGATAGTAATATATTTTATTTATTGCATAAATTTATAGAAAGTAAAAATTTATATTCTTACATATTTTTTTTAAAACCCGTACCCGATTAAATAAGCACACAATTGGATGACGGAAGGAGCACACAATTGGATGACAGGAAGGAGAGTATTAAAATATGTATAAAATATTATTTTTATGCAAATATTATTTGATATTTTGGCAACTAATTATGTAAATGTTATATAAATAAATAAACTAAAATTAAATATTTTAAATATTACCCTTTAATAAATAAAAAATAAAAAATTATAGTCATATAAATAATAACATTTAAAGTATTTATTCAATTTATTTGTATAACCTTATAATTATAATCAAAGGCGAACAATATCAATGTTTTGAATGAATATTTTATATTTATTGTAATATAATACTAAAATTTTTCGTCCAATAAATAAAATAGAAAGTATTTCTTGTACTTCCTCCGTCTCATAGCAAAGTATTCATTTTTTCATTTTAATCCGTCCCACAACAAAGTATCTATTTCTTTTTTTTTTAGTAACTGTACTATGTACCTAACATTACAATATATTATACAAATGTTATTACCTTTATATCACACGTACTAATAAGGTTATTTTAGTCATTTATACTTTATTCATACTATATCCAATATAATACTAATATTTTTAAAACTACGTGCAAAAAACAAATAGATACTTATTTTTTTGAACGGATGAAGTATTTATAATTTATCCAACCAAGAAAAAAAAACAAAAAAAAAAACATTACTATTAGGGTGTGTTTGTTTGAAGGATTTTGAAGGATTTCCACTATTCATCCAATTTTTTCCCCCTAAAAACATCAAATCAAACACCTATTTTTCATTTTTTATATTATACTAAAAATCAATTTTACATTCAAAACATCACATCAAACCCTATTTATATCACATTATACAACTATTTAAATTCAAAATTTTTACTATTCAAATCCCAATCCAAAATCCAAACCCCCAAACAAACACACCCTTAGTATTAAGTTTTATTTTAATTTTAATTTTTATTTAAATTAAGAATCAATGATATAGATGGGCTTGACCAGTTGCCGCTGCAAGCTGTTTCCAGGTGTAAACGACAGTTTACTTAATAATTGACTTTAAATTATTAATTTAATTTCCACGTCATCAAACATAAGTCCGAAAGATCACAAGTCACAAGCAAAGAACACCAACATGAATCCATTCCATTCTTCCAACCTTAGATTTAAAATTTAAAAAAAAAAAAAAAAAAAAAAAAAAAAAAAAAAGACAAAGGTACATCAGAAGCTTCTCAACAACATTAGGACAAACTCAGATCACAGTAATAATCACAGCAAAGATTGCCAAAATCAGTGAAGAACAGCATGAAATCCTAGTAGAAATGGAATGCCCTGCACCCACAATACACAAATCCTTAGTCCTGTATAAATCTATACATACAGATACATATACGTATATATATATACGGTCCAAGAGGGTACCTGGGGGTGGGGGGGTAGCACCATGGGGTCCTGCAGGGGCTGGAGGAGCTGCAAAGTGCAAATTAGGACAAGAATTGATTGAAGTATTTAAGCTAAAATCCAGAAATTTTAAAAATACTACTTTCAATGTCGCAAGATTAGTATATTTGGAGTTTACACAAAAATTGAAAAACTTTCATTGTGTAATAAGAGCATCATTTATACGTAATTTTTTTAATATTATTATTGTATTGATTTGTAATTAAAAAAAGAACAAAAATGTTCATATTAGTATAATATAATATAAAAGTAACGTGATATATTGTAAGTTATAAGAATAATTATTATGTTATGTAAATAGTACAATTACTGAAAAATGATACTTTTTCCGTCCCGATGAAAGAGTGATGTTTGTTTTTTTGCACGTAAATTCTTAAATATTAATATTATATTGGATTACAGTAAAAAAAACAAAAATATTCCTATTCTTTATTAGTACAGTGTAATATAAAAGTAATGACATTTGTGTAATATATTATAAGTTGGAAGGACATTTATTATGTTAGGTAAGTTGTACAATTATTAAATTAGGAAATGATAACCTTGTTTTTAGGACGGACAAAAATGAAAAATGACAATCTTACAATGGGACGAAAGGAGTATTTATGTTTTAAAACAGACAAAAATAAAAAATGATATTCTTCTTATGGGATGGAGAGAGTATTAAAATAAATAGATTTTTTTTTTTAAAAAAAAAAGAAAATATAATAAGAGTAGTGAGGATTATAGTGAATAAGGGTTAAATTGAGATTAATAGTTAAATGTTGAATATTTGGTTTTGCCAAGGAGGACGAAAAAGAAAAAATTAGAATAAATTTGACAAATCAAAAAAATAAAAAATTAATATTTGATATGATATTTTATGATCGAATAAAAAATTAGTGATATTTTTGAAATATCCAATAGTGTCAAAATTTCCAAAAATCACTGTATAAACATCAGAAGGATTGACATGTTTATTACAATCACATTTCTTACAGTGACACTTGGAAACCGACGGGGTTTCAACGTGGCAAGCGCCGGGGAGTTCCATCGCTCGAGTCGTGTTGATGCCTTTTTGCTCGAGCACTTGGCAAAGACATCGCGGCCGATCGCTTAAAACTGTCCTGAAACGATCGCAGCATTGCGGCGCCGGTGGCGCGCCGCTGCCTGTAATAAAGGCGTAGCACGGCATAAGGGTCGACACCGTGTCCTGACAATTATCCGACTCCGGCGACGCCGCAGCGAGGCTCCCGGAAAGAATCATGCATCCTGTAATAACAAGTGATGTCTTAAAATCTATCCACATTATTATGATCACAAGTACTATTGTTGCCACAGCCTTCTTGCTTATATAACTACCAGATTCTGCTGTTGAATCGAGACTAGGGCGATTGGGTTAGTACTTGTTGCGTTTTATGGAATTTTAAAGTCGTAAATTAAATTAATAATGAAATCGGAAGCTTATAAATACTACTCGATTCAAATAATAACAACTTAATTTAATGAATATAACCAAATAATAATGATTTAATCTAGACAAATATAAATATAATTTAAATCAATAAACTAAAAATTCAGATCTTTTGCCCCTAAAATTGAAATTAAGAAAAATAAATATTTGAAAAAGTACAGAGATAGTCAGAAGTATTTTTGAAAATTTAGTTAGAAAATAAAAAAATAAAATAACAAAAAGAGTGACGATTAAATATTGATTTGACTTTGACAAAATTAGTAATATTTACGGACTAAAAAAAAGTAAAAATAAATTTGACGGGGAAATAAATACATAAAATGTCTTAATACAAATTTAACATCAACTCTACTGGTACGAAACATTTGAAAGAAGTTCAAAGATAAATTCAACTCGATTTAAAACAGACAATATCATAGCGTTGAATTGACGGGATAAATCCAACTAATAACAGTTTAATTTAAATCATAAATTAAATATCTAAAATATTTTACTAATAGCCTTTTATTGTCCGGCGCAGGCTACGGAATCGGAGTTAGGCAAGTCGTAAATTGTTCATAGCTTCAAAGCTCATGCAGACATTAAATTGTAATTAACAGCTCTAGGACTACAAATGATAGCCTTTTTATTGAATCCATTGATCCAAAACTCTATAGGGAAATAATATAGCTAACAACTGATCAAAGTCGAGACGGCGGCGGCGATGACGGCAATGAGTCCCGGGTAGAATGGCATTGTTGTTCTGCTTCCTCTTGACGTGTTTTCATCCGTGTCCGGATCCGACGACAAGCCTGGTCGAAAAATAAGCATAAGTTAGATTAAACGAGAAACGGGGTTTGAACAGGGTTTGAAATTCTTGTTTAGTTACCTGAGGGTGGGTTTGTTGCAGCCGGAGTTTCGGGGAAGGCATATTCCGGTGATGGCGGGAGGGGTGCTGCTGCCGGTCCGGTCGCAAGTTCTGTTAGAAATTCGATCGAATGTATTCGAAAATCACTTATTAGCTTATGATCAAAATAGGTCGTTGTTTACATATATTTTTCTTATGTCACAATTTAACAATAGTTCTGTTTTACTATTTTTCTACGTTATAAAATAATATTTGTATTTTCGTAAATAATTATATTATTGTAAAATTATCATTTACTATAATCACAAAGTGATAAAGATAAAAAAAAAAAAAATCTTTTACATAAAAAAACAATCCTTTAATATATTTACAAAAAAAAAAAGTTTTTTACTGTGTATTTTTTAACTATGGATATAATATCAATATTCTTTAAAAATATAATACTAATATTATTTAAATATTTGGCCCAACAAAAATCTGTCTATTCTTTTCGGAGGGAGTATTTTAAAATTTCGGATTTTATTAAAAAATATTAAATCAAATACTCCTTCGATACATAAGAAGAGTTTTATTTTCTATTTTCGTCTGTTTGAAAATAAAGATATCATTTCCTAATTTAATAATTTTACAGCATACTTAACATAATAAATATCTTTCTAATTTATTAATATATTACAAAATGCCACAACATTTATATTATACAATATTAATAAAAATATTTTCGTTTTTTTACTAAAATCTAATATAATACTAATATTAAAAAATTATCTAAAAAACAAACATTACTCTTTATATGGGACAGAGAGAGTATATTTTTTCAGCAAAACTGTAAAAAAAATACATGTGATTTGACGACATTAAAATCTTATACTATCAAAACTGCATCATTTGCATTAATATTAAACAAATACAACAAATTAACTAACAGAATATGACATAGTCCTATACATAAATTCCTAACAATACATCACACAGTGAAATAAGAATATGTGTTATTTTAAAATTATTTTACTGGATAAACTGTTTTTTAGTCTCGAAATAGACCTTTTGTCTAGTTCCATAAGAAAAAAAATTCTTTATTTTAGTCATCCGGCGCATCAGACACTCGCGTGGCTCGCCAACTAATTTGCGACAAGCTTTATTTACGGGATTAAGATGATAAATGGTCCAGTTCCGTTACTAAAAAAATAATTTACCTTATTTATTTTTATTAGCGTTGATTTGAAAAAATTAGTAAATTAGCAGTCGAAGCTTAAACTTTTATAATTTCAAAGAAATTTCAAAACTTCAAAATTGTGAGGAGATGTTAAAGCAAAATTTTACCGTTGCATTGGCTGATTTGAGTATTCTTGAGATTACAAGCTGCCGGCAGCGCCGTCGCGAGCGTTCGATTAATGGCGACGCCGAGGGAGAAACCGGCGCCGTTACTCAGCAGAGGACACAAACACTCAGGCTGCGATCGAACAAGGCTGTCGAGGGACGCGCAGCACGACGGCGACGGCGAAGATGAGTTCCGAGTAATGTAAGTCAAACAAGAGCTCAATCCCAACACTTTAGTCGAGCATCTCGACTGCGCCGCAACGACGCTTACGCCTGCCGTAAGCGCAACAACCATGATCAAGGCGAACTTTTCAGTAGCCATGATTTTGATCGAGAAGAAAGAATAATGAAATCGAGCTTGTATATATATATATAAAATCGAGACGAGGATGGATAAGGACGATGCCGTTTGGTGTTTCGGTTAGCCTACTCTGGAATCATTATGGACAGAGTCGAAGAATCTCTAACAGTTCTGTAACTGATGTGTACCTTTAATGTTGTTAGAATTTGTTGCACCTAAAGTTCACCAGAAATGAAATGTTAGTAGTTTGTATTAGTTTATTACAGGTTGGCTCGCTTCGAAAGCTTTCTTTGATCGATCATTCGGTTGAAAATCCGTCGTTCCTGTCTGGTAAGTAATATTCAAAAGAATCGCATAAAATCGTGATATTCTTTGCGTCGAGAATGGCATATTAGTTCATTTTTGTTAGATGAAATAAATGATTGTCTCACCTCAAAATTTAAGTTTTTAGGGTACGATATTATTTAATTATTTATCTATAAACGGAAGTCAACCGACAATTGTGTATGTTGAAATAGTGTTTGTGTTGCCTTCATGTTTTAGTCTTTTTCAGACATGTTAGAGTTCTTGTTAAGACATGGAGTAGAGATAAGGTTTGTAGTACGAGGAATCGACGAAATTGGAAAGAAATCGATGTTATATCGTCGAAACAATATGGTGAAAAGCAGAGGAGAGTCTGCTGTTCTTCATTTCATACAAAGATAAATAACTGAAAAAAGAAAAACAAATAATCGAATCTTCGGACAAACGAGGCGAACAAACGAATGGTCTCGACCGAGACAGGCAGTCGACGATTCTCAGAATCCGGCGATAGAAACAGCGTACGATGATGCAGTCATCAGGACAAGTAGTAGAACTATGCAAGGTGTAGCATTAGCGATGCTGCCGTTGTTTTTGTCGCCAGTCGGGGTGGCTTTCGAGCCTGCATTCGAAGAACAATCACCACTCCAGACAACCTCAGACTTAACTGTATGTAATAATATTAGTATTTCGACATACCTGATGGGATATCCGAACCTGTCGCCGGATTCTTGGAAGAGTCGGAGGGGCGGTTCTGTAAGGCCCCCGGCGAGGCAGCATCCGGTGCATTAGCAGCTGCACGGAAAGCAAATGATGTCCGAACTCAGACAAACCAAAAGGGTCATCAAGAATGTAAGAAAAAAAAAACCTATTACTCCGGCCGGCGCTTATTACCGTTGCATTTGCTAATCGGAGGAGTCTGCACGCTGCAAGCATCGGGCAAACCGAGCGCCAACGTCTGGTTTATGTTAAACCCGTAAGAAGAAGCCGTTCCGTTCAGCAGCAGACAAAGGCACTGCGGCTGCGACTTTACTACATTCGTGAGCTTCGAGCAGCACGTCGACGAGGGCGTCGACGAATTCCCGGAGACGTAATTGAGGCACGGCGACAAACCCATCAGCGTCGTTGTGCAACCCGACTGCGCAGAAATGATGTTCGATAGAAATGCGACGACGACGACGGTAACGACAAGGGCGAGGAAGAGTTTGTAGGCCATTTTAGATGCCTGAATTCTTGCAAGGTAGAAAAGGGGAAGTTTGTTGTTTGTAAGAATGATCAAAAGCTTGAGATTGTGTGAGGAAAGATTGCAAAATTTGAAGTTTAAATAGGGATTAAGACAAGGAAGAGAAGAGGTCTAAAACAGACAGATTTGTTTGGTTGTCCAACCACTTTTAACTAATTGTTCATCAATCATTTGAGATTTGATTTTTCTATGGAAGATTTGTTGTACTGTTTGATAACTTTTGTTCGTTGTGCTGTGCTTAGATACGTTATATGGACAAAAACATAGAGTATAGTTAGGTTAAGGTGTGTTTCTTTTGACGAGTTTGAAAATTTTTGATTTAATTTGGTATTATAAAAATGTATAATGAAATATTTTTGTTTAAAAAAATATATATTTTTATCGAAAGATGCAGAATTCAAACGTTAAAAACCTAAAATTTGGGGCTAAAGAAACAAATCCTTAAAAACGTTCAACGAATGTTGCGAAAAACATACATGGGAGTGCTCGAAATGACAATACAATACAATATTTGTGTCCTAAGAGGGGACTTCGTAGATGTCGATAAAGATCTTAAAATCCATGGCCTTGAGTAGCCCACAAGGTAGACGAGACTACGAAGATGAAGATCCCGACTGCGCTGAATGACGCACCACTGCTGCTGCCTCCAACCGCGACTCCATCTGCCCCCGGACCTGTTTTCGACCCGGTTCCTACATGTTCGTGCCAATGTAATGAATTTCGACATTCTTAGGCTAATGTAATTTGTTTTGTTAGAACACATGTATGTATGTATATATCGACGTACCCGATGGATTGTCTGAATCTGATGGCGTTGTTGGAGATTCAGGCAGCACATCATCGGGATCGGAAGCCGGAGATTCAGCCGGGGCGCCAGGCGCCGACGACGCCGTGGGTCCATTAGCAGCTGCAGTCAATTCCAGCAAAAGTTAAACCACACAAATTCAGAACTATAAAAAACAACAATATACACCTTGCTGACAGCATAATATGTTACTACATAAAGCACGTTATTTATATACAGTAAATAAACCAATAATATATGACATATTTTTATATAGCACATGAGATATTTTTATAGATCACATATTTTACATATGGATAAATGAACTGTCAACACATATCAATTATCCACTGCCAATCCGGTCCAGTCAATATGATACTAATTTGATCGAATTAGCATATGCTACTTTTTTTACAAATCGTTAGAACCGTAACTTCTTCCACATATATCGACATAAATCTTACCGTTGCATCGGCTAACAGGAGGCGTCTGCACGTCGCACGCGCCGGGCAACGCGAGGGCGAGCGTTTGATTTATTGTGAAGCCGAGCGACGAAGCCCCGCCGCCGTTCAGCAATGAGCAGAGACACTGCGGCTGCCCCTGCACGACGCCCGCCAGCCGGGTGCAGCACGACGACGACGGAGTCGACGTGTTCCCGCCGACGTAGCTAAGACACGGCGACAAGCTTATCAACGCCGTCGTGCATCCCGACTGAGCTGCGACGCCGTTCCAAAACACGAGCATGAATACGGACATTAGCACAAGACCCATATCAATGGCTTTCAAACCCATTTCAGTATTACACTTACAACTTGCAAGTTACTACAATGAGTAATTAACTATGGCTATCGATCAGACATTTTTATAACAGAATGGTTGGAAGAAGACAGAGATTCCTGTTGGCCTACTTTGTTCGAAAGATCCAACCAACAATGAACTAATTCACAATGTTAGATCTCCATAAGTCAAAGTGTTAGCTAAAGTAGATGATCTCCATGAACACAGATTTCGAAGCTAATGGATGAAATTAGGTTAAATCAGTTAACAACCTCCTGCATAAATCTTACATCCTTAATCAATCCAGATGTGAAACACCTGAAATCGAAGGATGTCATTTTCAGGCAAGATGAATCGGAGATGGATGCTAGGAATTCTTACCGTTTTATCCACGATTGTCGCGACGGATTCACAGATCAGCACTTCGTGCACGAGCTCCATGGTCGCCACGTTCACGCCGTGCCTGAATTACGTCACCGGCAGCGGCGTCAGAGGCTCGTCGCCGACGCAAGACTGCTGCAACTCGCTGAAATCGCTGATGTCCGACGGCGTCGACTGCGGCTGTCTGATTGTGACAGGAAATGTTCCTCTCTCGATCCCCTATGTCAACAGAAACCTCGCCATTTCGCTACCTCGAATGTGCAGAACTTCTGTCCCAATCCAATGTAAAGGTAATTACTAACTAATCGATTAACCGACACATAACTACACTTTCGAGCAACTAACCGATTCTTACAATCTGCAGCCTCCGGAGATCCTCTGCCTGCTCCAGGTACGGACACACTATCGAATGTTTTATTACCAGAAATCGAATGAATGGAAACATTACAGTTACAGCAATGGCGTACCTGGCAGGTCCTGCTTTGTTCGGCCCTACCTCGGCTCCTTCTGCGTATGCTCCTTCAGGACAGGAAGAGGAAGGTGAGTGAAATCGAAAAATGTTCTCGTTGTGGTTAAGGTTCGGACGACGATCGGTCCTGTCCTGTACTGAATAAAATTGAAATTTCAGGCGCCGGCGTCGATGCGGCTGAATCTCCGGCAGGTGGTTTGGACGTCGCGCCGGCGGCACCGCCGGAGACGCCGGAGGATTTGCCCGAACAGCAACCGGGGGTTAGGCCTGTGGTTGACCCGAATTCGTCGCCCCCAAACGGTTCCATTGATACCTCGTCCAATCTTGTACGGATGTTGTTAGGGATTGCTGTCTTAATTAAGTTCTTGTAATACGCCAAAAATTCTCGTAATTTGTTTGGTGATATTCCTTGATTATTTGGATGATGATTTCTGCTCTGTTTCTTTTTGGGTGTGTTTGTATGGGGGAATTGGATTGAATTTATATCATTCATTTAATTTTTTCTGCTAAAAATATTAAATCAAATACTTATTTTTTATTTTTTATATTATACTAAAAATTAATTTTACATTAAAAAAATCACATCAATACTTATTTATATCACGATCATACAACTATTCAAATTCAAAATTTTTACTATTCAAATTCTAACTCAAAATCTAAACTCCAAACAAATACAAACTCCAAACAAACACACCTAAACTTAAAGTTAGAGTGTGTTTGTAAGAAATTTGAATTTCTAATATAAATATACAATTAATTTTTAATATAATATGGTGTGTTTGTAAGAAATTTGAATTTTTAATATAAATATAAAATTAATTTTTAATATAATATAAAAAAATAAAAAAAATTAATTTGATATTTTTTTAAAAAAAAATAATTGAAGATAAATAAAATTTCGGGTATTTGCCCCAAACGAACACACTGTACAAATACTTGAGCACAATTTGTGTTGACCAGTTAGTTGCATTCACACTATCAATTCCATTGTTGTCGTCGTTTAGTTCCAATGAGCAGTCTGATCATCGTAGTAATTTGTTAACCTTAATATTGTCTTTATTTTTTAATTTTTTTATATAAAAATAAATATAATAGTAAAATACAAATAATTGTAGAAAAAAATAAGATTCATAATTATAAAAATAAAAAATAATTTTATAATTGAACATTTATATAATTTGTAAATTGATGAAGTGAATATTTTATAATAATAATAACAAAATTAAAAATTATTATATATTTATAAAAATAATACTAATATTAAATAGTAACTAATTATTAATAATATATCAAAATATTTACGTTATTACTCCGTATTTTTTTATTTAATTTATTTATTTTTTATTAAATTATAAATTTACATCAAATTAACCATTGCATGTTAAATTATTATTCATTAAAATTTTAAAATTTGAACAAAATTTGCTGAATCAAAACAACATAAGTTTTCAAAACCATCAAAAAAAACTTCAAATTTATTCCAAATTTGAATCAAATTTCCCAAATCAACCCAAAAATGTCTCACGGATTTAGGATTTTTACTATTATCGTTTGATTTAGGACTTACTATTATTAGTTCCATTATAATCAAAGATTCAAGGTGTTCATTTAGGCCAGGTCGGTCCATAAATATAGCGGCCGGGCTAGTGCTGCTTTTGTCTTTGGGAGGGTTTCGCCTGAGTAAGAGTTTGGCCCGATTCAAATTATATCATGGTTCGCTTGGGCGAGCCTATTTTTTATAAATTTAGTATTAGTATTATTATTATTATTATTTTAAGTATCAAATTAAATAATTATAGTTTTTTATTCAAATTCAAATTTGTATAATTCAAAAATTCAAATGCAAAAATCAAATACACAAAGAAAGACGTGTGTTTTTTTAACAAAAAAGAAAACACATATTTTCTCAAAACTATTAGTATGTCAGTTACATCCATTACTTTTATATTTTCTATATAATTCATCGTACTCCCTCCGTGGTCATGCAAATATGTGCTCATTTGACCGGGCACAAACTTTAATAAAAGTGAGTAATAATTATTAATTTTTCATTTTATAATAAAAACAGCACAAAAGTGAAATAATTTTTTACTTAAAAAAGAAATGATAATATTTTTCGCTTACAATTCAAAAAGGAAAGTGAACGTAAATGTGAATGACAGAGGGAGTACATCATATCAGAAAATATCCATTCAAATCATCTCACAAAACAAACATACCCACCATTTGAATTTTCTTATATGTCCGTTACATTTATCTTAGTATGTTATTTTTAAATAAAAATTTATTATCTCAATTGTGTTTAGTTCTGCCAAAATTAAAAAATTAATAATAATAATAATAAAACATGTAAGAAAGAAAAATTTTGTTGATGTATATAGATGTTTAGATCAAGTGTGAAATGTATGTTGAAAATTTGAACTTATAATTTTACAGTTACAAGTTTACGACAAAGACGTTTTTTTATGAAACTTTTGTTTGATTGTATTGTGGATGCAATAATTATTTTGGTAGAACGAGTATTGAATGGCACGGACGGTTTGGGTATAAATATGAGTTATTTTTATACATATGTCGATTGCAATAATAAAGGTGTGTTTGGTTTGAACTTGTGTTTATGTTTCAGAGTTTGTGAGATAGTAATTTTATGAAATAAAATATTCCATTTGTTCTATTGAAATATTACAATTTTTCATTTTCATCCGTTCCAAAACAAGATTATCATTTCCTAATTTAGTAATTGTACTACATATTTAACATAATAAATATCCTTTCAACTTACAATATATTACACAAATGTCATTAATTTTATATTACACCATACTAATAGGGGTATCTTTGTCTTTTTTACTACAATCCAATATAATACTAATATTAAAAAATTTACGTATAAAAAACAAACACCAACCTTCCAGCCGGAGGGAGTATATATATATATATTTTATTGAAACTAATATATAAACACTTATATTGTGATGACACAAACTTATATTCGTTATTTGACACAAACTTATACTCCCTCCATTTTATATCTATATATCAATTTGCTTTTTGCGCTGAGTTTTAAAAATATTAGTATTATATTGGGATAAAGTAGAAATAAATGTAAAATTTGTGTTTAAAAAAAAACATAGGACAATAATTCTTGAACGTCTCAAATAGAAAAATAGGACATTAGTTTGTGGACGGGGGGAGTATTATTTTACTCATAGAATATGTCGGAATTACAACATTCAATGTATATAACTCCGCACCGATCGAATCCGTATAAATTATACACTAGTGTGCTCATTCAGTTATACATTCCCTAAATATATATATATATATATATATATATATAAGATACATAATTATTAAATTAACAAAAATACAATGGTTTTGATCAGACAATAAAATTAAATATTATTTAAAAAATACAATATATATATATATTTATGTACTTAAAAAAAATTAATAATTCAATTTAAAATATTATTTTTTATATTAATATTATAATTTTCATACCTAATATAAAAGATATATTTATTAAAAATACAGAGTAGTGAAAGAAGTATATTTTTACAATTTTCATTGTTTCACAACAAAAATGTTTAAAATTTTAGAATTTGTTTGTTTTTTCTTTGAAATTTAATTATTATTTTAATGTAATATTTATATGATAACAACAAATAATTACTTTTTTTAATATTATACTATAAATTTGTTTTACATTAAAAATATCGTATCAATCTCTATTTATATAAATCAAATAACTATTCAAATTCAAACTCAAAAATTAAAACCCGCAAACAAACACACCCTTATAAATTTGTTTACATAAATATTTTTTAAAACTTTAATACTATTCATTAATATTTTTTTTTTAAAAAAATATATTATATCAAATAATTATGGGTAAATTATATAATACCTCATATGTTTTAGTAAAAATGCACAAAATACTTTGTATTTTATTTATTGCGTGAACCCCCTTGTGTTAATGTAAAATTTGCATGAAACACCATTCTTGTCCAAAACTGATATTTAGTTATAAATAAATATCTAAATTACGAAGTTTTATACAAATGAAAAGCGCAAAATATCTTAAATAATTTTTTTTGCATTAATAAATAATAATTTATTAATCCTTCATTTTATAGTTTTTTTTAGACAAATCGTTGTCTGATTTTTATAAAATTATAAAAATAAATGATTGATAAATTATTTATCTATTTATTTTATTCAAAAAATTATTTAAAATATTTTTTATTTTTTATTTATATAAAAATTACGTAATTTAGGTCTTTATTTCAAATCAAACATCAGTTTTGAACAAGGAGAATGTTTGATACAAACTTTCTATTAACACAAGAGGTTTCACGTAATAAATAAAACTCAGGGTATTTTATATATTTTTAATAAAACACAAGGATGTGTTATATAATTTACCCAATAATTATTAATTACATTTCAATTTTTTTTATTGAAAAAAATTACAAAACCTCTTCACACGCCCACAGGGAACAAATATCAAACGGCGATATTTTGCCACTTTATTTACAAATGTTTAATAAAAAAAATACATTATTAAGATTTTGTGTAATTGGAATTTCAATATAAAATTACAATTATTTACTCATATAATTTTCAATAAAAAATATATTTTATTTTGAAAATATTACATTTAAATATATTTAAATAAATATCTAATTTTAATTCAATTTAAAACCACGACCGAACGAACCTTAAATGTCAATTTAGAAATAGTGTTCGGTTAAATGAATGTACGTAGCGAAATTTAATTGGACCGTTAGACGAGCGTATGATTATTTTGTCATTTTGTGCAGAAGTGAAGCAACGCTGCCTCACTATTTTAAGAAACAAGTTCCCTTGCGCGGGTCCCACAGTGGCGTATATATATAAACCCCCCCTTACTCTCTGAGCTCACATTCATCGCCTATTTCATTCAGGCACTCGACACCACCGCCGACGGGGAACCCTAGCAGCAGCCTCAACTCCGATTTGTTCAGAATGCCGGTGAAGAGGAGCCGTCCTGAGAACTCTTCTAGCCGTCCGGTTTTGTCTCCGACCTACGCCGTCTGTCCGATGAAGATTATGCGGACGGACGCCGCTGCGGAGCCGTCGCGGCCGAGTATTTTGGACGTCGCTTCTGTGGTGAGTGTGGGAGGATGTGATCAGACGAAAATTGGGGAGTTTCTGGAGCGGTGCCATTACTGTAAGAAGCGGATTGCGCAGAATTCTGAAGTTTTTATGTATAGGTAGACACCAGCCTTTATTGATTCCGGTTTCTTTTAATTTCAATTTTATCTTTTAATCAACGTGGATTTCTGTTATGTTTTCACGTGTTTGGTGGAGGTTTTTGTTGATTATTTGTGATTTAGCATTTTCTCTATGTTTAACTAGTTGAACTTGGGTGTAGTAAGTAGTTGTTTTGGTTCAGTAATGTTTTACATGTGAATATGGTTTAGTATGCTTTTTTTTTTTTTTTTGTATTTGTTTATATTATCAATGATTGAATTTTATATATTGTTTACTTTATTATTATTATTATTATTATTATTATTATTCATCCTTGCTTAAATCATCGAATTCAATATCCTTGGAAGCATATTGAAATCGTGTTCAGGCTGAATTCTTATTCAATATTTCCCCCCTCTGTTTCAGCCAACGTATGCTTAATGGACTTGGTATATGTTTTCTTCCGTATTATTATGGTTAATTTTATTAATTATTTTAAATGTTAAAAATGTATGTATTTATTTCAATATATATATTGCCTTTTATCAAGTCTTCTGATTTATCTAATTTTGGGTGTGTTCTGTGCTTTTGTTTGTGTTTTGTATTTTTATGTTGATGTTATTTTATGCAAAACTAGTTGTTGATTGTTATGTTTTATATGGAAAATGGATTTTAAATAGTTACAAATATAGCTGTCTTCTGGAAATAGGTGAGTGTAAAAGCTTGTTAGCTGTCTGTATATTGTTCTTGCACTACTTGGGAAAATTTTTATATGTTATGTTAAGGAGATTAGCTGTGCCATCATTCAAAGATTGTTTTATTACCACAAATGAATTTCCATGACATATTTCTTATCCATTGGTCACTTATTGTTGGATATCCTATTTGATGCAGCAATCTATGTGCCTTCTGCTCCCCTGAATGCCGTGATTTTCAGATTTCACTAGATCACTCTGCGGAGAAACAACCAAATATTTCGAAGGGAAAGTGCCCTCCAGGGAAGGGGTTTCACAATGTGAAGGATCAGTAGGCTGTTTAAATTGCAGTGGGATACATATGTATAGTTCCCCATACCTAAATGCCGAAATATGTGCAATGCTGTCAATTTTTGAGCGATCAGCTTGCACTTATGCACAGTATAGGAATATTACCTGTTAAGTATTGATATAATGTGTATTTATATAGCTGCTTCTCTGTTTAGCATGTATTGAAGCATTAAGGTGGTTCCTACTTTGATTCAGCTAGGAATCTGAAGTTGGATAGATCCTGTGATATTGTGCATGAATGGAATGACGTTCTAGTATTTTTGTGGTTTGATTTACATTCAACGGCATCTTCTTACTTACCATTTTCAGCAAGATGAAGCATGTACTCTTTTCTGAAAGTAGTGTGCTAGAATTTATTTTACGATTAATTAATTAGTGCAGCGAGTCTTTGAATTCTTGTGATTATTTGTGAACTTCATATGTGTTTTGCTAATTTTCAAGTTTGTGCCAAATGAGCTCTACCGATTGCACTTACTTTAAGAATCTGGCTTTGATATATTTGTTGATTCATTCTAACCTTGCTCTATTTCCTTTTGGTTTGTGTTTTATTTTTCCGCATACTGTACAGTGAATGATATCTATTAGCAGTTCAATCTGAACCTAATGTTCCCAGAACATTTTTCTGTAAATTATCGTCTCTTAGGTAATATATTTGATGCCCAGTGCCCTCGAATCTTTTCCGAGTTGCCTCCCAAGCTTGCTGTTCATCAACTGACGTTTAAAAGTAACATCTTCTACTGTAAGGATTATTATTGTATTTTTACCTAGCATTGTGACAGTGTAATTGGTTTACTTCTAATAATTGTAGCCTTTATTTGCATTCTTATTACTGTATTTCAATATCTGTTTTTCCCCTTAAAAAATTTTGTGCTTAATTTTCTCATCCGTTTATCATTCTACTTTTATAATGTCAGGTTTGTCTTGTTAGCCAATTCAGATTGGCGTTTTCTGTTAAACATTTAACTTCCATTTTGTACAAGTATGGCAGTGTTTTCGAAACAGGATTTCTTGTGCTCATTGTCTCCACTTATATTTGATCATATAGCTTGGCAGATGATTGGAAATCTAATGTTGACATATTTGAAGGGGATAATTTCAGTATAGTTTTGTGTTTTTAGTAAATCTTTCTTTACAATTTGCTCGTCTCTTTTAAAGTTGGATATCACATGGATAAAGGGTACGAAGAGATGGCATAGCTTGTCCCAATTATTGCCTATAATTATTCAGCTTATGTTTCTCTATAACTCTTTTGTACCTTTTCTCATTCTTCACTTCAATCCCTTTCTGCCTAACATCCTAAACCTGTTGTGTGCATTCAGGTGGCCCGCAACTTTTGCCGAACAAGTGACTGCTGCCATTATTCGAGGCCTAAATGTCGCCACAGAGCCCATGCCATGCTAGCAGGTACCTTGTTAGACCTTCTTACTATTATGTTCTTATGTTCATCCATCCCAAAAGACTTTTAAGCTTATCTTAAACTGTATCTGAATTCAGTTCACTCTCTTTTCGATTCCTTCAGATACTGCAATAATTAAGCTCATTACAATGAGCATTGAGCTTATTTTATTTATTTAGTTTGACAAATGTGAAAAATTCTTGCTTCCAAGACTTTTAATTCTCCTGTAACTTGAGATGCAACATAATCAAATTAAATTCATAATTTCCAGTGTGCCTTTCATTCATGAAAAACTTAGATGGATGTCTCTGTAAATTGCAGGTTTTTCAGTCACATGTGGCATTTTCTTGTGATGACTAAACAACAATGTATAGTTTATAGCAGACAGCTCCAGGTAGCAATCTTTCTATCCATCTTTTATTTTTTTTATTTTTTATTTTTTATTTTTAAATTTTCTTGGGCTCATCTGAAGCTAATATACTTAGAGCCCATCTTTAAAAAAAATTGTGAGGGGCAAACTTGCCAGAAGATATTTGACTGAGTTCATATAAAGTTCATGCTTGCTGGTTGAATCTTGAAAAGCTAATCTACAACATCTTATTTTACCCAATGAGGCCATTATGATAGTGTCAACAAGTCAGATTCTACCTTGTGGGAGTCATGCCTACACCACCCACCCCACATCCTCATCCTATTCTACTACTTATTTGCATACACATACATACATCATCATGGTAGGGCAAAAGTTGGCATATCCCTTTCTCTTAACTTTCTATTGAAGCACTACTAGTATTTGAAGGAAACAAAAAACAAAACAGATTCTTGTCTTACATTCTGGGTCTCACCATTAGTAGAATTTAATGTTGGATTTTCCTCAATAGGAATTTAGGTAAATACTGATTGCCCCTCTGCTCATATCTTGCAGCCTAATTAGTCACTCAAATTAACTTACTGCTCCATTGACATTTTATAATATCTAAATCTAAATCTATATCTATATCTATATATATATGTGTGTGTATGTATATGTGTGTGTGTACTGTTTGAGTGTAGCAGCAGAATGAGTATCAACATCATGTAACCAAATTGATATAAAACTGTGTGGATGGATTTTGCAGAGCAGAGATTGGCAGTGTTTATATCTGACAGGGATGTTTAACAAGCAAAGGCCAGTTTTTGATTAAGACTGGGAGTCTTCTTACCAGGTAATATTATCAAATGTGACATCATCATCCTTCTTATTAATTCTGCTGCCTGCACTCTTTTTCATTATTTATTGCTTCTTTAACTTTAGATGCCCTGAATTTTGCTACCAAACTTTTTGCCATTTTTGTATCTGAATTCACTGTCTCCTATTTACTGCCTACAAGCTGCAATTTTTGGGATGGCGTCTTCTTTATATCATCATTGGCCCATCAACACACCTTCAAGGTACATTCTCTCATTCACTTTCATTTATTTTTATTTTTAATTTTTAATTTTTTAGTCCCATTTTAAATGCTTTGATTGAATTTATTTTAGTGATATATGCTTTGATTATTTGATGGGATTAATTGATTATTATATGCTTAGCTGCCTTAGTTTGATGGATAATGGTAAAAGAAAAAAAAAAAATTAAAAATTGCAAATTGTGATGGAAAATATAAATGGAGTAGAAATCAATGACCACCTCACGTGGTGAAGAGAGATTGAAAACTGACCGTTGATTATGATACTATGAATTTATAGCGAGATATTTCTATTGACCATTAGATGCATGACACGTGTCGGTGAAAAGCCAATAGTAACTTTTTTTTGTTTTTTTTTCATGAGGGTAAAATTAAAATTTTAATAAAGTTACTAATACTCAGTGTGATTCATTTTTTTTTTTTTTTTGGTCATTTAAATTTAAATTTATTTTATTGTTTTAGTAAAAGAAAAAAAAATTGCCCTAAAAAAGTAAAAATGTGATGAAGGTAAGAAATATATGGTTGGGTAACAAATTTTTACCCATAACCTTGTCACAATTCCAATCCTTACACAACCAAATCATTTATTAGGAGACTTATAATTATTATTGTTATTTGGGTCATCGGGATAAAGGTTTTAGTACTAACATGTATGATATCTTCCACTAGGATCCCCTGCCTCTCTTCTTTTGGTTAAATTGAAATTAAAATATTTTTATAAAAAATAAATACTACAATTTGTTACCTAAATAAAACACTGTTCATGTTGTTATTTTTATATTTCATTGAATTCACACCCAAAAATAAATAAAGAGATAAAACCGAAGGCCTGTTGATGGCAGGCCTTTTACAGGTACAGCCCTGACTACTCTCGTATTCATTGCACCAAATTAAAAATATTTAAATAAAAATATGTTATATGTACTACTACACCTTAGGTCAGATCTCACTCTGCTTTTTTGTTTGGAAAAAATTAAAAATAAATCAAATTCAATATTCATTAGTTATGATTTTAAATACTTCTTCCCTCTTTTTTATAATAAAGTATTATTTTTTTATTTTAGTATGTCCCATAATAAAGTATTAATTTTTATTTTTTTTCAGTACTATCTACCTAACATTACAAATTCCTTTATAATTTATAATATATTACACAAATATCATTTGTATCACACCTACAAATAGAGTTATTTTAGTCATTTCTACTTTATTCCTACTATATCTCAATATAATACTAATATTTCTAAACTTACATGCAAAAAACAAATGAATATTTAGTTATGGGACGAAGACACTGTATAAATGTATTAGTTTGAATTAAATTATGTTATACAAATTCCATTCTAATTCGATATATATATATTATTGTTATATTTGTATGTTTTATCCAATATACTCCTTCCGTCCCAAAAGGGTTGTCTTGTTTTCCTATTTTCATCCGTTCCAAAACAATTGTCTTGTTTCTTTATTTAGTAATCGTGGTCCTCACTTTATAACAAAATTATTCGTACTTTTCTAAACTACCCATAATTATTACTCTAACTTACTTTTAAAAATTCTTAAAAAAGTAAGGATATTTTAGTCTTTTACATTATATTTTATACTACTTTCCATTAAATACTATTATTCGTTAATTCCCGTGTCAATTCCCAATAAAACGGTTCTTCTTGGACGGAGGGAGTATATTTTTTTATTAACAAAGACAAATATCAACATAATTTTAAATACTTTTATTATTCAATAAAATATTACTACGGTTCTAAGGGTCATTGCAAAAATACTTCTTCAGTGTCTTATAATACTAACAGAAGGACGTTTATACAAAAAAAAATTATACAATTATAAAGATATTTTTAATGTTAAGTACAATGATGCAAATGACAAACGTGTCTTTAGAGACGGACGGAGAAAATATTATTTTTAAATTTAACTCACTGGCAAAATCAAAATTTGAGCACTTAAATTTTACCTTTCCTTCAATATTTATGTATTACAACTGTCAATATTTTTAAAAATATCTTCAATTATATATTTATTTTTATTATTTTTCAATAAAATTTTTACTTTATAAAATTCTATATCGACCTTAAATAGATTATTAATTATTTTTGAAGAAGCAGTATGAGTGAGTTGTAAAAGAAATGGTAATTCCCCATGCACAAGTCACATCACTAATCACTACAGCCTTTGTGGGGATTCTCCACAACATCAAAACATGTCTCCACATTTTCTTACAAATTGCCTCTCTTCCACACCACAACAGAACAGACTTTATTAATCAAAACTAAAATCATGCAAAAAGATTATTAATCATAAAAAAAAAAAAAAAAAAAAAAGACAAAATCAAAACTAGTTGGCAGCAACTGCAAGTTATGTGGTACGGAAAGCCTTGTAGGCTTGTAGCTATGAAAATTTAATCAATTAATTAATTAGTCAACCCTCACGGAACGGCGGCCCGCCGCCGTAGGGGCCCCGTCTCAGCGACCCCTTACACCGCCACATGTCACACACACATACGTATGATTATTTGTCTATGAAGTAATGAACATTATGTATTTGTTTCTTTATTTCAAATTTATTTTTTTTGTTACTATTATTTTATATGGTTTTAAATCAAAACATACATATATATATATATATTTCGAATATTATATTAAAATATTGTTTAATTCAAAATTAAAAAACAATCACTTCAATTTCAAATTAAAATCAAACAAACCTTATAATTGTGTTTGTTTATTCTATATAGAAGTAGTTTTGTTGTTAGTATAAAAAATTATAGTAGTGTTAAGAGGGTTTTATGTATTTGAATTGTTTGCTTGTATTTAATGTATAATTGTTGATATATATATATATATATGTTAAATAGTATTTTTGAGAAACATATGTATGTATTCACTCAATATATATATATTTTAAAATTAAATTTGTATGAATATTTATTAAAAATATTATATACATATATTTATATAATTATATTAATTTAACACAATATTATGGTAAGCATTGAATAGTATAGATTTATGTTTTAAAAAAAAACAAATCAAACACACCCCCATTCACCATTTACAGTTTTTGATCTTTACATCATCAAGAAATGTTCTTGAGATCATTCATTCATAAATACTTACATACTACACATAGATACATATACACTTTCCTTTTCTCCTCATCTACATCTCTAATTTGTCAATTTTGCAACAGAATCTCTCTCTGGGTCAGTTTTTATTATCCCCTCCAAAAAAATTCTTGCAATCCTAAAAATTAAAATTAAAATTAAGTCACCTGCATCTAGAAGTCATCTTCATCATCGTCTCCGGTCAATGTTCTGACTATCCGATCGATTCACAGCTCCTACTGAATCAATGACAAAAAATGGCGTTCGTTCGGAGTCAATACCTGCAATGAAGATACTATTTTAGCACTTCAGAGTTTGTGTACTAAGTCAATTATATGAATGAACCTTTAGATGGAATTTGCGACGTAATTGATATAGTCGAACCTTTAGTTTACGCTCCGGCGTAGGATTAAGAAGTCGGGTGATTTCCGGCGAGGATCTTCGTTCGTCAGTAGAAATGGAATTGCCCGACATACCCCTGCGTATACGGTAGCAACTCTTCGACTTCAATCCGCGAGCTGGAATAGCTTGTGCTTTTCTTGATTCGACTACGGTTGATGGACTCGACTTCAGCTAAGAACACGCTATACACCGGTCTGTGATCTGAGAATCTCGACTCCCCGCGAACATACGACAGCTGCTGGAGGCCACGGCCGTACCATAATATCCGATCGCACCTATAACCGGTCGAGAGTAATGATTTTATTTGAGTAAAGAGAATGAGACGAAAAAAGAACTTGTCGGGAAGGAAGGCGAGATTATTACCATGCCGGTGTTCTTCGTTTCTCCTTAGGATGCATGTTCTCGCCGGCGTACCTGTCTGAATTATTCGAATACTTGTACGTAGGCGGGAAGTATATTCTGCCCTCGTTCCACCCGATGAAGACCCTCCCGTGCCTCTGCTCGATTCTCAGCTGTTTTTACAAGAAAACCCGACTGTAAGGAAAGTCGAATGCACAAGTGCTCGACAAGTTTAAGGATGGTTTTGATTGAAGACAAGCGCTTACCTGGTCGTTTTCTAACAATGCTCGCCAGTTGCGCATCTCGACTAGAGCCTTCGCGCATCTGTAAGACAGCGCGATCCTGTAGTTCAAGTCTCCGAGCCATATGATCCGACTGGAACCAGACAAGATATATATATACATACGTATATATAGATAGATAGATAGATTAGTCGGGAACGAAGAAAGATAATCGAGCTATGTTAAAGGAATACCGAGAAGGAACTCACTCGTGGTCGAGGATGGTTTGTGGGGAGTTCTCGTGCTGCTGCCCGACGCCGTGCACGTGCGGGAACCTCGTCTTCCGTAGAATTTCAAGGACGTCGGCGTTCCGTCGCAGCTCGTCGCCGTCCTTCTCCCCCGACGTCAAATGGCTACATATGAAGCAGAAGCTCGTCTGGTGCAAAGACATGCTGATCGAAATCGATCCCTTGTTTCCGAGATAGCCCATCAATCCTCTCCCGACACACGACACCTTAAGATTTCGGACAGCGTCTCTTAGATCGCGTCGAATCCATATCGTTAGAAAGATCCCGACCATCTGCTTGCTCGCCACCAGACAGTACCTCGACTGCCCCGGATACCTGTCCCGATCCTCCGGGTAAGAAACAGGCGAGCAATGCTGTGCACAAGGGGATTCGTTCATTCCGTTTTCCTCGTCGGAGGAGCCATCCCACCTGAAATATGGGTCGTAGCAGTCGCTGGGTCGATGGCCGTAGATTGCCCTGTCGCAGACGCTGTACCGGCGGTCGAGTCTAGGCTGCGGCAGCGACATGTCGTGATCGGTCATTCTCATGCTACGGCTCAATGACTGGAAAGATCGACGGTGGTGGATGAAAGACGAAGAGGTGTTCTCTCTATTTGATCCTTCGAAGTCATCATCCAGCTCGACGATTGGGTCGGGGATTGGCGACGGCGTGCGACAGCTTGCGCTGCTCCCGGGCAAGCTGTTGAGCGTCTTCCGGATAAGCGCCAGCCATTTCCGGGCCGGGCCGTTGTCTTCTGTCCCGAGCACATTGCCGGCATTTAAAGGGACTATTTCTTGAAACCTTAAAACGACAAACAAAAATACATTATAGCCAACAATCATTACGATACAACGACAAGGGAAATGAAATAGATGCATTTGGTAATTTAACTCACCCGAGGACATAGATGTCGGCAGGGGGCGAAGTGTGTAGCCAATCGTCGAGATTCAAATGAGTCGGGGGCGATTTCCCAGCCACATTCCAAGTTGCCACAAAAATCCTAACCCAAAAACAAAATCATCAACAAATGCAACAAGAATCTGTTGTATCAACACACAAAAAAGATCGATTTTAATACGTACTTGTAGTTATGAACATCGGTGACTTGAGTAGCAGCATCGATATCGATCTTGCTTCGCCACGGGCGATCCGGGAATCGTTTTTCTAGCAACCAATTGAACCAAAACAAAAAGAATTCCAATCACCAAATATCCAAAACAACAATCCCCCCAAAAAACCTTTGTTCATACATATTCAGCAGCAATGGATGATACAAATACAATGTACTACTATCTATCTATCTATCTATCTATGTGGTCCAAAAACTTTAAAAACAAAATTCGAGTGTCTGAAATTTGAAACCTGTTCTACTTTTCTTGATGGTGCATGCTTCATCCCTCTCTGTAAAATTGCTCCTCCATTGCTCATCAACACCTGAAAAAGCAACAAGTTAAAGTCTTTTTAAAGGTGTGGTCATTATAAACTGTAGCAGCTCATGACCCACATGTGTGAGTACAAAAAAAGATCCCAAATTTCCTTACGAACTAAGATAAACAAATGAAAGGGAAAAAAAATCAAAATGATGTACTAATTTCACTGAGACACGAACAATACTGAAGAAGATCCATCCAACATTATATGTATGTGTGTGTGTATATATATATACACATCAGAAACTCTGCAAACCAAATGTTTCTGTGCAAAGACAAACAGAGAAAAACGCCAAAGTTCTGTAACCCCCCCAAAATCCCTTTCAATCTTAAAAAAACTTTGGCAGTGAGGAGGAGTACTTGAGATTCCAATTTTTGATTTGGGGGTTTTGTGATGGTGAATTTATATTTGACATCATTACTAGAAGAGATTATTATAATAAATATTATTATTATTATTATTAATATTACCTTCATAAGTGATGTCATCGTCGGCGTGGAAATCCTCAGTTTTGCTCTTGATGTTGAGCCATTTCTTGACGAGTGTCTTTGGCCATGAAAATTTCTTCATTCAAGAAAAGAACATAAGAATTAGATGAAGAGGAAGAAGAAGAATCTTGAATGTGGCATTGCAGAGAAGGAATGGTGGGATCAATAAAAGCACATCAATGCACTGATTTTTAGTTTTTTTTTTTTTCTTCATTTATTTTAATCGAACAGAAACTGACAAAAAACAAACCTTGCTTTTCTTTGAGTTCCCATCTCTCATTGTTTCACCACTTCATATATGAACAAACTTCCTGGGCCTTCTTCCGGAATCAGCTCAAGATCAAAGCTTTCTTCTCTTTCCTGCAACAAATTCAAGAACAAGAAGAAGAAGAAGATCAATAGCTGATGCTGGTAAAATAAAAAAACATTGGGAAAAAGAAAAGAAAAGAGAGAGACAGAGACAGAGACAAAGAGAGAGACAGAGATAGAGATAGAGATAGAGAGAGAAAGAGAGAATACGATGATTTGGCCAATGAGGTGAAATCAGACACAGAAGTCGGTTCCCTAAGAATTGAAGAGAGCAGAACGGAGAGAACGAAGAAAACCCCGTTTTCTAGGCATGTTGATTCAAAGACAGAAATTTCCAAGAATCCTAGTAAGAAGAAAAAAGATTTCTCCTTTGTACTACTAATGTTATGGGAGCAGTGCGCAAGAGACAAAGAGGGTCAAGAAAAGGGAAGCAAAAATAACAATAGACTCAGATTCCGAATGTAGAAACGAGACAATGCAGAACAAAAGGGTATGCAAGACAATGTCGAGAGATAGATAAATGGATATTGATAGCCTTCTCAGAAATGGGGGTGGGGTGGGGTGGGTGGGGGTGTTTCTCTTCTCAAAAACCTCGTTCTGAGTACAGAGCAAAGTGTCATCGAATTTTGAAGAGAATAAAGTGCAGAGTTGGGATAAATATAAATGAGTAAAAATTGAAAAAGAGCACCAACTAAAACAGAAAAAAAATAAAAACAAAAAACATCAACAGCAACTTACAACCACCAGTGTAATTCTCGAGGTGTTTTTAAGTCGACTCAAAACCAAGGGGCCCTGGCCCAAATTAAGGGTTCCTATGGCAGATTGCCATTGTACAAACTGCTTACCCACTCTCTTCTACAGGAGCACCTCTTTCTTGCCCTGTCCCTCCCCACACCTGCCCCTGCTATTTCAAGACTGCCCGCGGTCAGCTGGTGAAAGGTTTGAAATTGAATTTGATCCGCAAACTAATCACCATGAAGTATACATACATACATATGTATATATAGTATTATTGAACAGGAAGAAGAAGAGGGTGTTGGGCATTTGTTGTATGCCAGTTTTGAGAGCTTTTCTTAACTACACCCATTGCTAAAAATGATTTTGGGGTTAGGGAGATGTTAAGAGGATTTGTAGAATGTTCAAAGGGAATTTATGTATGCAGAAATCACACACACCCACTTTAATAATGATTGATCTTGCCATAGCTTTATTGGGTCTTGGCAAGATAGAGAGAAGAGTTTTTTAACATTGGAAAAAATGGGGCATTTCTCCAATGTAGATTTTTGGGTTCACAAATTTTAGAATTCCTGAATATTGGGGAGCTTACTAAAACCCTTTTAGGGGGGTCCAAATGTTTAGAGTTAGAGCAGAATGTCTATATGTAAAGGAAATTAGGGGTTCTTTTGGGTCAAACGAAACTAGTGTCCTGAGACTCAATGGCAACAAAGTCCTATTTTGAGGAAGTATGTTGGGCATTATTCCATCTGAAGAACTAAACACTAAACTTAGTCATGGGTTAATGCAACTTTCTTTTTTGTGCTTGAAGAATCCTCCTTTCCAAAAAAGCACACTTACATTTACAATTCAAATGGGAGGGGATCTTCTAGTTCAGGGCAGGGAATTGAAGAGGGCCATGGTTTGGGTCCACACAATCTCCATCTCCAAGTGAATAATTTAATAATAATTATCACTCACTTAGAACAAAGTAACTTCTTGGATTATGTCCTCTAGGCATAGAAATTACAATTGACTAATCTTAAATTCCACATGCTACATGTGGGAGACTGTGCTGGTCCCTACTCCCTACCGCCTAAGTCCCTCATGTTTTCACAGTTTCAAGAACCAAGTTTTGTGCATTAGTTTATTCATACCTAGGACTAATCTACATCAAGATTGATGGGCTATTCAATCCAAGTTGGCTTAGCAAAAACTAGTTTTATTTAATCCTAGAAAGTGACTCCCCAATTCATCCCCTAATGACACATCCATCAATCTTTGTTGAAGCTTCTCAACTTATGGTTATGTCAGCATTCAACTTTGTCCACCATATATATACTGGTGTTATATTTTATTACATAATTCTGGGAGGTGAGACAAATGGAAATCGACATCCATTGTCCATATGCCTATGTATACAAGCCACCAAATCAAGCACTAACACATTTGATCACGAGTAGGAAATCTACTTCCATTAAAAGAAAATTCACAAATGTCACACTTGGGCATTTCTTCAAATCACTTAGTGTAGATGATTACTACTGTGACCAACTCATTAATTGCAATAGTATAAAGTCACATAAGCTACCATATAAATTTAACTATTTCTTGAAAATAAAATCAAAGAAAGGCTATATCAAGTAAATGGAATCACAGAGGGTACCACACTATATATAGTCTAGAATGAATTTATTATTTTTCATCAATTTACATGACATGAACCTTATCTCCTTCCAGGTAAGTGCCACTTTTGAATCATGGCCCATTTGCCTTGAATTATGATGCCAAGCCACAGTTCTTGCAACTTGACAATGATTCAATTATTCCATATATCCATTCCAACTTTTTTTTTTTCCTAGCAGAAAAGAAACCTGATAAAACCAAACCAATAGAGAGGATCAGTCACTGAGTTAACTGTCTCTGCAAAATTAAACATCATTAGTTTTCAGTACAAGTATTGATCATATGAATGAAGGGTATAAATGGTAACTAGCTTCCTATGTTTCCTTAACTCAAATATAAAACTTTAGTACCACAAAAGGAGAGACAACATTAAACTTTGGATAGTCAAAGCATGGTGTGTAAATAAATCTGTACTCTGAGGAAAGGAATCTCTCTCCCCTTGAGATGATTTATCCTTTTTTACAGCTTGCCATTGCCTCTGAAAACCATCACAGCTTGTGCCCTTTCCTTTCTTTTTGTCTGAGTTTCTCATCATTTCTCTCAGGTTATGATTTAGGTACGAATGTGCACAATCTAACCATCAGTGGGAAGTTACACGTGTAAGTGTAGCCTACACACTTCCTCATCTAATCTTGTGGATACAAATGATTATATCATGTAATAATTAGTTTAATTCAGGTTTGGGCCGTCTATTGCCAATCTTCAAAGTAGAAATCATGAATATATTGCAACAATTTCCAAAGAACAAATCTTGACCAGACCTGCTGATTTCTTTGTTGAAAGTTAGGATAGATCATGTCCCTCAAACATCTTGCCAACTGGAATCTGATTTGCAGACATGAAACAGTTAAAAAATAATAATAATAGTAATAAAAAGAAAAAGAAAAAACACTAATATAAAAACCTGGGCCGACCGTGGGGACAATAAGATCCAGATTGGCAGTAAAAGAAGTAATCAATACTATGCATAATCCTAATCACTCAATAATTTTCTTTTCATTCTCATTAGATCTCAAGATGTAAGATTCATATGTCTATGCATTGACTTCTGAGTACAGAAAAATAATAATAAATAATGGTACTATGGCATGCATCTACCCTCCAACAAATTTAATAAATACTTCATATACATTGAATCACAGGGAGAAGTGAAAAAAAAAAATAGACTAGTTTGTTTGAGTATGATGTGAAGCTTTTCACCAAATTGTGTAAAAGCGAAGTAGAAACTTTCACCACAGTTTTAACTTGTGGAACAACTATACACATATTGGGCGTGTGTCATATATTTATCGAAATCATTTTGATTGGGCTACTGGCCAAAGATCTTGTCACTGTCTTTCTTGCCTTTCCTTTTCCATAGCCTTCACCACACATCAATTCAGATCCTTACCCTGTCAATTTTCTTGTTTTCCATTTCTCCACCCCACCACTCCTCAACTTGTAAAAGCCATCCAATTTCTATTCGAATTATCTTAGCTTATCTGAATATAAATATATTGAAAGAGATGGGTATTAATTATGCTTTAATAAAACCTGTAGAAATGATTCTCAGGTTCCTTTGTAGCCATCAAAACTGATCCAGTGTATTAATCAAATATGAAAGTGAAAAATAACTTGAGGGAGCATTAAAATAATAGCATTTGATGGAAGCCTATTCAAGAATGTGCTTCAATGCATGTTCCTCAAGAAATGGCTTCACCTACCATAATAATTTGGTTCCATCACATGGCAGCACAAGCCTCTTCATTTTTATGCTTATAGATCCATGTGTGACTGTGTGTAGGATGTTTCCAGGAAATTTTTTCACCATTGTTTTTATTCAAGAAAATTACAAAAACCAAACATTTCTGCACAGCTGATTATTATTTAATCCTACATTGGAAAAGGGGTTACATCCATATCTGTATTCATCATCCAATCTGTTTCCCAAATGCTTAACATATTCAAATAAAACATCAGAAAAGGCCAACCAAGCAAAACAACTAATGAAATGGCCAAACCTGTTCATGCGGAGAAAAGCACAAATCCCCTAGTCTCCTAGGATTTCAAAATTCAACCCCAAGGGCTCAACAATCTGTCAATGTACCAAAGTAATTCATGAAGAGACCACCTGAAAATGACAACAATACCAAAATTAAGCAGTGAAGATAGTTGGAGCTATTATCAAATCAGTGATAGCATCTTCAATGTGGGGCAAACATTTGATCATAGCCATATATATTCCAAGAGTTACTCAAAACCAAACCACTTCATACATTACAAGGTAACCTACCCAATCCAATAGCTCCTCCAAGATTGTTCTTGAATCAATGAGCATCATCATCCTCAATTTGCTCAGAAATCATCATCACTACATCCTCTTCAAAGCTCCATTGAACTTCCAAGTCGTAAATAATCATAGATTTGCCAAACCACAAAATAATAATAATAATAATAATAATAATAATAATAATAATAATAATAATAATAATAATAATAATAATAATAATAATAACTCATCAATTTACATCTAATTACAGGTGATCGAAGTTCAAGTGCAAAACATGCTTAAATGAAATAAACAAGTAATTCTTATTGTCAAATCATCAAACACCTTTCCGGCAAAGCTTGCCGTAACATTTCCTACCCAACCTAATACAATCCAACCAATGCAAAACCTGCGCATTAGGATCACCCTCCAGAACAACATCAGAAACAGTGATCTGAACCTTCCCTCTGTAACCAGTAACTCTACCCCGCACCCTCGCAACGACCCCCAACTGTACTTGCGAAGCCATCTTCCGCGACACTTCAGCCGCCAATCGAACGCCCGACGGATTGCGCTTCAGGAAGTAGGGAGAAGTGAGTTGATTCAGCCAGAGAACGCAAGGAACGCAACCTGTACCATCGTCGACGACAAATCTCAGAAATTTCCCAGGCTTCAGATCCCGCAGCACAACTACTCCGACTGACTCCGCACGGCAGGGCGTCCATCCTACGCGAGAGACCGCCGACTGTTCCGCCGCGTTGGGAGAAAGCGCCACCAAATCGCAAGCCAACAGCTTGACGTGAACGTTGCAGAGAGCATCCATGTTGATCATCCAAAAAAGTAATTTGGCGGGAAACATCTGTTTTCCCCACACAAACAGACATATAAATATCCTTATCAATTGGGCTGCACTTTATATGGGCCCAGGCCCAAAATAATACTATAAGGTATTGAATCCAGGACAGTTGATGAAACGTGTGACGTAGGGCCAGTGTTTATATAATATTTTGAATATAAAATATTTAGTATAATTAATATAGAAAATAAATATATTAATATTAATTAATATTTTTGAAGATTTTTTTTAATTTTTTTTTTATGAATAGTAAAAATATAATAAAAGAACACACTTCTTGAGACTATTGTCTAATCAATAAATTGGGCAACGAATCCCATGAAAAATTATAAAATTCAATACAAATGAAACTTAAAAGCATATGTTACTATGCTAATTATAATATTCAATATAGTACAGACAAGTGACAACAAATTATATATAGATAAATAATACATAATTTAAATTAATATAATATAAACATAATACATTGTGCTACTATTAATTTTAGCTTAATAAATATATTAATACAACACACATACAAATATAAACTAGGGTATACAAAACATATTTTTATTAAGAAGCCGATATGTATGCATGTGTGTATACAAACAACATTTTCCCACTTCCTATAAATCTTACCACACATTTAATCTTAAGTGAGCCTCCTAGACTCAAAACAAAGAAGCCACATTGCCTACTTACAGTGAACATCCACCGGCGATCCATTGGGGACGGATAAATCAACAACGCCGCCGCCAACGTCACGGTCCACGGCCAGCAGAGCCAAAACAAAAACACCCGCCGGCCCGATCGTTCGGTATCATTCCGCCACCCTTGCTGGTATCCACAGCTTCCAGCAGCCTCACGACCTCGTCCATCTCCGGCCGACTTTCCGGCCTTGCATCCCAGCACTTGCGCATTATTCCGGCAAGCGCGCCCGGGCAGCATCTCGGAATGTCCGGCCGCAAATTCTGCTAGTAGAGATAAAAAATTGTGATACACATATATGCGCGATATGAAACGGTACGATTATTTATTCGTAATTATATGCGGCGTCGTCGAAGATCGACCTGTTGAACGACGGCGGCAGAAACCTCGGCGAAGCTGAGATCGGGATACGGCATGTCGCAGCAGTAAATTTCCCACAGGCAGATCCCGAAACTGTACACGTCGCATTTCCGATTGTAAGGCTTGCCGTCGAGAACCTAAAGTTTTAAGTCCGTAATTAGTTTCGTCGAAAATGTATCGACGTGTAACGTGGTCGAGATATTGTGCCATACCTCCGGCGCCATGTAACCTAAAGTCCCGGTGTTCCCCGTCATGTCCCTCGGATTCTGAGCTTCGATTCGAGCGACGCCGAAATCGGCAATTTTGAGAGTTCGGTTAGCATCGAGCAGCATGTTCTCAGTCTTGACGTCGCGATGGACGATTTTCTTCGAATGAAGGTAGCTCAAGCTGCAGAATTATTACATCAGCTTAAAGCAATCCGAACAACAATAAAAACAATAGATTGATGTCTTTCTTACCCTCGAGCAAGATCCAAGGCGAGCTGAACAACAACTTTGAAGGGCAGCTTTTTCTGGCAATTCTTGATCAAGAACTTCTTGAGCGTCCCGCCCGGAATGTGTTCGACGACAACGCAACACGCTGCGGACGGGAGTGAATTGCAGCTGCTAGACAGAACACCTTCCGAAGGTATCTTAAGCGCCGATGTACCCATTGAAGCTCCGACGAACTTCGAAGAAAAGAGTCGAGTGCATCAAATCATTGTACAAAGACACAACTTTTATCATCCCATAATTTTGGATCCTAAATTCAACAACTACTGTCAATCAAACTTTACCTTGGCAACATTGGGATGGTCGAGCTTATGCCAGACGGCAACTTCTTGTTTAAAAGACGTCCGAAGAGCAGCGCTCTCCGCCGCTGTGGCGTCACCATCTTCTCCCCAGTCCAATACCTTCACTATGTACGGAAAGTCGCAGTTATCAGATACCATAGTTAAGCAAAAGCATATAAGCTATATATTCTGGTTACACAGATATTTTAGAAGTTTTGGCACATACATGTTCTATATTAACATCATATCATATACTAATTTTTTTATGTTTTTATTTTCAAAAACTCCAAAACTGGCTCTGTTTATACGGACTTTTTTGGAGCTTTGGGCAAACTTCTTCCAAAAACATCCAATCAATATCTTATTATGTCAAAATATCAATCAAATACAAGCATTTTACTATTTTTTAAATCCGCCAAAACGACAAACACAAGAACACCAAAATAAGCATCCAATTGCACCAGAATTACCCCAAAACATAGGGGTAAATCCAACTAAACAATTGTGATCAGTTCATAAGCATTGTGTAAAACACAAAAATCAGGAAATCCATAATAATATATGTGATTTCAATCCAATGGCAATGGTATTAGCAGAAAATAGACAGACAAGTGAGAATTTCTATGAATACTATGTAGGATCTGAGGATAACGATAAAAAGAATGAATGATCTGACCTGCAACTTCTTGGCCATCGTAAATGCCTTTATAGACAGTGCCATGAGTCCCGTGAGCTATGACATTTTTTATATCGAGCTTAGACAAGTCGATCTCCCATTCTTCTGCCATTTCATGGGATTCAGTGTCCTTTGACCAAGCTCGAGTCAAATGCTTATCCATCTGCACATCCCATGTCTTGAAATCGATCATATCAGCTCTCAAGAACACAGTGCTCTCCCCATTCTCACCCAAACTGCTCACATCCTTCACTCCCTTCCCCATGGCTGAATCTTCGAATTTCTCCAAGCCCTTTTCCCCATTCACTTTCTTGAAATCCATCCTTGTGGGCACAGATGAAATAGCAAACTCAAAGTAATAAAACCCAAATGATGAAATCGAAAGCACAAACCCTATCCAGCCATTTCCAAATATTAAAGAAGCCTTTCAAGAAAAGCAAGAAAGAGAGAGCAAATAAGCATAAACATAGAACAACAGCTCTGCAAAGATGAGAAAGTTAGGGCAGAGTTTAATAGTGAAGAGTGGAGCCTAGAAAATAAATAAGGTGCCAGAGATGCAGGAAGAAAAAGTTAAATCCTCGACAGGGAATAATGAAATGCCAATATATGTGCATGTGTGTGCAGAGAGAAAGAGAGAGAGAGAGAGGATAATTAAAGTTATTGGGGAAACGACATCTCATTCGAAAGATATGTAAAAAGGACAGCGGATTGAGCTTTATGAAGAACACCAAGTTGGACCCGTGTATATTGACAAGACAAGATCTAATCTAAACAATTATTGAAATATGCTATGTCAATGCAGAGAAGTAATTCTGTAAAACCCATCTTCAGAAAATTACCAGAGCTTCAAATAAACAAGAAAAGGGAATGGGTTATAAAGGCCAGTAACAAGATTTCAATTTTTATCCTTCCCTGCATAGCCCAACAAGATTTGACACAAAATAATGGGGCCAAGAACTCGAAAGAGCTTACTTGTGTCATACTTTATGCCTCCCTTCATGGATTATTGATTAAAGTTGAAGTCAGTTCATCTTCTGCAAACAAGAGATAGAAAATGCTGCAAAGCATTTATGGGCTCACCATGAGTGGGACCTCCAAAGAGGCAAAAAATTGTTAGATATCAATTTTTGTGTAGTTTGGCAGAATGGATTGAAGTGTCAAAGTCCTTGCATTGTAATAATACCAATGCAATAATAGAATACTATCCTTCTAGCATGATAGGGGTATCCTGTATGGCTGTATTCCCTAGACAGGTCTGAATCTCCACAATAGTTTATCACAGGGCAATATATTTTTCTGTCAATAAAATATTGTGTACCAAACCTCTAGTGAATGATTAATCCTATCAATTTAGAGACTTGAGTTGATACTGAAACTCAAGTTTGGTCCCACAAGGAATCTATCATAGCTACTTTCAAGACAATCAGATGAGCATGATATATGAAATTCAGCACATCTAATGAGGAACTGGATAAGAATAGGAAACATTTCCCAGCCAAATTGCAGCTTTATGATTTTAACATGTGGTAAGTACAGTCACAGGTTAGAAACGGAAGGGATATATTAAAAAAGGGGACATCCATCATTAAACAAGATGAATATTATGGGCTTTTAATCCCCTGGTCCATCCCACCTTGACCACAATCAAATTTAGGACATCCTCTTCAGCAAATTTCATTCCTGTTCAAAGGACAACAGTATACATCACCAGAAATGAAAGCATAAAAGCCATTAAACAATATGTGATAAGTGGTCATCTTTAAAGAGTATGAGAATGAGATTTATGAGTGATCATTAGCTTTTGAGACCCCAGCAACATATATCATCAATATCACAAACTAGGGAACAAAAACTTCATGTTACAAATTTTGATTGTGTATTACATTGTAACAAGGTGTGGAGGTATGGTCATTAAATGTATGGCTCACCTTTACAGTGAACAAAGCAGCACCATCAGAAACCTGTTGGCCGGCAGTAACTCGTAGCCCACTGATGTAACCAGCAGTTGTTGCCTTCACAACATGCTGCGGAAGAAAAATAGTAAGAAACATAGGAATAGAACATCAAGACCATATCTAATGTAAAGCCCTGCAGAAAAGGAAAACTCAAACCTCCATTTTCATAGCTTCTAAAACCAATATAGGCTGCCCTTCTGTTACTTTTGTTCCATCTTTCACCAAAACCTTGACCACCAAACCAGCCATAGGAGCCACCACTGTCCCAGTTGGATGTGACGAGAATGCCTCAGGAGTAGATTTTTTATGATAATCCTCAATATCAACAAGAGCAAGTCCCTTTCTCTGTTTAAAATGGTGATGGCTTGATCCATGCCAAATGTGAATATGCTCCATCTGATCCTGAAAGGAGCAAAGAAATTTGTTGTTTTTTGTGTATAAAAAAGGCCTCGCCATATAAATTTCAAAGAAGCCTAATTTACTAATATTAGGGATAAGAAGACCAGCAATGCAAGTAAGTCGACCACCACCATGAAATGTAGCTACGGCATTGTCCCACTAGTTTCATGAGCCACTTCATAGTCCACAAAACTAATTGGCCTAGAGCAAAAAAATAGTATCTTTTTTTTTTATTATTGTTTCATGGTTCGATTGGGTTTAAATCACCTTCTGATGAGTGGATATCGTGACAGTCATGCTTACACCGCCATGTTCAACTCTAAAATCATTGTCCCTCAAGTGAATTACACTTAACTCCACACTAGGAAAGCTCCCTCCTTCCATCTGTAAAATCAAGGATGTAAAGTTTTTAAAAAACTACAATGGTTTCACATTCTCAAAATGCAAGTGTCTATCACCGTATCTGTCCATTGCGCAATGGACGAGACCAAGAAATAACCTCGATCAAATATTTCCCTTTAGACAGATAAGTAACATGCAGCGGTACAAGTTTTGAGCCACCCTTGCTAGATTCATTTTCCCAATCAAGCTCCACTGATCGCTTGGCACGATGATTGACTCGAAAAGGAGGGTTAGCATACCAAACAGAAAGGCTACCTGCATACAATTTACCAGATTTGGATCAAGAAATATAAGACATATTTACAGTCAAATAAGGAAGGTCATCAAATCACCTGGAGCACTTTTTCCCATTTCTGCCTGTTCTTTTTCTAAAATACAAGCAGTTGCAATGGCAGCGCTATGTACAGCAGGCTGATACACTTGCTGTGTGGATAACTCATCATTCAGATCAATGAACAGATCGTCTTTATGCATCTCAATGAAATGGGTCTCAACATCTCCATTTTCAAAAGCTCCATGATTTGAAATTTTTAAAAGAAAATCAATATTGGTTGGCAAACCTGCAACCTGTGAAACTAATGGTCAAATTCTAGTCAATTTATACAACAGGCAATACCTTGGAGCATATAATTGAAAATAATGAAGAAGAGGATGAGCAGGATGAACCAATTCATAATAGATATATAAGGGACAGATACTGTAAAAGCACAAGGTCAGGAGAAAACATAAATGAATTGCCATAAAACAGTATACCTGAAACTTTGACAGGCAGTCCTTCATTTTGATTAATGCACCCATTCGATCTTGTCCCCAGACCACTAGTTTAGCTATCATGGGATCATAATGCATGCTAACTGTATCCCCCTGCTCAACTCCAGTCTCAACCCTTACTGATCATCCCCATTAAATTAAATGAGAAAACTTTCTGTTCTTTTTCAAAGAAAAAAATAGATTGAAATAGAGAAGAGCTAAAAACATGCCCAAAATAATCCAGCAAATTTCTAGATACATTTCATGGCGGCCATTGTGCAAAAATTGAATGGATTTATTTGAGGGGTTGGTTTCAACGTGCTACTTTGAAGTTTTGGTACCATGGAATTTAATTAAGCTGTCACTCTAATTTACCTTCTGGAGAAACTGGAACAGGACGATAATGATGCAGCATTCCAGTTGCTGGGAGGAATCCTTTTGGTACATTCTCAGCATATATGCGGGCTTCAAATGCATGGCCTGTTATTTGAAAAATTCAATCAAAACTCTAAAATATTAGCTCCAGTTAAACAATATTGACAAGGATACTCAAAGGATTTCTAAATCTAGAAATTTACCTGATAAGGGCACCTGTGATTGAGAAATTGGAAGAGGTTCTCCATTGGCCACACGAATTTGCCACTCCACAAGATCTTGACCAACAATCATCTCTGTAACAGGATGTTCAACCTGCAGGAAGGTTAGTTTTACTTGCAAATATATAAGAATCAGAAAAATAAGACCTAGAAAATTCAAACCACCTGAAGACGCGTGTTCATCTCCATAAAATAAAACTCTCCAGAAAGGGTATCAACTATAAACTCAACAGTACCAGCACTGTGGTAATTGACTGCCTATAAAATTCAAAGCAAAGTCACAATGAGAGAAAAATATAAAAAGAAGAAGGTTATATTGTAAACCAATGTGGACAAAATAAAGATATGGCTGTAATGAATGAATTGTAAGGCTGTTATGGCGCAAATTATAGCAGAAGAACATAGAGGAGGAAGTAACAAGAATGTGAGTCTCATAACCATCAGAGCCAAGATTGGTAAGAGTAAAGGCAAACAAGCATGATTTGTTTCTTCAGAGTTTAGGAATAACAGGTCCTATCAATTGGTGCCAAACGGATTTGAAACTGCAGTATTAAAAAGAACATCCAGATCATTGATCCTTTAACACTTCATAAAAGAATGCAATCTCCATTACAAGTACCAATAAACAAGAAATCCCTCATCAAACAATATTTACTAAGGCAATAAGGAATGTAGCATCCATCACCTTTGCAGCAGATACAGCTGCCTGGCCCAGATGCAACCGAAAGTCACTACCTATGTTTGGCTGCAGGTGCAGTGCAGAACATTGATCAAAATTATATATAGCAATAAAAAGGGAAAACCATAAAGCAGACTTTAGAGTGTAAAGTGTGAAGCAGATGAAGGAAATTACAGCAGGTGCTTCTTCAATAATCTTCTGGTGTCTCCTCTGGACACTACAATCTCTCTCATTAAGATGTATAACATTACCATATTTGTCCCCGAAAATCTACAAAAACAACTATAGGTAAGTGTTCTCATATTTCATTACAATAATGATTTTAGTTGATAATTATTTTCATCTCTTCATCAGCCAATTCTTCACGATTGCAAGAATAACAGAATTGAGGGAAACAAACAATAAAAGGCAGTGTATGATGAATAACCAGTTTTGGGGGCACAACTATAGAGAAGAGTATCCAAGTTGATATTGAATAGTTGAATTCAAATGTGTGGGTACCTGAACTTCTATGTGCCTTGGTTTTGTGATATATTTCTCCAGCAAGATGGTGTTTATTCCAAAGGATGCAGCAGCCTCTCGTTGTGCTCCAACAAATGAATCGACAAATTCAGCTGGATCATAAACAATCCTCATCCCCTGAACAGGCCAGAATGCAATTATAAATTATGTTTAAGAAGCATCAATGAAATAGATGTGTGCTGACTAGCAATTCTTTCACAAATTTTTCAGGTAAAATAGAAGACCTGAAGCAAATAATTACCATTGGATCCCATTTATCTCATGATTTAACAAATTAAAATAACAGTTTTACAAGAAAAAATGTCAGCATACTATGATATGGCCAGTTCAGAATGTATTGCTCATCAAGACAAGAAGCCAGATCTTCATTAAACTAGCTAAAAGTTATCATATTTCCAAGAAAGAGCATGTCCAATAACAGCGTATAGCACCATCCCTTTTTCTTTTAAATCGAAAACTCATGTTAAACTACAAACAATCTCATTTGTTAAATAAACAAACATAGGAACACAGAAAGAAGTTGCACCTTCCCTCCTCCTCCATGAGTTGGCTTGATCAACACAGGATATCCAATTTTATCTGCCTCAGATCTCATGAGATCAATATCTTGCTCTGCACCATGATAACCAGGCACAAGGGGAACTCCTGCTGCACCCATAATTGTCTTTGAAGCACTGAAACATAAACTCTAACCAGAATTAGAACCTGACATACAGTTTTGAAGGAACAAGCAAAACAACAGTGAATAAAAGCAGACCAAGAAGTACTAGAACCTTGATGAATGGCCCAAAGCTTTTACCTTTTATCACCCATGTCTCGAATTGCAGAGGCTGGGGGTCCAATAAATGTAAAACCCTCATCCTCACAGAGTTGAGCAAAGTGAGCGCTTTCTGATAAGAAACCATAACCTGGGTGGATAGCCTAACTATCACAAATAAGATTTTCCACCCCAACGGAGCATCCCACAAGCAATAAACAACAAAACATTCATATCACGACCAATCAGCGCATCGAGGGTGAAATTTCCATGTCAAGCAAAATAACTCATCTGCGCCAATATAATAACTTCACAGATTTTATTTATAGCCTTATTAGAAGTCCTTCAATACAACCATAGAAATGTCCTGTTTAATTTGTCATCTCCTGAAATTGAACCAAGCTTGTCAGTTTCACCTTGTTATAAGTAGCTTTCATGTAGAGCTGTTAAACGAGCCTGGCAAACTCGAGTAACTCCACTCATTTAGGATTCGACCTAAAATAATAGCTCAAGTTTGGATCATTAAGCTCGAATTCAAGCTTCAGCTCAGCTTGTAAGGTTCGAGCTCAAGCTCAAGTTCGAATTCGGCTTGAATAGCACACATATTATGTATATTTTAATATACAAGTTTATATAATATCTAGTTTTATTCACAAATTGTCGTAATAAAATTATTCAAATTTCATAAACAAATAGAAACTTTTATATAAAAAAAATATACATTCATATGTATAATGATACAAATAGAGAATAAATTTTCAAGCTGGATTTCTAATCGGTTATCTCTATAAACAAGTATGAGTTGAGCTGTTGACGAGCCATGACTACTTCCATGTCCTGAACTTTAAATTCCAAAAATTGTCTTGAATTGATTCATGAAATAAATTAGAAAGCTACTTAGGTGAAACTGGCAGGCTTGGTTCATATCTCGCGATCGTTTGATCATCATAAAAAACATTTGAAGCAAGCTTTCCAGTATCTCCCAAATTATCAAACGCAAAGAGAAATAAATCATAAACAACGCAACAATGGAACACTATCAGCGTGTGCAACCTGAGCGCCAGTTCTGGAAGCAGCTTCAATAATGGAGGAAGCGTTGAGGTAGCTAAGGCGAGCCGGAGGAGGACCAACTCGAACAGCTTCATCAGACGATTTAACATGTAGGCTGCTCTCATCGGCGTCACTGTAAACGGCAACCGTCCGAATCCCCAACCTCTTGGCGGTCCGCATAATCCTGCAAGCAATTTCACCTCTATTGGCTATCAAAATCTTGTCAATTCTTCCGCTGGATCGACCTACCGAATCTGTCGACGACGCAGCAGACGAGGATCCATAGAAACGGAGAGGAAAGTAATGGCTTCTTCTGCGACGGATTAGGGAAGTGAGGGAAGACATTGTTGCTGAGCTGCAGAGTGCAGTGAGGAAGAGATGGCTTATTCCTGTGTCTCATCTTATACGGAGGAGAGGAAAATAATTATTTATTAATTAGATAATAAATTAATTATGAAAAGCGTGCTACCTCTGGATAACGATTCTTACACAACGCTGGCGTGGCAAACGGGTAATAACAATCACTTTCTCACAATTTTATTTTTCAAAATTTTTAAAAATAATACACCCTCTGTCCTCCAAACTCCAAACGTATGCTCATTTGACTGGATATGATTTTAATAAAAAATAAATAATAATGATTACTTAAAAAAAACTACAAAAATATAATAATTTTTTACTTTTGAAATAATATTATTTTTCAATGACAATCTAAATTAAAAAATGAGCATATTTAAATGATAGATGAAGTAATAAACAATAAATAATTCTTTTACAAAAATCAGAAAAAAAAACTTTAAATACTTATTGCCAAAAATCAAATATACAACTAAAAACAATATTTTTATATTTTTACATAATTATTATTCCACGATCAAAAATTTAATTCATTTAAAAACACAGAGCGAAGAGAACCATTGTCTCATTAGCTTTTCTCTTAAAAACAATTAAATAATAATTATATTTATTTTTAATAAAAATATATAAAATAATTTTTATATTCTTATTAAATTAATTAATTATATATAATTATAAATTTATAATTTAAAATTTTTAAAACCGTAAAAAATATTTGCCAATTAATATTAGCTATTTTGTTTGCCCATAGTAATATATTCTTATCTATTATTTTAATATATTTATGTATTTGGTAATTTATTATTTCATTTTTAAAATTTTTAGTAATTGAAATTATCAAGTTTTTTTTTATTTTTTATTTGTAAAATATACTAATTTATTAAATTAAAGAAGAAATATAAATATATATACTAAAAAAACTTATACTCCCTCCATACATTTGCTTTTTGCAGGTAGATTTTTGAATATTAGTATTATATTAAATTATAGTAAAAAAGACAAAAATACCCGGTATGGTGTAATATAAAAGTAATGACATTTGTGAAAGGGTATTTATTATATTAAGTATAATTACTAAATTGGGAAATGATAACCTTATTTTGGAGGGAGGGAGTATATAATTTTACATTATTTTCGATTTTAAAAAAAAAATATTATTTTTAATTAAAATATGTAAATAGAAAAATTAATATATTAATAATATTTTTATAATTTTCAATAATTAATAATAAATTTTATGGAAAATCCTAAACTCTAGATAATATATAAATATCTGATATCAAAATTAACACTATGGAGTATTTGTTTTTAATAAAATTATATACCATTTTTATAAAATGTTACGTCAAAATACCATTTAAATAAAAAATTAAATTAAATTTTATCTTAAGTTAATTTCAAATCATAACCATACAAATTATTTATTTTATCAAATAATTAATTGAACTAGTTAGTTAAACAACTAAACCCAACAGGTAATTCTCAAATACACTCAAAGACTCAAATTGACGCAGCACAGCATCTTAATATTAATAATAATAGGCAAAAAAATCAATTTTATTTTTAATCTAATTAAAATATATCAATTTTTCTCATAATATATATATATATCTCATTAATTTTACCCCTAAAAAAGAAAATTGCTTATTTAAACGTAATTAAGTTGACGTGACAGCCGACCTTGAACATGACGGTCATGTATAATTATATACGACTATGTTATTATACGGTCATATATAATTTAGTGTACAATTATACACCGTCGTATTGTCACACAGTCATATACCTCTCTATTTTAGTCTAATTTTTTTATTATTATATTTTTTAAATTTAAAATAATTGATATAGTTAAAATGAGAATAGTAATAGTAATATGATTAAAATGTATTAATTTTAGTTTAAATATTAAAATTTATTGGGTATGGTTTTTTTAATGATTTTGCCTAAAATTCTACTCTTCATCAAAATTTTCACTCTTACAAACATCAAATTACACAACTATTTTTTTATTTTTTTTATATTATATTAAAAATTAATTCAAATAAAAAATAGAGTTGTGGGTTAGATTAAAAATACTGAAGCAACTATTTTTTAAAATTAAATCTGCATAAATAAAATTTGTGGATTGAAAATGACCTAAATCTATCAATTTTATACTTCTTTTTTCCAATTACAAAGAAATGTGTGTAAAATTGAAGGGCGGAGAAATAGAAAGGAAACGAGTATAAAATTGAAAGATGAATGAAATATATATTTTTTAAAATTAATATTATTAATTATGAAATATATATGTTGTGTGAATTATATATTATATTATACCGATATAATTTCTTTATTGTAATGAAATCAGTGAATGTGTTATATTGTATAGCCAACGTATTAAATATGTATTAAATATATGCTATATATTGCACTATGTTGTATAAAATATATTAATCACGTACCGGTTTATTTATATTAAATTGTATTAAAATATTTTTTTTTAGTAAATAATTATTTATTAATTTCTATAAAAATATTAAAGAGTAAATAAAAAATTTATGTTGCATCCTATTCCCGTTTTTACTAGCCGTTGCTGAAAAAGTCAAGACGTTGTTATAATAACTATCCAAATTAAAATAAACTTAGTAATTAAATTAATTTAAAATACTATTTGTAATTCTAATATAATATAATCAGAGTTTTACGAAAAAAGAAAAAAAAAAAATATATATATATATATATACATTCAAATCAAAATCAAAATCGAAATAATATATTTGAAAACAAAAATCTTAACAATATTTGTTGGTTTAATTAGTTTCGAATAAAATAATATCATTATATCTTGGTAATCCTTTTGTTTTGGATCCGAATGGATCCCACGATGATGCGCTGGCAGTCTCACAGCATGCCACGTAATTCGGAGAACCAAAAACTACCTTCGGAGATCGGCGAAACGACGTCGTAACATTGACAAACACCGTTTATATATATACTTGCAGAGATCGAAAGCCAGCGGAAAAAGGAAGAAGAATTCGATATGGAAGCCTGAGCGTAGCGCGGAACTATTGAAGTATAGCGTTTGATTCCCAATAATCTGCCTCCGTCGTCGTCTTTTCCTCTATTTTTGAAGTGCTGCATTATTTCAAGTAAGGTAGTTCGTCAATCATTCATGCATATTAGGAGAATTTGAATCACTGGCGCAGGATATATATTATATACATAGCATAGTTTGGTACTGCATACAGAGTAAAACTCTCGGATACACAGGCTTGGTGGATCCATATTTTATTGGCGACACAGCGATAGAGTGGAAGATTTGATTGAGATTTTGTTTTTGAACACTTTTAATACAATAATACGTACGTGATCTGTTTTCTCTGTTTCTGTGCTTTTTTGTTTTTTTATCCTCTTCGAGTAAGTGTTCGTTTCTTCGACGCATTGGTTTGTTGTAAATCTGTTTGATGTGACGATATTGTGTTCCTTTGATTCCGCTGTGCAGTAGAATTGCGGATTGCATGATCATCGTTAAAATTGCTTTTATTAATTAGTGTTTTGCTTTGGTCGATCGTAGAATCGTTGTAGGGTAGTTTTGCTCGTGGTGCTCTTATTACTTCAATTAGGTTTTGCTGAATTTCACTTAATATCTTTGGTTTAATTTATAGCGTAATTCGCCAGATAATTCTTGGTTAATTTAATTCCTGAGGACGTCGCAACCATTGCTGAATTATAACATTGAAACTAAGCAAACAGCCATCTGCAAAGCCGAAGGGATGACAAGCTTGTTACACGGAGAATCTAGGAGAATGTACTCGTGGTGGTGGGATAGTCATGTATATCCCAAAAACTCAAAGTGGCTCGAGGAGAATCTAACAGGTAAATAAGCATTTATTATATCTTATTATTCATTATTGGGATCGGTATTTGTTACTTTTCCTTTGTTCTTGTAAGTGTTTGTGTTCTGGACTCTGGAATGAGAAGAAACTTTCTTGATTGAGGATCTTCTAACTCAAATTTTTTAGTTAACTTTGTCTGCTTTTGATACTTTTCCTTTGTTCTTGTAAGTGTTTGTGTTCTGGACTCTGGAATGAGAAGAAACTTTTCTTGATTGAGGATCTTCTAACTCAAATTTTTTTATCAACTTTGTCTGCTTTTAATCAGATTGTCTAATGTCATATAGCAAATTGTGAATGCCTCGTCTCATTAGCAGAATGCATATTTTAGATTTGGAAGTGCTAACAACTATGATTTTACCGATACAGATATTGATGTCAAAATCAAAACAATGATAAAGCTCATTGAGGAAGATGGGGATTCCTTTGCAATGAAGGCCGAGATGTATTACAATAGACGGCCAGAGCTTATGACATTGGTCGAGGATTTTTACCGAGCATATCGTGCATTAGCAGAAAGGTACGACCACGCAGATAGGGTGATTCGGCACGCACAAAATACTATGTCAGAAGCTCTTCCAAATCATGCTCCTTTGATGTTTACTGATAATTCACCTCCAAGTGCTGGAACTGATCACAGACCTCCTGAGATGTTTAAACCGGTATGTGCATGGTCTCGTGTTCCCTATTTTGGTCTGATTTTCAAGAATGAAATAACAGCTAAAATCTAACATGTAGGAAGCTGAGGAGATTCTTACGCTGAAGGCAGCTATTACAAAACTTGAAGCCGAGAAAGAAGCTGGTGTTGCACGGCACCAAGAGTGTTTGAAGAAGCTGTCCGATCTCCAGAGAGAGATGTCGAAAGCAAGGGATGATTTCAGAAGGCTATTGGACCACGCAAGCATAGTTGATGATGAAAGGTTTAATACTGAAGTAGTTGAAGCACAGCCAAAAATTGAACCAAATGGATCAGTGGTTGAAAAGAATGATGCTGTGAAAAGATACATATCAAACCTTGAGATCAGATTACAACAAGCTGAAGAAGATAACAGGGGTTTGAAAGAGAGAGCTGAAGTTGCCGAGACTGAAATCGAAATCCTCAAGCAAAGCATTCTGAGCTTGACTGAGGAAAAGGAAGCAGCAGCCACACAATACCAGTCGTGCCTCGAGACGCTATCGAGCAATCTCCCATGTGCTCCAAAAGAAGCCAAGAACCTCAATACGGAGATAGATGATAATGAAGCATCCAAGTTTACAAGTGCTGAAGAAAGATGTTGTCTATTAGAAAAAATGAACCAGTCTCTCCACTCGGAGATGGAAGCTTTGATGCTAAAGATGAAAACTCAGACTCAAGAGCTTACCAAGAAGCAGAAAGAACTCGGAAAAGTTTACCGACAATTGGAAGGACGGCGCAGAATTTTGGAGAAAGAAAAGAACTCAACTCTTCAAAGAGTCGATGAGCTAAGCTCATGTTTAGAGTCGGAGAGAGATGAACATGCCCGGTATGTGCAGATGACCGAAGTTAGTAACACTAGAAAAGATCTCGAAATGAGACTTCTGCAAGAAGAATGTGAAATTAGAAAGAGAGAACTTGATAGTGCACTGGATAATGCAATAGTTAGTGAAATTCAGATATCTGTCTTACAAATAACAGCCCAAGGGATGGAAGAAGATAATTATGCCTTGAGTTTGGAGTATCTGAAGCTCATTGAGAAATCCCGATTGTCTGCAAAAAAGATCTCTAAGTTGGAGGCAAGAATTATCGAGCAACAAGAAGGAATCAAGTATCTGCGCGAAGAGGTTATTGAGAGAGAGATCAATGAAGAGATTATGAAAGGTAATTTGCTAAAGAAGATAACAGAGAAAGATGAGATGGAGGCCAAGGCAGAATCAGTTTATCGGCAGCTAAACTATTCCATGATCAATCAGTTTATTTACGAGCAGAAGGTTCTTGAGCTACACGAAGCATGTCTCCGCTGTATGAACCAAAACAAGTGTCTTAGAACTCAATTGGATGCATGTGGCCCTGAGATCTCGTTGTTGAAGGAATGTATTGCATCCTTGGAGAACCACATTGGTGTACATATCAAGCTTCAAGATCCTGAAAACAACGAATCACAGGTATGAAATGAAACATTGCCTATGCATAATTTGCAATGTCTTTATAACTAATTGAGTCTTTTCTTCGTTTTCAGGGTGCTGGAGTAACAAGTAATTCATCATACAAAGACATTGCTAATGATGGCAAGGAAACCTCCGTGCCGAGCACCTTTTCTGACCTGTGTAAATTACGGGTTAGGCTTCAAGCTACTGCGAAAGCAGCTGCTGATATCAACGAGCAACTGGCTAAAGAGAATGTCGGTCTCCGCTTGAAGGTGGATGATTCGACAAGGCAGCTAGAAGCCATGCAGTCTGAGAGAGTACGACACCAGACAAATATGAAGCTTATGTCTGATCATATCTCGGAAACAGATGGTGCAGTTTTAACAAAAGATATTTTGCTGGATCGGGTGTCTAGTACTTCATCGCATTCATTCAAGAAGAGGGAGAATTTGGAAATGAACAAACGAGCTTCCGAGTTATGGGAAACTTGCGCCTTGGATGGCAATATTGGCCTTACATTTACAAAGTCAAAGAAATTAGATTCTCCATCTTCTCCGGACAATACTGATATTTGTCTCCTCAGAGTGACGAAGACACCTAAACGCAGGAATTGCTCGACTTTGGATTCGAAGGAAGAGCAGAGTGTAGACAAGTCACAAATCTCTGAAACATCTCTTCAAGAAGGGAACAAGAGGAAGTACTTACAAAGGATCAATTCAGATGTTCAGAAGCTGGAAAATCTTCGAATCATTGTCCAAGACCTGAAGAGGAAACTCGCCTTATCTTCAACGACCACAGCCAAGAAAGGAATCATCGAATGCGAGTCGCTCGAGAGGCAACTTCAAGAAGCTGACACATCTGTTGCAACACTGATCGATCGCAACGACAGACAGATGAGAAGCATCAATGGCCTATCCTCCAGCACGAATTCCTCGTTCGACTTTGAAAATGAGATCGGCAGAAGCAGGAGAATATCACAAGAAGCACAAAACATGGCTGAAAACATCGGAAGGCTCGAAGAGGAAGTGCAGCAGTTAAAATTAGCTATACAGAAACTGGACAACGATAACGATGGACAAACCAAAACACAGGAGACAAGAAGAAGTGTTCTTCTAAAAGAATACATCTATGGAGTGAGTCGAAGAACTTACAAAAGGCCTAAGAAAATACGGTTTTGCGCATGCATTAAGCCTTCTACACATGAGGTATGACTTCATTTCGATATCTATTTATAATTTTTTGAATTTTTTTTTTTTTTTGCTCTTCATTTTCAATACAAGAAAAATAGATACACGACTATTCGATACATCTTAAACACAAACAAATATATATATAGCATGGGAGGAAAGAGTGCCTTAGGCACTGCTAAAATCTGACCCTCTCGTGATTGCAGACACTGTTTCCTAATTGCTATTTGCCATTGGTAGCTTAGCTCACACATTATTGCTATATTTAACACAAGGATCTGCTGTTTTGCAGCTATGAAGCATGTAGTTGCAGGCCCCGACAGCCTCGCCAACTGTCAAGAACAACCATTCCTGCCCTAATTCTTCCAAGAATTTCGATTTGTTCATCTTCTTCATCACCTCCGCTCCCGGATTCGCCAGTGCTAGCTGTTGTCGATACACACCACAGGTGAATTCGATTAGATTGCTCGTTACTTAATGTTATTAAGTATCCATGATTCTGCGATTGTATTTAGTTTTGCTTTTAGATTTTTATATACTAAGCATGAATTAATTACCTTGAGCCCTCGTCGATCAATGATCTTCTTAACCTCATCGAGCATGCTAATACCACTTGTGTCGATGTTTCCAATGGCTGAATAAGCCAAAACATAATTGTCAACATGACTGAAACTTGCCTGCATTTATATGTACTTTTGAATTTCGATTATAAGTTTGTTTGTGTTACTCACCGCTCATGTCAAGTATAATGTACTGCAAGTCTGTTTCTCCCGATCTTTTCACTCTGTCTTCTTCTTCGTCAATCCATCTCGAAATCCTGTAATCACAAAAGAAGCTCGTAACCATGATCATTGACAAAGCCGGGGCTTTTAGTATGATCTTGAATAGTTTAATTACCTCTCCCTTAAGTAGTTTGCATTTGCAAAGTAGATTGGAGCGTCGATTTCGAGAATCAGAATCCCGGGAACATTCTGCGCGTTTTCGTAATGATCAACGCTTCGGTAAACCTTAGAATCCGGAATGTTTCCTAGAACTAATGTCCTCGGTCTTGCTACAAACAATAGCACCCTTAGGACAGACAGCCCAATCTGCAAAACCATAAATTAGTTAGTTTATAAGTTGTGAAACCTCTGTTTCATTACAATATATATTATTCGATATAGTTAATACTTACGGCCAAGACAAGGCCAATTTCGATGTTGGCGAAGACAACGCCAAGATAGGCACTGAGGCAGACAAGGAAGTCGAACTTGTCGACATGCCAGAGATGGATGGCTGCTTCGTAGTCGATGAGGCCGAGCATGGCAGCGATAATGATTGACGAAAGAACGACAAGGGGCGTATAATGGAACAGGGGAGTCAAGAACAGCAGCGTTACCATCACCGCCAGCGCCATCACGATGTTCGACACGGCTGTTTTGCACCCGGCGTTGAAGTTTACGGCCGATCGCGAAAATGGACCTAATTACCAAACCAAATATCATCGATTGATCAATCTTAAAAGTGTTTGTTGTGGTTGGTAAGTTTGGTAGTTTAGTTAGTTAAGATTTAAGAATATATATATACCTGTGGTGAGGTAACAAGAAGTGCAAGAACCAGCAATGTTCATCATCCCAAAAGCAATCATTTCTTTGTTGCCATCAATGTTGTAGTTCTTCAGCATTGCAAAGCTTCTCCCCACTGCTATTCCTTCCTGTTTCAGTTAATGGAATTTACTCGAATGTCAGAATCTATATATATATATATATATATCTAGAGAGAGAGAGAGAGAGAGAGTAGTTACAGCTAAGGAAATGATGCCCGTGACAATGCCAGTTTTGACAACTAGTGTCAGGTAATTGGAATCGAAATTCAGGTCCATTATTGAGGGTGGATTTAACCCTTTCTTCAAATGACCAATCTGCCAAGTTACCAAAAAAAAAAAAACAAAATACACATTTACTACAATTTCATCTGCAAATAATTAACCAGTCCAACCCTATCATCACCACACATAGGTCATAGGTACGTACCACTTGGATGCCATGTTTCTCAGCATGCGTAAAGTACACCAACACAGTTGCCAATATCACCGATGCTAATGGTGCTATTGCTGATACCCAGAACATGTTTGGCCTCTTCTTACTCTGCATTCAACCAAACAATTAATTAATTACCATTTAATCAGTAACACTATTAAAGAAATAAATAAATTACTTACAAAGTATCTGGAAATCAGTAGGTAGAAAAGGAATACAACTCCCAGCACTGCACTTTCCCATCTCCACTGCAATTTACATTCATTAATCTAACGTCAGAAATACACATCACTTGTGTCTATTTATTCATTACCTTTACATAGATAATTTGATAATTTTGTTTCCATAAGTTTGTCCAATTTTTCAAAAAATTTCAAACCTTTTATCTAAACTGAGGCAATGGGTTTCCAAATTAGGGCAAAATTCATGGATGAGATGATGTTATATCATCATCATCGGTGCCAGCAGCAGTAGGCAGAATTCATTTTTGATGTTACTATCTATGTATATATACACATAATTATTAGTTTCTAATCTATCCAATCCTGTCCTGTTCGGTCCAGTTTATTTCTAATTTATCGTGTGATTCTTAGAAGCGCCACGTGGAGGAATCAACGGTGTCGATTCGTCCACGTTTCATTAGGTATGGGGTGGCGGGTACGTGTACTGCTCACATAATTCGCCTGGTTCTCAGTTCCCTTGCAGGGAAGGCCAAACTGTGACGGCAAATCTCAACCGTTCATTCGTGGACCCCACCATTTATGAACGGTCTCGATCGCAGCAGACGGTATGGCAGCCGAAAACGATGATGATAAGGGGCAAAATAGTCTATTACTATTATTGAATAATTTGATCATGCTTTTTGTGGTTAGTTAATTATTCTTTTCACACGATAATCGTAATTAATTAGTGGCTAATCACAATTAAGAAAAGTGTACCTGGTGCGTCTGCGAGAAGACGGATCGCATGACCGAGACAACGTCCGTAGCGTGGGTGAAGTGCTCGAGGCCGAGCACGCCTTTGAGCTGCTGGAGGATCACCACCGTCGCTGCTCCGCCCATGAATCCGACGATCGTAGCGTGCGATAGGAAATCGACTATGAAACCTAGCCTGCTCCGTCATTGACGGTTATTAATGAGACGACGGTTAATAATTGAGGCGTGTTTTTCTGGTTGTGTGAACTGTGTAGTGATCGATCGATTGATTGATTTGGATTTGAGTATTAGTTTGTTACCGGAAAATGCCGAGGGCGGCTTCGAAGAGGCCGGTGAATAGCGTCGAAGTGAAGGCGAGGTGAAGGTAGAGCTGAGGATTCTCTAGCGGATTCACCTCCTTTCCGAGCATCGACGCCATGAGGAGCGATCCGACGGCGACGGTCCCCACCGCCAGATCTCGCGAACTCCCCATCACGGCGTACACCAGCGCCGGTACGAAGCTGGAATCTGCGATGAACAGTTCAGTTGTGTTTGGTGAGTTAAATTTTGAATTAGTTTCGAAATAAGAAAGCGGTTATTAATTCGGTTGTAGATATGTGTATAGAAGTGTGTGTATAATGTTACTGGCTTACATAGGCCGAGGATTGGGGGCAGATTCGCGAGTTTGGCGTAGCTGATGCCCTGAGGAATGGCGAGACTGGCGATGGTGATGCCGGAGATGAGGTCGGACTTGAAGAAGCTCAGAGTGTAGCGCGGGGACCATTCCAGGATGGGGAAAAAGTACTGAAGTCCGAGGAGGAGCTTCCTCCGCGGCGGCTGGTCCTTGAACTGCCGGAGCGGGTCGTCGGGGAAGAACGTCTCCTTCAGCGTGTTCTTCAGCGACTGCACGAACGGCTTCGGCGGCGGAACGGCGACGCGGCGGCTAGCACCGCTCTCGAATTCCGCGGAGTATTCGTCGGACGACATTTGATCGGCGTTTCCCATTTTCTCTGCAACAATGCCGGAATTGTTCGCCGGAGTGAATTTTGGGAACGTTAGGGATTTGCAGGTTGGGGAAGAAGGCATGGAAAGGGGGTTTATATAGTGGAGGGAGTGGCCAGTTTGAGTGTGACGTGGGGCCCTAAAGCTGAAGATTTTCGGGACTCCGGGGACGGATTCAATCTGGAGCGTTCATATATTGCCGCCCACTTATTGGACTGTTCTGATTTATCTGGCGCTGTACAGCAGGGACCTCCTAACTTTCAGCGCTGAAGAACACTTGTGGTTCAGTCAAAAACCAGAATGCAAATTATGAATGATTAATTGCATCTCATTTAGGAAATTTCTCCTCACAAACGTGTCTTTACCGCTCCACTAATCCAATGGCTTTAACGTGTACAAAATACTTAGATACAAACGTATTTAAATTCAAATTACATTTGTTATTTTTATATTAAATATAAATATTTTATGATAAATTACGTAGTATAAAAATAAAATTATTAAACCCTTTATTGAAATATATATATGCACAGAGATATGATTATCTCTAATTTAAATTATAGACTGCATTATTATTATTATTATTATTATTATTTTTTATTTTTTTTTCAGTATATATATAGTCTATGGTCTATTTTTAAAAAAATATATTATTTTTTTCTATTATACAAACATATACTCCCTCCGTCCCATCCCAAACAATGTCCAATATTTACTTTTGGCACTAGTTTTTAGGTGGATAGTATTAAGTAGGATAATTTAAAAAATTAGGTGATGTGATGGAGAGAGAAATATATATTTTATTTTTTTATTTGGATAATGTGAGGGCATAAAGTGTGTGGTAGATATTAAGTATAATTAATTATTTCCTATTTTGGAAATGTTGTATGGTGTTTGGTACAAACCAAAAAAGAAATATTGCACGGTGTTTGAGACGGAGGAAGTACTATTTTTTATATAATATTATGTTCAGCATTGTTTAAATAGGTAACCTTTAAAAAGACACATCTATAATTATTTCATAAGTATGTAATTAAATATGCTATTATTGAATTGGATAGTTTTGTAGATTAATTGTATTTGATCCAATTCTTCGTAAATAATAATTAAGTGTACTCAATCAGGGATTAACTTAGATGACAATGTTACAATTATTTCGAATTTATGAATGAGTATTTATTGTAAAATGTGATAAACTTGTTTGCTGATATATTTATTTTTCATAACAAAAATGATTTTAAAATATTTGGCATTTATAAAATTCAATACTTTATAATTCATTTCAAATATTTTATAATACAATAAATTACTTGTTAAATATAACCCTAACATGAATAATCATATACAATACATATTTAATAAAATTAAATAAAATCATATATGTATATAAAGAAATACATTGCTCAATTTAGGGCCTTTTTTAGTATTTTTTATTTTTATTTTTTTGGGTATAATGATCTTCGATACAATAATTTGTATAAAAGATTAATATACTTCTATAAAAATTGTATGTGAGATAACTTAAAAAGAAAAACATATATAGAATTTGTTCACTTAAAATTATTATTATTATTATTTAATTATTATAAATTTAATATATATATATATATAGTCTTTTAAAATACATCGGATCTAAAATACTACTCTCTCTCTCTATCCCAAATAGCTACATTGTAGACAAGGTATTTTAGCATGAGTGTAATTAGTAGATAATTAAGAATGTATTAGTGAAAATAATTATTTTATAATATAAATAATTATAAATTAAAATTAAGATAACTAATTAGTTTAATTAAAATAAAAAAAAATTAAAATTTAAAATGAGATTAAAGTGTGTAATTATTTTCCAAAAAATGAAAGTTACATGATATGTAAGACGGACAAAAATGGCAATATGAAGATGGTATATGGGACGGAGTAAGTATTAAAAAAGACCAAACTAAATATACTCATGGGGCTAGACCACCTATATCGGTGGTTCTCTTCTTAAATGGCTTGTCCATGTCATTATTGTGAATTTAAAAAAATGATATAAATATTTTTAGAGTTTTTTTGGCATAGAAACTTAAGAAAGGTCTCTCTTTTTTATTTTATATATATTTACAACAATTTTATTTAGTTTATTTATTTTTTTTATATTTTACAAAATGATATATATTAAAGTTTAATTTTAAAAACAAATAATTCTGATATAAATATAATTATATATTTATTGAAATAAAGAAAAGAAAAAGGTATAATGTTGATGAAAGAGAGTGTGACTTATAACTAAATGTATATATGTATATATTATATGTATCTTTAATTCAATTATAATAGTATGTATTATATGAACTATAGTATTTATTTTGAATTTATATGCTGCAATTATATTATATTATTTCATCCGTATGATAAATTTAAAATATTTCATTCCGGCATGAAAATTAACAAAAATGATTATTTTATTGAAAAGTAAAAAAAAAAATAGTTGGGAGTAAATTAAAGAAAATGAGGAGAGATAGGGTAATAAAAATACTGATATTTAGTGTAAATAAGTGTGGAATAAAAGATAATAATTAAATATTTTATTTATTGACTTTGCCAAAATTAGTAATAAAATAAATTGAAAGGATAAATTAATATATATATATTACCTATTTATTTATCATATGTTGTCACCATCCTTATAGTAGGGAACAACAATCATTTATATATTTATACACATACTATTATCTTGATTTTTGGAGATAAGGATTCCATAATTGAAAAGAGTATATAGTTGATAAGTAACAAAGTTAGCCATTATAGTTTATATGGTATATCCATTTTTAAATAAATTACCTTTTCAATTTATTTCAACTCTAAACCCAATTAACAAATTGCAAATATTCTCCATTATTTACTAATTGGTATAAAGTTTATTTATCAAAAAAGTTGATAGGATCAGACAAACGAATACAAATATTCATTATTTTTTAACGTTATATATTTTCACTGTCAAAATAGGCGATATTTCTAATATATTGGCTTGTTAAATAAATTATAAATTTGAATTCGATTTAATTCTACTATCAAATTTCAAATCCGATTCTATTTTTTGTTTTTTTTTTTTTAAAAAAAAATCAACTCATTTAACTTAAATTAACTCTTATTGGATGAGTTTGCCAATTATTAATTTTTATTTTACTTTTAATTTTGTTCCTCGGCTAAATATTCCCGGATTTAATATTTTATAAATATATATAATATTCCCACATCCATAGATTAAAGGTTCGAATTAATTCCATCTCTAAACAAATTAATTAAATACATACTCTAAAATATTATGGATAAGAGTTTTGAAAATTTTAGAGAACTTTTAAAATAATAAAAATGAATATATATATATATATGAAGCTATGTAAAATAAATAAATATTTAATATAATTATTTTAAAAATAATTCTTATTAATAGATTATAACAAAAATTTTAAAAATATATAGGTGAAAAGAATCATATTAAATTAATAAAAATTTTATGCATGTGGGATTGAAATTGAAGAAGCAAAATTATGGAAGCTTACGTATGTACGTATGATAGCAGTTTCCACAATAAGGTCGGCTGGATGTATACATCTTGCATGTCCACGTGGCACGTTCTTATTGGGCAGTTCCCCACGTTTGGATTATCCATAAAGCACAAATATGACAAATTAATTAATTAACTTAATTAATAAAAAAAATTATGAAGGGGAGATATTAGATTCCCATGAGAAGTGACAGCATTTAGAATCAAATAAAATATTAAAAAAAAATCTGAATGTTTTACAGATTGTTGGGCCTAACAGAGCCTAACCTCATTATTATAGTACCCGTAATTTAATTAAAATTTCAATTATTTTTTTATTGTAGAAAAATCAATTTTCAGTATTGACATTTTTATTATAATTTAATTCAATAATGTCAAATAAGGTCAAATTGTGGAAAGGCACGTAAAAGTATTAATAAAATAACAATAAAATCTTGTGGGTGGGTGGGTATGGGCGGGGGGGGAGAGGGGGGTGGATACCCGCCAGGTTTGACTGGTGCCACGTCATCACGGTCCACCGGTGGTCCACGCACACCATATAAAAGGCGCTGCCCACTAACAGTGGATCACCTGCGCCGAGGTCTACCCCGCGTCCCACTCAAACGACGCCACGTCAGCTCGGGCAATATTCTGGTGAATCTCGTCATTTAATTGAATTTGGCAATTTAGTCTGTTTCTTTTGTTCGGCAGCTCCATGTGTTGTCTGTGTGAATGCAAAATTAATTAGAAGCTCTCTTTACATTAAAATTTGAAATATTTTTAAAATTTGATGTGACATTTTTTAAAAAAATTATTATTGATAAATATTATCGTAATTTAAATATATATATATATAAGTTTTTACTAATCAACATTGCATTCTACACTACGGGTTAATCTATTATTATTATTATTATTATTATTATTATTGTCTAATTTTTTGTTTAGTAATATTAATGCCTTATGAAAAAAACATAATGTAATTTTGTACGAATCTGTGAGATTTTCATACAAACTTTTTTTTTTAAGAACAACAAAACTCAAAAGGGAATGAAGTACGTCCTCCATCCCAAAAGTATAGTCATATTGTCTTGGATACAAGATTTAAAAAATATTGATATTATATTGGTGATTGATAAAAAGTATGGATAAATAATTTTTTTTGCCCTTTTGAGTATATTAGTGTAAAAAATAGTGGCAATTGTGTAATAATAATGAAAAAGTAGGAATAGTTTTATTGTGATATGATTACTTATGGAAATGAGACTATTGTTTTGGGATGAAAAAAATGATAAACAAGACTATTGTATGAAGACGGATGGAGTATATATGAAAATAAATGTACTATTAACGAATAATACGTAAGATAAATTGATATTACAATATACATATTTATATAATACGAGTGTAACATGCAATAATAGTTTATACAATAAATAATACTCCTTCCGTCATCCAATTGTGTGATCATTTTTGTCCGGACTAGAGTTTTAAAAAAATTAAATAAAAATAAAAATTTTTACTTTTTTTTTTAGGTAAAAAAATATATAAA